TGTAAAGTATGTTCGCATTTTTTACAAATCTCGATACTTAGCCTCTTTATATATCCTGGATGAGGCTTAGATTGCCTATGAGTGTGGCTTGTGGGTTGAGAATGGATGAAAATGGTAGAATGGACGTGTTTATTACGTGTTTTTGAGGATAAGTGAGTATACTTGATACTTGATTGTTGAATCGTCCATTCAACATGTTTGAGACACAATTGAAACAATTCGATGACATTTCGACGCGCCACAGACTGTATCAAGCCACCATTATGTAATAAATTGAAAATTGAATCTATGACGACGTTTATACATTATTGACTCGAAGCTTCATCTACACCAAGAAAACAGTTGAGCACTCCATTTCATCACAGCAAGTAAAGGTCACACAGAGTCTGATCAACGTACAATTAATCAGTTGCGAAGCCAAAAAATGAAGAGGTTCTAGAAGTCCTGACAGTCTGGGCCATAACAACTCATTCCTCGTTACGGACACGAGACTCATGTCGAAAGAAGGCCGTATACCGCCACAAGAGGCATATCTCCAACTCGGTGGAACCAAGATCATTGAAAAGGTGAGACTTCTGTTTGCAGAGTCGTCCAAAGTCAACTTGAGGCGAGATATCGTTCCACTATGTGAGCGAAAAAGTTGTTACTAAGTGCCGCATTTCACGATTACTCTGGATCTGGCGACATATGCCATAGCCCAACAGGCCTGAAACAAATTCAATCACATTCAAGTAGATGATTATCTAGTTGTGACTATCTCCAGGTATTGCTCCGACGTGATATTGAGTTGGTAATGCACTGTGACAAACCACACGCACGTTGGAGAAATGTGTCAAACAAGATCTACTACACGTGTAAATCCTCATCAAAAAGAGTTCCAGACCTCTGATTTCAACCCGTTGGGCGCAAACTGCAATTGGTTAAGATGCAATCAGTGAAGGTTTGAGGTTTCTTACTTGGTGAACAAAACAGGCCCTCTGATGCAGAATACGAGTTCAATATCACGTACTGATATTATGAATCGCGGCCCATACTTGTTACTGTGGCTAGAAAATTGTACGGCATTGTACTCCAATTTCGATGCGAGATTTTGATTTGCGTGCTGCTGAGTGATAATTTTTCTGATTTGCAATACTGAGTGACTGAACGCATATGCTACGAGCAAAGAAAGAGATAAGCTACTCGTTCAATTTATGACTTACAAATATCCATTTTGTTCTTAGTAATATTAATAATGTTTTCTGGACCCTACAAAAACCTTGTCTCCTCGCCCTGTCACATCACCACTTCTTGCAACAGAACTACAACAACGTAATTAAAATTTGCAATTAGCTTGTCTCCTCTCCCTGTCACATCAGTTACAACATTTACAACACTGCCTGCAAAAACCGAAAAAACAATGTCTACAGTAGATAAGACCAGCCCCACTTCCCGGTTGCCGGTCTCGCAACTGACGGGTGGTCCAACGAAGATGAAGCTACTGCAACGTGCTTTTGTGGTGCCGTGCAGCTTTCATTTGTAAGGTCTTTTCTGCAGCCTGTTTTCACCTCGTCTGTTTGATCGACTCTTAACTGCATCTCCAAATATAGCCCACTCATGGACCTGGATATGTTGGCTCCTTCATCTGCAACTGTTCAGACTGCCACAAACTCACTGCATCTGTATTTGCTACGAACTTTACAGTCTATGACACGCATTTGAAGCATTTGAGAGGCCAGGAAACTTTAAAGACCTTTAGTCAGTCAAAGTCTATCTTTGTAAAGGAGGCTGGCAAGGACAACACTATGACAAACTTTTTTTGCTCAAACTGTGGGTCTCTTATGTATCGCGTTGGGGCAGCGTTTCCTGGAATGAGCATTCTCCGTGTTGGCAGGTATGTGTCGTACATGTTTTCAAGGGCCTGCTGCTTAGTCTCACTTCGCGTTTTGGCAATGCAGTGTGGACGACTTTTCTCTGGCCGAAACCAAGCTCAGGCCTACGATGGAACAGTTCACCAAGGACCGCGTCTCCTGGAAGCAACCTACAGAGGGATGCAAGCAGTTTGAGGAGGACGGGCTCCACGTATAGTAAAATGCTGTGGACAGGCAACTGGTCGGCATGATGTTCAATACGGGTAAAGTTGAGTTGGTAGTTGTGATAAAGGAAGCAGATACACAACCATATAGAATACCCACAGAAGTAGTAGCACACCTATTGAATATATTGGATTATAAACCATGCATTCAACGTGCTTGACAGGGATTTTGCACAGGTTGAACAAATTTGATGTCATTGACGTGGTGGATACAGAAGTACGCGTAATATTCGATGAACATGACAGCGATGTGATTGATAGCTTTTTGACTCGATCAAACCATGTGGGTTGTCTAAGTGAACTTGATTCATGTATTTACATTTTCGTATACAAAGGCAAAGGTATTTGATTAATATGCAAATAACATCCAAAAGAAGCCTCCCTATATTTTGATGTTAAAGGATGTCTTGCACCCGCAAGATGATTCAGCTTTAGGATTATCCACTACTTGGAAACTCGATCCAATGAGTTCTTGCACGTAATCCAACTTGGATCCTTCAATGAGAGATAGAGATATGGTGTCTACAATGACTTTGGCACCGTTCTTTTCAACCAATCTAGGGTGCGATACAGGTTGGATTTGTCAGCCAAAAACGAGGAGAGCGACAAGACGACGGACAGGAGCTTACAAGTCATCCTCATTCAGATTATCAGTAGTCAACTCCATTTTGACCTGATAACCGTGACAGCCACCCGAGTCGACCAGCACTCTTAGAGCTTGGGATGCCCTATCTTTGGAGTTGATATAATTGAGTTGCTAAAGTGAGAAGAACACGGTCAGTCTACTTGACACTAACATTGAACGCACGGATCTTCGCAAAATACCTTTGCAGCACGATCAGTTACAATAAGTGTTGGTTGATTGTTTGCATTCGATTCAGTTTCCGTAGCAAGTGTTCGTATTTGATGTCCTTGGCCATTTATCATCCGCCGTATTTGAGGCGATAACCGCTGTACATATGGTCGCAATGGTGCATTAAACGATGACAATTGAGGTATCCTGGTGGTGCTTGCTATTGTGTGCAACCGTTTCGACAGAGTTACATCAACACTCTGGAAACTTGACTTTGGGCAAGAGTGCACGTAAGTAGAGGTGAAGAGAGTCCGTATAGATCGTACTGTAGACATGAATCGCGTTTTAATGGTGTAGTTCAGTTTCGTAGCTGTCAAGTGTTTGCGAGAAGATTCACAAAAGATCTCGAAAAGTCGTGAAATTTCCACGTCGCATCTTCACACATATAAAAACAGCTGATTAGCTTCAAATCTCTTTCAAATTCGCTCGCAACTACAGGATCCAACGCCAAACTATATAAGGTATGACCTTGCATTGTACATTTGCATTGAAGCAAAGTGCTTTTGGACCGTACTGACATCCACACTCATCACGTTAATAGAACTCAAAGCATATATTATCAAAAACAACAATGTCATTAATCTCAAGGCTCTTCCCTGAAGTGCGATCAGCACTCTCTCGCTCACATCGCCCAACTGCATCACACTTGGGTCAAATGCAATCAGTCTTTGATGATCCCTTCTTCCGAGATCCATTTGCATTGGCACCATCTTTCCTCACTCGAGACTTTCCTCGTCAACCTGCTGTCGACGTCCGTGAATCTGACAAGGTAATGTATGGATTTTGAATCTTGACTGTGATTGACGCATGCAGCTGACATGACTCATCCTTACACATAGGAATATGAGATTGTCGCTGAAGTACCTGGATTGAAGAAGGAAAATCTGTCTCTTGAAGTCGTCAATGACAATACTTTGACAATCGGTGGTCACTATGGAACTGAAAGCACCTCTTCTGGACCTGGTGTTGTCGAGGGATCTACTGACAAAGCAGAAGCAACCAAGAAGGGTACTGGTGGTGAAGTCATGTCATCAGACTCCTCTCGGGATACAATTTGGTCGTCAGAACGAATGCAAGGATCTTTCCGCAGGTATGCTTCTCTGCAATCCTGTCTTTTTCTTACCATGTCAACTGTAGCTTAAACATTGAAACTCTACCAATAGGATGTTCTCATTCCCACATCACATTGATCCTTCCAAGGTCACCGCCAATTTGAAGGATGGTATATTGCAAGTCAAAGTACCAAAGGAAGAATCCAAACGCGCAAAGATTGAAGTTCACGAATGAAAGATCGTGGATTCAATTAATACATATGCACAGAGATTTGTAGGTAGCCTAGGTAGCCAAAAATGTATAACAAAAACACAAAAATATATTATTTGATTCCTCACAGTGACTGTCGTGTGCGCCTTGTTTTCTTGTTCCTTGTTTCCACGAGCTCAAGTCGAGATCAATTAATATCAGTGGAACGCGAGAGTTTGACCATTCAAGAGGCAGCTTTTGTAACTGCCATCATCATGAAACTGAACTTGCAAACCTCAACAACTCAGAAACAAATGTCACTTAGACATCAAACCAAGCCGAACTTGGAGAGATACTCACGGCTCAAGCGTCCACGTATATCAGTACCCGAAGATAATCCAGTAATCGTGGCTCCTTCTACTACGGACGTCTTGGTCGAAGCCAGTCCAGAACCAATTTCCAAAGAGTTGAGCAGCTCATCTGCATTACCAGCTAAGAAGAGGAAACGACTACTTACTGTTGGAGGTCTTGTATCTAGCAATGAAGCATCAGCCACTCCTACCTTGACTAGAGCAAACAGTCGCAAAAATCGCAATACCATATTTAAAATACCTACTATAGACCGATTGATTGCTAATAGTAATAGTAATCTAGTTGATGATGCATCTACATCTGTAGTCGACTCGCCAATGATATCACGTATTGAAGCTGTAGATCAAGGTGCTCTCGTCGCAGAAACACCAATACCAAGTCCACCACCGAATCAGGTTGAAACGCCCGTGAATGACCATAAACCAAATGGATTTATGACTAGATCTGGACTCAAAGTATCACCAAATATAGCATCTATTATACAGCGTGGACCGTTATATGTAGCACAATCGCCAGACTTTGGGGATGTATCGAGTATAGACATTCAAGCTTTTGATGATTACATGAATGAATTGGAACAGAATCATGCACCACTTGCTACAGATAATGTAGTAGCAGCTCCTCAGCATTCGTTTATACCAGCTTCTCAAATAACGCAGCTTCACATGGACGCTCCACACCACCAAGTCAAGTCACCCTTGGTCTCGCAAGCAGCAGCTATATTAGCACCCGTATTGCTTCCTACTTCTCCTTTGGTATTGCCCACATTACTGAATAATCAATTTGCTCGTCAGCCCTCGTCGTTGATTGCCAGTGAGGAAGTTGCGTATGTCGAAGAGACTGACTTGTTGCTGGTAAGACTGTGTCAAAAAGGACGTTATCTGATTCACCCATCAATTTTTTTTGCAATCCTGAACTTTTGAACTTGTAGACACGACCTGAGCTGGGACTTCCAGAGAGTGTTATCGAAACATACGGGGAAGCTGGTGTCAAATCGCTGTATGAGTGGCAAATGGAAGCATTGCTCATTGATGGTATCTTGAATGGGAAAAAGAACTTGGTTTACAGGTATCATCCGAAAAAAAACTGATAGCAGTGTACTTGTATTCACATTCGCTTTTCGTGGTAGTGCACCAACGTCTGCTGGCAAGACAATGGTTGCAGAGCTGATCATGGTCAAGCGAGTTTTGGAATCCAAGAAGAAAGCTATATTCATCCTGCCGTTTGTTTCTATTGTCTCTGAAAAGGTGATGTTTTACGGACATCTATGGATGAGCAGTCGAGCTGAACTTTTTGTCCGTTGTGCGCAGACCAAGTATTTGCAAAAGATGTTCGCATCTACGAGACTCAATATTGTTGGATATTACGCCTCTGTTGGATCTGCATCCTTTGATGATGTTGATATAGGTAGGGTCGTCGGGTATGGACAATGGTGAATGCCAACAATCTCATTTTAGTTTACCGACGTTCCGATTAGCAATCTGCACGATTGAAAAAGCGAATGGTATCATGAATCGACTCTTGGAAGAACAGCGTCTAGATCAGATTGGAATAGTGGTGGTTGATGAACTTCACATGGCACGTGATTACAGTCTCGGAGTAAATCCTTTTTTTGTTCGCTTTTCTAAGTCACGTCCACTCTATGTAGGTCGGTGACGAGGGACGAGGTTATCTTCTCGAACTTCAACTCACCAAGATGCAATACGTGCTTCGAGATGAGATTCAAGTCGTTGCCATGTCTGCAACCATTTCAAACATCGCTGTCTTGGCATCATGGTTGAGTGCAGATTTATATATTAGTGATTACCGACCTGTCCCACTAACGGAATACATCAAGGTAGGCAGACCATCAAAGCAGTACGAGACGGTACACCAATCAGTACTTTCTTCTCGATGACTAGGTCAATGACACTCAAGAGGTTTGGGACGTCCATCTCGGAACGAAGAGATGTTTGAAAGACATATATCCTTATGACAAGTTGGATCCAGATATGCTTGGTAAAGAGAGTAGCACACATTTTAAAGTGTGTACTGGTACATTAATTGGTTTTTTTTCCTTAGTTCCTCTGGTTGCCGAGACGGTGGCAGAAGGCAACTCGGTCTTGGTATTCTGCAGGACGAAAGTTGCGTGTGAAGCAGCAGCCAAACTTCTCGCCAAATTGATGCCTGTTTTGCTTAAGTTTGGATTATCTGAAGATGAAGCCAATAATCACAAGAATGTTATGGCAGAGTTGCAAAGATCACCAGGAGGATTAGATCCCGTTCTCGAAGCGACGGTTCCTCAAGGGGTTGCATATCACCATGCGGTAAAACGAGTGATTCTGTTGAATGGAAATAGCCAGTCAATCTCAAAAAGAATTTATTCGGCAGGGACTTACTGTCGAAGAACGTGAATGCATAGAGGATGCTTTTCGTGCAGGCTATATTCGAGTACTTTGTGCAACATCTACACTTGCCAGTGGCGTTAATTTACCTGCACGAAGAGTCATCTTTCGATCACCAGTGAGTTACAAAAAATTGGTCGTTTTGATTAGAATTGCCTTTCTGACTACTCTTTAGGAACAACATCAAGGTGGTATTCTAGATCCACAAAGTTACAGTCAAATGAAAGGTCGAGCAGGCCGAAAAGGATATGACACTGTTGGCGAGAGTATAGTGCTTTGCTCGTCAAAACAACTCACTCGTGTTAAGAGGTTGCTCGAGTCTCCGTTACAGCCAGTACAATCATGTCTCACATCAGAACGCAAAGGACTAAAACGTGCTCTCCTCGAAGTCATTGCTGCTGGAGTAGTGCGAACTGCTCAAGATGTAACAGCATATGTCGAAAGGAGTTTGTTGTTTGCTGAAGATCCGTCGTGGGATCGTGTCAATGGATATGTCAATGAAGCATTGGAGTTTCTGCTTGAACGAGATTTGGTTTGTAAGGATGGAGAATGTTGTAAGGCTACGAAGCTTGGGATGGCAACTGTTGCTTCCTCTCTCTCTCGTGAGTGAAGATGTCATTCAGACGTTTGACTCCTTTTTGTGCTAATTTGAATTCTTCGTATCAGCGGAAGAAGCTATTGTGGTCTTCCAAGAGCTACGTGCTGCTATGAATAGCTTTGTGTTAGCTGAGGATCTGCACATTGTCTACCAAGTAGAGATTTTTACGATTAGCACGCATTTTTTCAGAGGCTCTTTCTGAATTTTTTGTTCATTGCTATAGGTCACACCTACTTACTTCGCATACAATGACTTGGATTGGAACGGTGTCGCTCAAGTATACTCAAGACTTGGTGACGCACAATCACGAGTAGCCACAGCAATTGGCATAGATCAAGGTCTTGTCATTAAAGTCTCTCGAGAAGGATGGCGCAAGAATTTAGGCAAGACGGCTGATGGTCGGGAAAAGTCTATGATTCTTGGCCGTTTCTTTGCATCCCTTATGCTAGCAGACCTAGTGAGAGAAGTATCATTTGAGCAGATCATGGACAAGTACAATTTCCGGAATCGAGGCTTGTTGCAAAGTTTGCAGTCTTCTGCTGCTACTTTTGCTGGTATGGTTACTGTGTTTTGCGAAAGGTTGGGCTGGACGAATTTGCAGGTATGACAGAAGTCATGTTAAAAGTATCTTGATCTAATTATCTTTCTTTTTTTTAGCTGCTGGTTCAGCAATTTCAAGATCGATTGAACTTTGGTGTTGAGAATGAGTTGTTGGAACTGGCTCGTATCCCTGGAATAAAAGGTATGCTGTCATCATCTCTTTGTTTCTTTTTTCTCATTTGCACTCACTCGTTGCTGAAATCAAATCACTCACTCCTTAGCATTCACTGGTCGTGTATTGTTCAGAGCAGGATACAAAACCATTCCGTCAATCGTAAAAGCTGTGACTTCTACTTCTGTTGCAATTGAGGCTGAATGTCCTTCGTTTTTAGGCTTGCGCAAGCGCAGAGGAGATTCATAAACACATTGCATCCTCACGACCATTCAAAATCAATGGCAACTATGATGAAGCTGCCCAAAATCGTATCGAATTCCGTATTGCCCATCAGATTGTACAAGGTGCTCAACGTCTACTCGAAATTGATCAAAAGGAAGTCAGTCGAGCTTCGAAAAAGCTAGCTCACGCCTTGAAGACAGCAAAGAATGGCACGAAACGAAAACGTGGGAAAAAGGGCAAACCAGCTTTTACTGTCAACAATTATCATAGGCTCGAGCTGCCGAATAGGTCTGAAACGCCGGTGCCATATGGAGACACCCGTCCACCAGGTGCAAGCTCTCCTGCACTCTTTGACGACGATTCGGAATTTGACGAGCAGCTTGAGCAAGAGGATGAAGCCACGCCAAGTTTGGAAGATGCACAATTAGAAGTTGTAGCTTATCCAACTATTGTGCATTTGGGCGAGAATCTTGATGCAATGAAGAATTTCTTGCAAGAATGGTAAGATGGAAAAAAAATGCTGATGAATATCCTCGATCTTCGTTCTCTAAAAAGCCATCACCATCCTCCTAAACATATTATAAAACTAGGCCCAGACAGCCGAAATATGCAATTCGAGTCTGCGCAAGACGTGAAGCTCAGAATGTGATATTAGAAGGATTGGCAGTATGTTGGGACCCATCACTCGTATTCTATTTGCCAAACGATACCAACTCCAGTCAAGAATCAAAAGTCGCTTGGGGTGATGTTGCGCGTGTATTGTCTGAGCCATCTCAAAAATACGCCTTCCATGTGCAGCATGATTTGACTGCTTTGGCATGGCAACGCATACCTGTCGCACAACCTATACTAGATCCACGAGTAGCAGCATGGGCTCTAGATCCTGAAGGACGTGATTACACACTTCATCAAGCTCTGAATGTCATCTTTCCATCGAAAAGGTTCAATATGGCTAGTTCAAAGATTGAGAAGTGTTGTTTTGAGGCCACACACGTGCTTCTGCTTGGCGAGCATCACTGGAGTAAATTGGAGGTTGAAGGGTTGTTGCGTCATGTTGTGGACGTTGAGGTGATCTTTCAGTTTTTTTTTTTGCTCGGTGTCCGTTTGTCTCACAACCATCAACTCTGGTATAGATGCCAGTAATGTCCATCTTAGCTGAACTGGAACTGGTTGGGCTTGCATTTGAAGTAGAGTACTTCACAGGTTGCCTGAACGAATATCGAACTGCTATACATCAAATAGAAACGGAAGCATTCAAGTTGGCTGGTCGAAGGTTTTCCTTGAGTAGCCCTGCTCAAGTGGCTCAAGTGCTATACGACGATTTGAAACTTCCCACCGATAATTCCACCAATAAGAACAATAAGGTTACTGGGGGTCGAGCTGTGTTTAGTAGAAGTACGAGCAAGGAAGTCCTTGAACGTATTTCTCGTTTGCATCCATTGCCTCGTTTGGTTGTTGAGTACCGACGTATATCGACTTTGGTGTTTAACCAGCTGTATTCGTTAAATGATGCAGGAGTTATGCATCCATACTTTCGTCATCACCGTGTAAGTATGAGACTTCTGCAAAGTGAGATTCTTCGCTGCCTTTGATGATAACACCACAAACCCATAGGTGCTTTGTGAATATGATTCTCATACTGCAACGGGGCGAGTGACTACCAAGAACCCGAATCTTCAGAATATTCCTCATCCCCGTTCTCTCGTGGATATTGGCTTTGGACAAGGAAACTTGGTGAATATTCGTAATGCTTTCAGAGCATCACCAGGTCATATTCTGGTGTCGTCGGATTACAGTCAGCTTGAGTTACGTATTATTGGTAAGTGATGTGTCGGTGTTGTACACTCATTGTAATATTTTGAATGACAGCGGGGTTTTTTAGCTCACATGAGCGCAGACCGTAAACTTTTGGAATTATTGAATGGTGGTGGTGATCTCTTTATCAAACTGGCTGCACAATGGAATGGAATAGAACCTTCAGAAGTTACGCCAGAGATACGGAAGAGAGCGAAAGCTGTTGCGTATGGAGGTGAGTTTGCAACAAAACACAGAAAAGACGTGTGTGTTTACTCGTCGACGTCTTATAGTTATATACGGTCTCGGTCCTACAACACTGGCGAATGACATGAAGACATCCGTGGAAGAGGCAGAGAGTCTCATTCACAATTTCCGTAATTCGTATGAAGGGATACCGCAGTTGATTCAACGGATTACCAATGACTGTGCAAATACTGGGTATGCTGAGACCTTGTTGGGGCGTCGACGGTATTTGCCTGCTATATTTTCGGGAGAAATGTCAAAGAGGTGGCCATTTGGGATGAATTAGTTTTTTTTTTGCGCAGAATGTTTCTGATCTATTTGATTCACTAGAGCTCAAGCCCAACGCCAAGCAGTTAGTAAGCGCCTTCTGTTGTTGCAGTCTTTGACCATCATTCTAACCTTACTTTTGAATTAGATACGACAATTCAGGGATCTGCTGCAGATCTAGTAAAAGTTGCAATGATCAAGATCAGAGATGTTTTTACAAGCAAGTACGGATGCTGGTATGCTCATGAGGAGCCAGACTCTCAGGCTTTGCATGTACCTCATATGGTTCTGCAGATTCATGATGAGCTTTTGTTTGTGAGTTGGGACTTGAAGCAGTTAGCATGATTCGGGATAGGTTCTAGAACTTTTTTTTTGTTACGTCTCAGGAGGTACCTATAACTATGCTGGACGAAGTCAAAGAGGTAGTGGAAGAATGCATGATGAATGCCATCACATTGAGTGTTAAGATGCCTGTCAGGTTTAAGAAAGGTGTTAGATGGGGTGAACTACTGGAGGACTAAAACATTATTTATGTTTCCGAATGGGTGTTTTGGTTGTAATGAGCTTTGGTTGTATATAAACGGTGGATTCTTCAGCTGATGTCTTGCTTCCTTCCAAGTCTAGTTTCGGACCAGTTCACCTACATTTCCCTTTCAAGACAAATGAAGAAACAACAACCGTTCTGATCGGTTGTTTTGTCTCTACCACAAAAGTTTTCTTTCACGTGGACTACCCTCGCTAGAGTAAGTAGTCGATACAGCCCAAACATTGGAGCCTAATGCAGAACACCGACGGGTCGCTGAAGTACTATTAATGTGACTGAAGATGGTTCTAAATCTATAGTCGGCTCGCCAATGATACTACACATTGCCACAATCTTTGCAGAAACACCAATCCCAATCACCGGACTTTGACGATGTAAAGAGTGTCGACATTAAACCTTTTGGTGATTATATAAATGATTCGAAGCAAAATCGCGGTCCGTCTGTCAAGAATGCAATTAGTTTCCAGGATTTCTCGCTTTTTATTCCTGCTTCCCAAAGAACGCCGCTCCAAATGGCTGCTTTCAGCCATCGTCTCAAATCACCCGCAATCACAGGAGCAGCAGGTGCTATATTAGCACCCGTTTCGCTACCTCTATCTCTGTGATTGCATACATTACTGAATAACTGGTATGCTTGTCAGTCTTTGTCGTTGATTACTACTAGGAAGTTGCGTCTCGCCTTAGGAGATACAATTCTACCAGTGTACTACCGATGAAGGATTACGAATGGAATCCATTCCAACTTAACTTGAAGCATTGACATTTTCTCGTCATCATTAACATTGTTTGAATGCAAAGACTTCGTGATAGTAGTAATAGAGAGAAATCTCAATGTATTTGGCTTCCAATATGCTAAATATGCAAAACGTTCCCTGTCTGGTCATGTCCTAGTTTAGTCCTCTTCCATCTTATAAGATACGAGAGTGTCGACTGCATGTACAGAGGTTGAAAATCCTCGTAATCGAACCATTTCTGCATTCCTTGTTATGAGTTTGGCGTCCGAGTCAACCCATTCCGGTGGGACTTCAGCGTCCTTGTCTGTGTAAGCCAAGACGTTGAATGTGCCTACAAAACGAGGTGGTCTGCCTATGAGTAGCTGGCGTTTGCAGTCGAAGCGGCAGCAGAGGAAAAAAAAATACAGGACTGAAACAAAAGATTGTTCATGTCAACATACATGGTTCATTGAGCGTTGGCAAGAATGTAACACATGATATAATTTGTCTCATGATTCGTTGAATTTCAGCATGGATTTCCTTTTCTGATTTTGGTTTTGAAGAGTGGCTAGATTACCAAGGTTAGATGATGTGGTTGGTGTGAGTCAAGCACAAAAAAATGGTAATCCCTCAGCCTGATGTACATACCTCTTGGTAGCATTTATTCCCGATGCATTCTCTTTATCACTACTTGATTCAGCTTCCACATCCATATTGAATTGCCATCGTTCCAACACTTCTCGTGTATCTCGTGAACTAATCACTAGGACTAGTTTGCATATTGTTTTGGCTAGTATCCATTCTAGATCATTGAGTGAAATGTTAACGAGTTAGTCCCTATAGCTCATGTTCTCCCACATTTTTTGGCTTGAAAGCAAACCACTTTCACAGAGAGGCAAATGTACATACTTTGCACTTGAAGTAGTATTTGTTTGATATATCCCTCTATTGAATGATCAGCAGCTACAAAGAGCGAGAGTCCGTATCGTTTGACTTGTTTGAAATCTTGAACAAAACAGTGCAGAATGTAAGGTTTGATGTCTCGTTCTAATGTGATCCAGTATCGTTCCATACCTTCTGCAGGGTAGATTCCACGTTGATAGAGTATGCTAATTGAACAGGATATAGTTGGATACGTAGTCTGATATAATTTTATAACGACTTTGCTTGCTACCTGTTGATTGAATAATCTAAACATGCCATAGGTTAGCGACTCAGACGCGACAACGAAGAGAAGAGTAATTCCATTGCATACCAAAGAACTCGACAACGATCTGTGATGACCCTCTCAGCGTAATCTGCTGCGATTTCTGAACTGTCGCTGACATTTTTACTGAGACACGAAACAGGAGAGAAGAGATCAAACAACAGAAACACGAACAGCTGGACGAACAGATGCATCTTGGTAGTTGCGTGCCGTGTGGAGACGGATACGGAAACATTGCAATGTGATCTTGTTATTATAGGTCAAACCAAATAACGTGAGCAATATTTCGAAAACACAAAACCATACAAGTACAAGAATACACGACTTATGATAAAAATCCAATAGTCCAAATTTTGATAAGGGATCCCTTCTGTTCAATCTTCATCGAGATCTACGACACGCGTGGTCCTACAACACGTTTGACTGCTACTTCTGCCTTCACTTTCTTGCTAGTTTCGTTCTGACTGACAGGAGGTACGCTTCTTTTCTTTCTTCTCCTCCTTTTATGACTTGCATCTGAATACATCGACGGCCTCTGTCTTGAGCCTTCATTTTCAACTTGGCCGCGGCTGCATAGTATTCAGCTATGAGAGAGATGTATTGATGGTATCATCCACATACTCAAGACATTGGCATCGAAAGCATACGAGTTCCAGGTTCAGGAATCACTGCAACGACCGGGTCTCCAAAGAGATATGGGATCACAGAAGACACCGAGGTTAGATTCCCATCAAATGCGAAAGGAAGGGTGTGGCAGCTGGGTATTGCGTATCACTGCTGATAGTCTCCGTCTGCATACCTAGATTGAAATGACTTTTGTATTAGTGACGGAGCATTTTAGAGGGTGGGTGTTCAAAATCAGCAGACAACACCATGATCAAGATTACATATTCATTTTGATGTCGTGGTCGCGGGTCGAGGAGGAGAGTGGTACCTCGTTTGTACGTTGAGCTGTTACTGTGTATCGTTTTCCTGGTATGGCTCTAGGTAGCACTTGATCTCGGTACAAACATCAACATCGCTGAAGCTTTCCTCGACCTTCTACTCTTTACACTTTTTGCCGTCAATTTCGACCCAGGCTTCTATTCCTTGTAACCTCTAGAACATGAAGATGTTAGATTCGGTCACTTTTGAGAAAGAAAGCTGTTTGAACTCTTGCTAAGATGTGCAAGATACAAACAAGCAAGGACTGAAGAAGCTTCAATAAGCATACCATGGCTGGAGTATCTTGTATCGTACGGTGCAAGTTCTCTGAAGCAATGCACCTACTCGATATGGTGCTAGTCTAAAATGCGATATGTATGTTTGTAAGATATTTACTGTGCGTCAGAGATTTCCTCTACTTCAAAACAAACTGCTTCTTGGTCATACTTCGCACGAGAAGCTTGATGTATCCTCTATTGAATGATCAGCAGCCACAAAGAACGAGAGATTCCGTATTGTTCGACTTGATTGAAACCTAGACTGAATCAAGAAAATCAGAAAGGTTGAAGTAGGCACATTTGACATTTGATGTGACGTCCCGAGGTGATCTACCCTCGTTCCATACCTTCAGCAGGATAGATTCCACCCTGATATAGTAGGCGATTTAACAATAAACAGTTGGATGCCAGGTCTGATGTTTCGCCACATATTCTTTCTCAAGTTTGTAGCCTGTGATGAATTTGGTCTGCATATGAAAGAACAGGTTAGGAGATAGTAAGAAAACAGATAATACATGTCATTGAAAGTACTTACCAAAGAATTCTACGTCGATCTGCGATGCTTTTGATGAATCAGTTGCGGTTGCTGAACATACTACAAGAGGCAAACATACAAAACTGATGTTTATATTTCAAGGCATATAACAATAATCTGAACGACATCGAAACGACATATAAGTACAATAAAAGTAATAGTAAATGAGAGTTCAAGGTTCAATCACGACAATCCTTTGCTCAATCGTCAGTCAAGTCGACAACACGTGTGGTTCCTACAGCACGGTTGACTTCTGTTTCTGTCTTCACTTTCTTGGTAGCTTCATTCTGGATAGGAGCAGCAGAGCTTGAGCTAGCACCTGCTGTGCTGATGTTGTTGGCTTTACGCTTCCTCTCCTTCTTCTCTTCCTTGTAGGGCTTTCTCTAAGAATGGAGTGACAAGTCAGTATCAGTACTCAGCGCGACTCAAGGCAGTTTCAACGTTCAAAACGAGTTCATGAAGTAACTTCATCACCCAAGAGCAAACAAGGTGTACCTCAGTCCATTCCTAGACGAAATGCAGACAGAAGGTCAGTGCTCGGTGCTAAAACCATTGGATACGACGAAGTTGCCTTACTTCTTCTGGAACGATGTCGTGAATCTCGAGGAGTTCACGACTCTTGTAGTGGAACGAGAGCTTCAAGTCTGGAATTGCGCGGAATGGTTGGAATGTAGAGAAAGTCATGGGAGCGATATCTTGTTTCGCACCATACTAGCAAATAGATGATCAGAACATAGTGGTGGAACACTTGATGAAAGTAATGCCATGTATCTTACATGAGTGCTGTTTGAGACAAGCGAACCTGGTGCCTTCTTAGAAGCGGTAGTCGACTTTGTATATTCGTTTGCATCAAAGTGGGTAGGAGCAGGGACATGGTCTAATGACGGAATGAGTATGTCAGTGCCATCGTGACATCCGAAAACAGGTAAGCAGGTTCCTGGAAAACTGGCCGTTCGATACTCACCTCCTTTGATGCCTGGAAAGACTTGAATCTGAATACATCCCGGGCCACCATTTCGATTCTTTTGTTTGAGGGCTTCTGCGGCGGCGTAGTACTCGGCTACACGACCAAAATGTGTGGGGTCTCTGTCATGTCGACGATTGAAGTCGCCGCACACAATACAATCAGGCACTTACGAGTTCCAGGTTCTGGTATGACAAGAAGCACAGGATCTCCAAAGATGAACGGTATTACTGATGATGATGAAGTAAGCTTGCCATCAAAGTTGCAAGGGTTGGTCGAGTATCTGCTGACTGCATAAGAACGTTGGTGATCACCATCAGCGTTCCTATAAAAATACGTAGTAAGAAATGGTATATCAATAACTGGGTTGCATGCAACCGAGCCTCCGAGGCAATCATCAAAATCATGATCGAACACTTACATGTTGATTCGTACGTCGTGGTCACGGACCGACGAGGAGAGTGGTATCTCGTTCGTACGCTGTGCTTTCACGATATATTGCTTGCCAGGTATGGCCTCAATGTAACACTTGATCTCTGTGCAAATATCAACATCAGAGAAAGTTTCTTCGGGTTTCCATTCTTTGCAACGGTTTCCATCGATCTCTACCCAAGCCTCGATCCCTTGTAACTTCTACAACGTGGAGATGTCAGCCTAATTGCTTTGGAAAGCCCTTTCGTGGCGCCTTCATGTGGAATGAATTGTCCAAATCTGGGCGGAATGTGCAAGATATGCAAAGAGAGGACAGGGCCAGCTCGAAGAAGGTATCAAGTATCATCTGCAACACTAATGAAGCATGCGAGCATCCGACTCTGAGGCCAACCGACAATCACACAAGACTCAAGGAGCAACCAGCACAAAGCAATCGTCCAATAAGCTTACCATGGCTATACTATCTTGTATCGTGTACTTCAAGCGGTCAGTAGGAATGCGGTTGCTCGATTAGTTCTAGGTCTGCAAGATTGTGAAGCTTCGCACTTGAAAGTTTTTGACGTTTTGACAGGATGACAGAATGTTGAATGAGCGATTAGACAAAGTTTGCCAGTTCAAAGCACTCACAGACGTGTGCATGAGAGCTGGCGATGATCAGAAACAAGGTAAACAAACGAGGCATAAGCCATATATTCGGTCAACTCAAGAAATAAACAATTAACAGAAATTTACATGTGTCGCTAAGTAATGCACTCAATCGTCAGTAAGATCAAAGACAACGTTCGAGTGCTGAGCAAATTTAGGCTCTGCTTTGACTTTTTTGGTGACTGCGAGTTCCTTGTTCAGATTGCCACCCACAGACTTGGAGTGAGCTTCTCCAACATCAATTTGACGCTTCTTTCCCTTCTTTTCCTTCTTATCATTGTCTTGATCGTTGTAGGCCTTCCTCTCGATCCATTCCTATGAGGTGTTTGATCAACGTGAGGACTTTGTGTCGATGTTTGATTGCTGAAGTTCAGTTCAAACTCACCTCCTTTGGTATAATATCATTGATCTCTAACATCTCACGGCTCCTGTAATGAAAGGTGATTTTGGCATCTGGAATTTCACGGAGTGGGTGAAACTGGGCTGATTTTCTGAGGTTTGTAGTGCGACTAGCGCCATACTAGTGATTAGACGTGAGTTTTCAGCATGCTTATATCAGCCAGTGAATATTTACATGTGTGGAATTAGACACGAAAGTTCCGGGGACCTTCTTTGAGGCACTTGTTGAGGATGGCGTGTTCAGCGTTGCTTTATAGGTTCTTGCTTCTGATACGGTAGTCTCTGTAATACTCAAAAATATGTTTAGTGTTGATTGAGAGCTTCCAAAAAGTTGCATCCTCACTTCCTTTGATGCCAGACTGTAAAGAAATCTGTATAGAACCAGGTCCACCATTCTGACCCTTTTGGTTTTGAATTTCGGCTGCTGCATAGTATTCCACTATACGAGATGTCAGTACGGAGCTGTGTTGACGTGGCGAAACATGTCTCAAGACGTACTGGTTCCTGGCTCGGGAATGGCCTGGTAAATTACGGGGCCAAAAGTAAAGGCACGCCTTGTGGTGGGGCCAACTCTCATTCCCTAACAAAATGGCAAGTGTCACATAATCCTAAGACTGGTCAGTTGATTGAGTTGGACACTTACGTCAAATGTTGAGGATTTAAAGGTATTTCGGTCCATTGAAGTTGATTTTTGCTTTTCACCATCGGCATACCTAAACGAGTCGATACCAACGGTTCATAATTGAGAATTAGATTCTCCGACAACCTGTCAGCTTACAAGGTCTCTCCAATGTCATTGCGGTGTAACGCTGAAGCACCGAAGAATCGACTGCGTTGAACTTTGACAACATATTCCTTGGTGGAGCGAGCCTCAATGAAACATTTGATTTCATAGCATGCCTTGCGGATGCAAACAGTTGAATGAGTCTGACATAAACCCACTAACAAACGCTACGTAAAAGGCTTACATCTGCATCATTGAAAGATTCTTCGACTTTCCATTCTTGAGCACGCTGAAAGACACCTGGTCGTTTTGAATTTCGACCCAAGCTTCAAATCCTTGAATCTTCTAAGAAAGTCAAACCCAGATGTTAGCATTGATGTTCATTCTCCGAAGCAGGTTTCGTCAAAGGAATCCAGATGCAAACATCATAAAAGAGTCGTGTATTCCGACGTGCTACATTCACTAGTATTCAGCCTTTCAAGGGCTTGGCCAAAGCAGCAATGCTCTCAAATCAATGAAAATATCCACTAAGTATGCGAAGCTCAACTTTTATCGCAGGACTCACCATTTTCAAGGGGCACTTAGAGCAGTATTGCTGGTAAATACAAGACTCGGTTATCCTGTAAGTACAAGGCTCGGTTATCCTGTTGATGGACGAGAATTTTCAAATGAATTCACTCGCAAGCAGTGACTGTTGGTAGAGATGGGTTTCACTTGGTGGCATAAAAACAACATCAAACTGAAATAGGACGATGATGCCAGCCAGCGACAAGAGCTAGAGTACGTGCTTCAAATCTTCAAATCACATTACAAATCGTGAAATCGTGTGATAGCCAATAAATCGTTCTTCAAATGTATGTGACAAAAATCTCAGAATCACGTGCATGTCGCCAACAGTTCTCAGACGCCGCTGATGTCGATCACCATGACATCCTGGAAGAAGATGTCGCCTTATACTGTAAAATGGCGCGTAAACTTTGAACAGTCGTGCCTTGTAATTGAGACCGATTACTTTCAAATCTTCGTTGGAGACAGAGCTCGTAGCTAAGGAAAGGGATATTGTTAATGGTATTGAATCTAACTCAACTCCGTACACAATGTACAACATATCGACCATTGTCTTCTTTTCCTTGGCCTGTCGTTCAAGAACCAGTTGGTAAACGATGTTCTTGACTTCGTCGAGCTGTGATTGTTCACGAAAGCGTGAGAGACTTTGGTTACAATGATTCACGAATGTGAAATTGAACTTAATTTGGATTCAGATATGACTAGTTCACCAGGTTTCAAGACAATGACAACACCAACAGGTGCTTTTTATCATAAAACAGAGGAGGCAGTAGTAGTGTTTGGAGGAGGCAAAAAGACATTCAGAGCTTGTCCAGGGGTAGCAGCTTCTTCATCAACACGGCGTTGGTTTTCTTTGGATGATGAGCCAACACTAGCTGGAAGCAGACAACCCAACAGCCTACAAATACATGAGAAAGTTGATGGGTTGGAATTCATGTTGTATCAAGCTTCCCTCGAAAAAAGCACGAGCTGCATGCAACGGTAACTCAATGATGGTCCATTATCAGAAAAATCTATTTTCTTGATACGCTGATGTATTTGTACGGAGTGATTGACTTGCTAGCGTTTTTGAATTATGAAGGGTTACAGCCTGATACGATCTCAAAGACATAGAGTCCTTGTATGTCAAAATGTCTGGTGTGAGAAATTTGGAGGAAAGGAAACTGTGCAATATTGTTTTCCGTCCCATCATCAGCAGTGTTTGGTTCTTTTCTTTGTTTGTCCGTGACGCGTAGGCAAACATTTGACGGTCACGGGCGACGTGTCCAAAAATCAAATATCGGTCTAATTTGAACTCCCTTCACGTCTCTGATCTCCGTTTGCAAATTGTTTACACATCTCAATTGTAGGTGTTCACTTTTTTGGTTGGCGATCACGAACATAAGAGGTCGTGATTGGCGAAAACAGTGATACAGAATTTAAGATACTCTACAGAAAGACTGACTGAGGCTCTCGTACATGAGCGACCGCTTATCTCTCTCCTCCTTAATTTCGGCATTGCTTCCCGCGAGGCAATCACAAATCCAAGCACCAAAACTCAAAACAATCATTGGCATCGTCACGAAGCAACAAAAAGATAGATCGCGGTCGGAACAGGGCAAAGAACAGCAAGGAGAGGTCTCTTTTTATAAATGAAATTTCGCTCTTACACTTCTCTCACTTTTAACTCAATGCTTTTCTTCAGACACCCCGTTGGCCCCACTAATAGGTATCTGAGCCTTCAAAGCTGCAACTTCATGATTCAAATCGAGGATTCGCGCATGAAGAGCAACAGTCTCATGCTGTGCCAATTCACGTAATCGAGTTTCTTCAGCACGAATATCATTCACAGCCAATTCAGCAACTTCAACCTGACGTCCCAAATCATCACGTTCTTGTCGAGCTTGCGACAATTCAGTTTTCAAGTGATCGATCTGGCTAGTACTATTACTATGAATATCATCCAATTGAGTTTGTAGCATATCGATACTGGTTTGCATGCGACTGACTTCAGCATCGTATTCTTCCTTTTGACAAGATGCAGCCAATGCAATGGATTCCATTTGTTCCTTGATTGTAGAGATGGTGTCATTGAGACCCGGAATTGTTGATGATGTCAAGTCATTCAATGCTGTCTGCATGGCATGGCAGTCGTCAGTCTTTTCCTTCACGAGAGCTCGAGTGTTCTCGAGATCTCGTGATAAGACTTGTTTATCATTGGAAATGGATTCCAAATCAGTCTTGAGGTGTTCTAGTTGTTCTCGTTCAAGATGGAGTCGATCATAGTCTTCAGCCATTGCATCACGAGCTTCAGTGAGACGACCATTTACTTCTTCAAGACGAGTACATTCCAGCTTGAACTTTTCAGCTTGACTCTTTGTCTTTTCGACTTCAGATTGTTTGGCCTTCAAGTCTGGTCCCAGACGGCATTCCATATCGTTTAGTTTACCCTTTACTTGGTCTCGTTCTATGATAATGGCATCCCGTTCAGACATGGCATTATCTCGATCAGACATGATGACTTCACGTTGAGTCACGACTGCCTCGAAATCCTTTTCGAACGCAGCGAGCATTTCACGTGCCTTGGCCAAGTCAGAGACCGATCGTTCGTATTCTGAGCTGACTTGAGATAAGGTCATTTGAGCTTCACCAAGAGTAGCCACCAGAGTATCTCGCTCTGTCACTAACTCTTGCATGCCATCACGAGTTTGACGAAGTGCTTTGACATTCTCATCAAGAGCACGTTGAGTTTCGTCACGGTTGATTTCAAGCTTTTCCTTGGTAGCTTCCAGGTCTCGGATTCTGGATTCAAGACCAGATTGCAAGACTAAATAAGCTTGCTCAGATTCAAGCATCATGGCTGAATGAGCTTGAGTCATGTTGCTGAGCTTGATGTCTCGAGCTGATTCGGCTTCAGCGAGTAGTTCCTCTAGCTCAGTGATTCTTTGCTTGAGTAGAGGAAGCTCAGCTTTGGCAAATTCTGATACAGGCTTTTTAAGGAAGGGGTCAGACATACTAACCATGCACGAAGTGTAATGTCAGAGCAAACGCTGTTCAGATCAATGTTCAGGACTAAATCTTTCAAGACGCAACTTACACTTGATGTGGCGACTGCAGTAGTAGAATCATCTGATTGACTACTGCGATTTTGTACGAGCTCAGTCGCTAAGTCAGCAATATATAGACTTCGTCGTTCCAACTCTAGTTTCAATTCAGCGGTTTCGTTTGCTTCAATAACTCGTTCTTGAGACACACGATCCAATACTGAATAGGCGGGGAGAATCTCGTGTGAGCAAAAAGACCCGATATACAAGCTCTAAATTGACCAAGCGTGATCAGCAACTACCTGCACGAGCGTCAGTCATTCCCTCCGACATTTGAGCATTTACAGATTCCAACCGTGTAGCGAGATACGAGCTCAAAGCATCCTTGGCCTTGAGTTGTCGATGAGTGTATGACTCAGTCATCGCAGCCTCTAGCACTATAGTTTGTTTCGAGTCCAGTTTCAATAATGATTTGACCAGAACTAGTAGTTTGAATTCAAAGGTGAGAAATGACTGGAGTTGAAGTGGGAAGTACTGAACGTACTCGAGACTCTGTCGCATTCGTCACTGTACGAAGCAGCGTGTGGAGACAATGGCTGCACAGGAGAGCCAGAAGCAGAAGATTGAGCAGGGGATGATATTTTTGAAGATAATATACATTCGTCAACAGTCTAGTTGAATAAGGTGTAAGTGTCTGTGTTTAAATTGAAGCAACCACATGTGATGTTTGATGGCACGCACAACATGAGATGAATCCACGACTTTGGTCTTGTTCTTTGAGACCCATGAATGTACAATATACCACCATAATGAGAGGCCGATAGCAATGATGGCGATTGCGAATGGGAACTTGATGTCCTCCCAATACTCATTGTTGTTGTCTTGAGCAAAGATCTTGTCCTTTGGCCAGTAGTAAGAGGCAACTTCTGCCATGAAGCCACGTGTATAATCCATAGCTGACTTTCTTTTGGTGTGTTTTTATATTGGTTGTGTCTGTTTCGCTATCTGGTCGGTGTGTGAGAAATTTGCGAACGGGACGTGCAACTCTTCCCATCTTGAAACAAGACAGACAACGTGACAGACAGGCATATAGCGACTGCTTTAGCTTACATTCATTATATACATTGCAGAACTAGACCATTCCATTCACAAGAATGTCTTCAAAAGGTACAATCTATTGTCATTCTTCTTAGCCACTGATTGCCTCCGAATCTAACATGACATTGCAATGCCAAATAGGTGTGATTCTGGTCGGTGGCAGCTCGGTTGGAACCCGATTTCGGCCACTGTCTATGGACTGTCCCAAACCTCTCTTCCCTGTCGCTGGCGTCCCTATGATTTACCATCATGTCGCAGCTCTGGCAAAGTTGCCATCCATCAAGGAAATCCTACTCGTCGGCTTCTTTGACAACTCGGTGTTTGACAGATTCCTCACTGAGGTACAGATGGAATTCTACAATATCTCCATACGGTATGTATATGGGTCTATTCGCGACTGTTTGTGGTTGTTGTCTTTGGTGGTTGTTTCGCCATGTTGGGTCATCGTTTGGAACGTTCTTTTGCAAATCAATCATTGAACTGATACCCTACATCTTGGTGTCATCCATTCTTGGCATCCCATTCTACCACACTCAACAACCTCGCGAAGTCTCACTCCAACCACACTAGGTACTTACGAGAATACCAGTCGTTGGGTACTGGAGGTGGAATCTATCACTTTCGAGATGAAATCATGAGAGGAAACCCAGACCACATCTTTGTAATGAATGCTGATATATGCTCGAGCTTCCCTCTGCAACAGATGCTCGACTTTTCAACAAAGATACCCAGTGCTGTAGCAACAGTGCTTGGAATCAAAGTAGATAGGTCTACAGTCCGCAAATATGGTTGTCTGGTAGTAGATCCAGCCACAAACGAAGTCAACCACTTCGTAGAAAAGCCTGAAACATATATATCCGACTTGATCTCGTGTGGTCTCTATCTCTTCTCAAAGGACATCTTTGACATTATCCGAGATGCCATCATCCATAGGCAAGCCGCTGCTCGAGAAGCCGGTGAAACAGAAGAAAACGCTACCGTCCCTCGTCAACTATCTACATCTGCCAGCTCAACCTCATTGGCAAACATGTCCACCTCAAAGGGACTAGATGAACGAATCCGTCTCGAACAAGATGTATTAGCTCCCTTGGCAGGCCAGGGCAAACTCTTTGCATATATCGGATCAGCTCCAGACGACTTTTGGATGCAAATTAAAACAGGGTCATCTGCAATCCCAGCCAATAAAGCATATCTCCAACACTTTAGATCCCATCAACCACGACGCTTGTCAACTAGCACTCGATCGTCCGCCGCTGTACCTTCATTAGCCGCTGTAAACGGCGCTCCACCACCAGAACCCGAAATCATTCAACCAGTATACATTCATCCTACTGCCATGATCCACCCAACTGCCAAAGTCGGTCCCAACGTATCTATCGGACCCCGTGTATTGATTGGTCGTGGTGTCCGTATCCGAGACTCTATAATCTTGGACTCGTCAGAAATTCGTAATGATGCTGCTGTTATACATTCTATTGTCGGATGGGACTCGAAAGTGGGTGCTTGGGCACGTGTAGAGGGACAACCTGGTGATGCTCATGCTGTAAATGCTACTCTAAAGGGCACAAAGATTCCTTCTGCTACCATCCTAGGTAAAGATGTGACCGTGGCTGATGAAGTGGTTATTAGGAACTGTATCGTGCTACCACATAAAGAACTGAAGAGTAGCTTCCATAATGAAATCTTAATGTAAACGGAAGTCAAAGAGAGTGTGTGAACTAAACCTTGACGTGTGTTTAGATGTTGCTATAAGTACGATGAGAGATGGGTCGTATTTTGTGTTAATGATAAGGTGTATTTTTTTAGCATATTATTAGGAAGAAGTTAGGGAGACGCTAGGGGTGGATGGTGTTGGAGAAAAACTTAAAAAGGAAACCCTAACCAAGAGAGTATATAAAAAGGCATTATAGATTCTCTTTTATAGTAGAGTACTACATTTTCTTTTTTACCTTCACACTCGTGTACGGGGTCTGTGTTTGGTGTAAGATTAACCATGATTGGGTCCTGTTCCCGTCTGAAAAGCCTTCGAGAGGTTGAGAGAAGAGTTTCGCTTCGAAAAATGGTCATGCTTCTTCTTGGCAGCATACGCATTTTTGAAGTTTGGTCTAGGCATGTGTCAGTTGTGAATCTGAAAAATTCACATTATCTGCAAATCTTCCCTTTTCCAAGTCTCCTCAGATTTCAGCAATAAGCCGACGTTGAAGGAGATCAAAACTCACGGCCAAGTCCAATTCATAGATCGAAATGGCAAATATCATGCGAACAAAAAAATGCATGGTAGTCATGATAAATACCTGAGTGGCATCCGCGATCGTGCCCTTGTTGAATTCCTTGTTACTTTCGTGACAACGGCCATTATACGAGCAGAAGCTAGGTCTCAGTCCGTGCTTCACAACACCCAGAAGGTTAGCGGTTGTGGAGGCGTGAAATGTGAACATCAAGACTTGCCGAATCGAAAGAGCGAAAACAAGTGTTATACACAGCCATCATATTAATCAAGACTTGCTCATTCTCTCGTTCTCTTTCTCACTCTATATCCGCTGTCTGTTCCTCCCATCGGACACTCCCATCTCACCCTCTTCAAACAATTGCACACAGCAGAAATGATAGAAAGAACCGATAAGATCCATTCATGTTTGACAGAAAACGTATACAAGGCAATTAAACTTGGTCGCTAATGGGGTGGAGATCGTAACGAAAAACAAGCACATATTTAAGACTCCTCTCGAATCATTTCAACGTAAGCGGCAGGGAAGGCACCTATTTCGAAAGATACATGAGTAAAGTCCAGGACCTTTTTTTGTGCATGCGTGTTCATACCTTTAGGACACGGCCCACCATCATCCACAAACCCATCCCACCAATCCGTATTCGAGGCATCAATAACAGATATCACGTCACCAACATTAAATGTCAGTTCTCCTTCGTTTCCTTCGAAAGAGTATAGCGCTCTTGCTTTTCTTGTCTTGAGTCCCTTGTCAGCGATGATTTGGTCGAGGGATTTGTCGAGGTCGCCCCATGTTCCTAGTTGGCTGCTGACGGAACCTGGAATGGCCGATCCATCCGGGTTTACCAGTTCGACATAGCTAATTGAAGGTTTTGTTAGTGAGTGGTGCATGATTTTGGACAGGTATGAAGTGCTCACTTGACTGGGAATTGACCGCGTCCGTGAGGGCCTTGTCCCTCCCACCATGCTTCGGAGCCAGTGTCTTGGTTGAGGATGACGATAATGTCGCCAACTGAATGAGAGATATATGGATATCAGCATTGTGCAAAAAAAACAGAGTCAAATTCAAGATGCTCCTCAGCAAAGGTCACAACTCACCATCCATAGTCAGTTCTCCATCACACGTAGCTTCATAGCTAAATAGAGCCTTGGCTATACAGACACATACGGTAGCTCAGTGGAATATTCCAGCCTAGAAAGAACTACATCCAAATGAACAATGGTCACACCTTTTGGATGTCCATCAGTATTCTCCTGCGGCTCCGCTTTAACAGGCGATCCCGGTTTAGTAGTCGACGAAGGGGCAGCAGGCGGAGGAGGTGCAGATCCACCAGCAACAGGTTTACTAGCAGGTGAAAGACTCATGGCACTATTCGCCAAATCGTTCTTGGGGTTCTTGGATAGTCCCTTGGCAGCATTATCTTCATTCATGGCGGTTGCGACAGCTTCCCATCCAGATGTGAACACGACTGGGAAGGTTCCTTGCTTGCTTGTAGCTAGTACACGACCTTCCCACCAAGCGTCGCTGTGTGCGTCGTTGATTTCGAGGACTTCGATAATGTCGCCGGCTTTGAAGGATAGTTCGGAGGAGTCTGTGCCGTTGAAGTCGTATAGTGCCCGTACTAGATTCGGCAAAAACATATCAGGGCTTGTTGCCTGGCAAAAAATCGTGGTCAAAAGCGCAACATATCGTTCATTATACTCACGTTGGCGTCTGGTGTCAACAGCAACATGCAACATGTGCCCCGTAGGAGGAACAGAAACAGCAGGAATATCAACCAATCCCGATTTGGATGAATGAAGGCCCAAATCATTCAGTCGTTGAAGCGACCCAGCAACTTTGGGCTTGATATGACTGCTGCTGTTGGTGTCTCCAACTCGAACAACACTTGTGGGAACCATTCCAACATCGTCTCCCTTTCGAATACGTAACCAGCCGTCCAAGTCGCTTGAAAGGACGACGACATTGTCATCGACTTTGACGGTGACTTCCCCGGATGCTCGTGCTTCGTAGTCTTGAATAATGACACCGCCGGGTGTTCCGGAGCTGCCTCCCACGAAGAGTGATGCTGTGCTTACGGCTGGAACTAGTGCTTCAACTATATTGAATAGTGGTTCAAGTTAATAACCAGCCAAAAAGGACCTCTATTGTATTCGAACCTCCTAAGCTAGTCAAGAGTTCTATCTGTGCAGTGATCTTGGTATGTTCACTTCTCAACAAATCAATAGAAGTCTCCAATTCAAGCTTGCTCTAATATGTGCAAACGAAAATCAGCATTGTGGGAAAAAAGCCGAAGAAAGAAGTAAGGATACCTCCAAAGGTGTAGCAGCATTCCCAAACGCTGGATTTTCACTATAAACCTGAGCCATTTGAACAATACCTGCCAATTCCTTTTCTTTGCGATCCAAATCAGATTTCAGCTCGGATTCTCGTGTCATGATACGAGCAAGTCGTTGGCCCAATACGACTTTGGTGACATCGTCAACACAGATGGCAGTTCCCTAATGCATCAACGTGTGAGCCGAAAAAAATGGTAGCAAAGAAAACCGAATCCAATTGGGTTAGCAGTCCTTACATTGTCATTCGACGATGATTCAAACTTGAATTCCTTAGGATCAGCAACAAACACTGGATGGAATTCCTTAACGAATTGCTCGTTTTCCTTGTCACGGTTGATCTTGTTAACTGCCTGCTGAGTAATTTGAACGGAACCGGTCAACATGGTAGCATATCCTTCTTCCAAATTAACCAAAGTGGTTAATGCTTTGCCGAATGTTTGATAGTATGTGCCATCCAATTTCCTCATTAGAGATGGGAGGTCGACTATATTTTGTGAAGGAATATGCATCAAGGAAGGGGGTGTGTCATTTTACCAAGTTACTCTTACCATTGTAGTATTGAGATTGTTGGGCATTCAGTCCCTCCAATACTACCAAATAGTCGTTACGGGCATCAGCTAATCTTCGAAGGGCGGCCTTCCATTTTCCTTTCAACTATCAACAAGATTATGCAGGTCAGCAAACCTGAAATCCGTAAAGAGTACGCCCTAGCATTGAGTCCATACCTTCTCTAATCTCTCCTCAGTATCAGTTCCCTTCATGATATTCTTCAAGCTGTTGAGAGCCGAGTTTGGCCTCCTCGAGACATCATCGTACTTCTTCTTGGCAGCATCTGCATCTTTTGCAGCCTTGTCGTAAGCGATTTTGGTCTAGAAGATTTCATGTTGTGTTCAGTAATAACTCGATCAACATCCTATTCCAAAACCTTGCCTTTTCCAATTCTTCATATGATACAGCTAAACCGTGATGATATTTCGACTATTGAACGTGTCTCAAAGTTAGAAAAGAAGTATTTTCAGGACATCCGTTCGTCAAGCCGACTGTTGCTGAAACTAAAAACTCACAGCAAAGTCCAGATTCTAGATGAAACATGTGAGTGGTATGTGTCATGCAAAAAAAATCCTACGTAAATCGAGAACAATACCTTCTTGGTAGCTACGACCTTGTCCTTGTTAAATTCCTTGATGATCTCGACAACATCTGCCATAATCTTTTCGGAAACTAGACCCCGTTCTTTAGCCTGCTTCTCAGTTTCGAGAATCATGGTTTGGAAGGCCTGGAATGCGACACTGTGACAGAAGTCCAGATATCAGCAAAAAAGCGACCGAGTAAGATCCACCATATACAAAGTATTCACCTGGGCGTCAATCGATCAGCCTTCCGGGCCACCATCGGAGCACTAGATATAGCGGTTCCGACACTCATGGTATCATCACTCTCTGTTATAGTAGCTGGTGGTACGGCAGCTCCATTTTGCGTGTCTGCAGTTATTTCAGCAGAGGTTCGTTCGACAGTTCCATTCTTTGTTTGGATTCTTCGATATTTCTTCTGAATGTATGTTTTGCTAAGTTTTTCGAGTCTTGAAAAGTAGTCTTGTTCGATCTCTGCCCGTCTCTACATAATGGGGAAAGTTAGTGCTTGACACAATTCAGTTCACGGAAGCTCTTCCAAAAGACGACAAGCAGGAGCATGCGATAAATTGCACTAAATATGGGTGGATTTTGTGGATTTCAGTATCTGATACCTTCATATAATCGCGAACGTTTTCGAGCAATTCCGTATCTCCGTCACTCTTGAGCTGGAGTTTGATGATTTGCGATACGTGTTGAGTTCTAAGGGCCTTGATGACTGCATGCAGATCCGGCTTTTTCTCCATTGTTATGGATTAGGCTATTTGGTATAAGGTGTCTTGAGTTGGCTTGTCGTCGAGGAAATTGCCGTGCTAAACGACTGCGATTTTCGTCGACCCTCCCAACAAAGTTTCCAATCAAGACGTGTAAAATGCCAATAAAATATAAAATACGTGATTAACGCGTATCCTTTGTTGTTTATATACAGATCTGCTTGACATCCATCATCATGTTCAACACTGCTCACAAAACCATTCACAGACTTAAGCCTGATCAGTACTTTCCCTTATTGTTTAGAATCAATGTTGAGCTTTCAGAGCGTGGGCCAACCTCCAATTCCAGCTTCTCAGCGAAGCATCAAAGTCGAAACGTATGTTCTAATAGATCTCGTAAAATCGCCTTGTCTTAACACATTGAACTTGATAGACAATCATGTCAGGAGAGCGTCTCAACTGTCGAATTTTCTCCCTTTGATTCATCTTCAGACCTGCTCGCATATGGTACGGCCTGTTATGTTTTCAAAAGCAGACCTCAATTCAACATCATCCATCATCCTATTCAGTTTTTTTGTCGCTGAGCTCTCATCACCAAATTATACAATTAGGAACGAAAACTGGTTTGACTGTATTGAGAAAAGACACGTCTGCTGCTCCTGGAACTGCTCAATACACAAAAGTCGAACAGTTTGTGACAAACACTCTGGTGCTTGGAATTGCATTTGGACGTGCTACTTATTGTGACGATGACACGTGTCATGTCGTGTATGTAGACTCTAGTCTCATCAAATGTGATCCGAGGCTCAACATTCTTACGCAAATAGGATTGCAACATTCTGCGAGGATGGCCACATCAGGCTTCACACCTCAAACAAACCAACAATAACTCTCTCCAAATCACACTCACATGGCATAAACGACATTGCTTGGATTTATGAACATCTTGATGATGGAAATGGTGGCATAATAGAGCGCGAGTCTATTGCTTCCTGTTCAGGTCAGCCCTCGATTTCAAACCAGCAGAGCACAAAAAAACGAAATTATAGAAGTCTATCATACTTTAGACGACGAAAGTGTTCATATCAGACAATTCAACAACAATGTTGATCCCGAATCATATGCATTATCATCAGCGGGAACATCAGTCAATGTACCAACAACAGCCCAACACAACAACAACTCCCCATCATCATACCTCTACGCATGTGAGAGTCGTGCAAGTGTGAATATCATGTACCTGAAAACTCGAACCTGGATATTCAATGTGATTGTTGGTGAAGAGGTTGAATTACGAGGTCTTGATGTGTGGAGTGGCGATGACAAGATGTGAGCTCGTATTCCAGCGATACTGATACTCGTTTTGTGCACATGGCTTATTTTTTGATGATCTTAGATTTGGAGCAGCATCGGCACACAACTATCACCTATGGACAATAGCACCTAATCACGCAATACACCTGCCATGGAGGAGTGGTCCCACTACATCGTTTAGGGCTCAAGGTGTGAATTTACCAATACCACCTGGATCGTCCCATTTGGTTCGTTTTGCCAAGTCAAAGAGTGGAGGTGTGAGGTTTGCTGTTTCTGCTGATGGTGGGATTAGAGTGTGTCATGCTTCTTCTGCTTGTGAGTATAGAGTCAGTCGAAGGTTCGTGTCGCTTTTGTCGCTTACCTCACATCATCATAGTATCAAAGACCTTATCCCTTCCAACCAAACTCAAACCAAATCTTCCACTCAAATACTTTGGTTGGCATGCTCGTGACAGTACAATAGTTGGATGTGTTGGTAATGACCTTGTCTTCTGGGTTGGTGTATAGAACATGGAGGTTGCGATATGGAACTTTTTGAAGCCAAGGCTCTCTCGCTAGAACCTTTTGTATATCAGCCACGCCTCAATCAATAAAAACCGGGCTCACGATGTAGAATACCAGGAAGAATGGTTTGTTGTATACGGGTATCAATGTCGTATGATTCTCTATCTTATGTCGTTTTTCCGTCAACATTACTACCCTTCAAGTGTTCTATCAGTAGGCATTAGGCAACGCAGATACATGGATGATTCAACGCAATCAACAGCTTTCGTTGCCAAACATTAAAGCCGCGAATGCCACAACCAACTTCATCTCATCAGCTAGCATTTCGCCAAGAAGCGTTTCCTCATGTCATTAGAAAGGAGCAAATCGACCCCAAGTCTCTCTGTCAAAGTCCGTGCAAGTGGGATTCAAGAAACCCGTGAAAAAGTCGAAACGAAATGAAGGAAACTAGAAATTCCATGTTTGGTGGTGTGCTATCTGTTGTCTTCGAATATGGATGGGTATAGTGGTAGACGTAATCGCCAATTGCAAAAAGGCTTGAATCGCAGACCGAATGACACTTTCAATCATTTGGCTTCTGTGCTGCATACGCAGAATGGAGCTCAGAGGTATTCTAACGATGACTCGGTCAGAACGTCACAAAGGACTTCATATACCAAGTCTCAAGCCACAATGGAGATGTGATCGGTGCAGAAATTTCTTCCCCGGTGGTAGTTTGCAATCTGCACAAGTATTTGACAAATGCTTGACTGGAGGAATAGGAGAGTATCTTCATGATGGAATGTTGCAAGAGGTTACAGCATCAAGTATGCTGATTCGAGGCACATAGTTTTCCGTTTCTTTTGTGCTCAGAGAATTCCTGTGTGTCTCGCTTGTGAGTCCTTCCAAACCATGCTTTGAGGGTGTCCTCCAGTGTTTTTTTCCTGCTGACCTTAAGCAATTGAAAATTCGATACATCATCTGTTGTTAATTGAAAAACCAGCCAATGTCGATGGATGAGCCTCCTAATGACAACCTATGGTTTTCTATTGTTTATACCCAAACATTCGCTTTAATCGCAGTGAAAAGAATTCTTCACCAAAATTGCGCTTGACCACCGATTTGGTTGCATCATCACACAAGAATCTGAACTGGAATCCAATCTGGATCGTAAACGAAAAAGGATCTCGCTGATATTGTTTACATGACGCAAAGTTTATAATGAGAATCTAGCATGAGGGAATGTAGCTATACCGTTTGAAGTGAAGAATGTTTGGTTTCTATTTTGGGATTTTGTTTGCTACATGAGTGAGTTGAACTCGCAAAGTAGCTTGAAGTGAAGATTTTCTATTGATGTCAAATTGTCGTCCAGTGATTTGAATGGCAGCTTACGCAATCGCTAAGAGGACGATGTGGGATTGAACTTCATCGGAAGACAATTAGCCTATCATCAAACTTGTGGTGTTTCTACTCTTTTTTCTGCAAATCCAGTCTTGATTTCAAGTCGCAGGGTTGCCTCCGTCGTTTGAACACGCACACACACACACACAAAGCACATGTACCAAATGAAACTGGCATTTTTATTCAGAAATATTTTTCTCAACAGATAAACTCACACTCCTTCAAGTACTCTTGTGTTAACCACAACACTACAACTTATTTTATGCAGTAGCAGCAATAGGAATACGAGCCTGAGGCATTCCAAGTACATCAGCGTAGCTTTCAGGGGTAACCATTTGAGCTACCTCAATACCACATCCAACACCAGCTTTACCACCTGCAGCTTCCCAGTCCTTGTTCATGCGGAGACCACGTTCACGCCAGATGGTAGTCAAGGCATCAATTAGTGGTTCCATGAGCTCAGCTTTATGTCCAGGTGTAGGAGTAATACGGAGACGTTCTTCTCCAACAGCGACGGTAGGGAAGTTGATGGATTGGACATAGATGTCGTATTTGGCCAAGAGTTCGTCGGATACCTGTTTAGATACTTCGGCATCACCTACTAATACGGGGATTATGTGTGATGGGTTTGGTACTACTGGGATTCCTAAATCAGCTAGACGGTTCTTTAATTCAAGGGTATGGTGTTGTTGAAGAGCACGTTCCATTTGAGAGGATCTAAGATGACGGATGGCAGTCAATGAACCTGCTACAATAGCAGGTGGTAGAGACGTAGTGAAGATGAAGCCAGGAGCGTATGATCGAACTACATCGACCAAGGCAGCTTTACCAGCTAGAGAAACGGGCAAGACGGATGATAAGTAAAAACCCTCATTAGTGAAGAAGAATGATGCGGTCACCAACATACCGATATAGCCACCAACAACCCCGAATGCCTTGCCCAAAGTACCAGTAATGATGTCCACATCAGGCATTACATTAATCAAGTCAGCGACACCACCACCAGAGTTTCCATACATTCCAACAGCATGGACCTCATCCAAGAAGGTGAGTGCATTATACTTTTTGGCCAGATCACAGATAGCGGTGATGGGTCCTACCGATCCAGACATGGAGTAGACAGATTCAAAAGCAATGATTTTAGGTACAGAGGTATCATATTGAGCCAAGAGAGATTCCAGATGAGCTAAATCGTTGTGACGGAAGACATGCTTCTTGGCATTCGAGTGACGGATGCCTTGAATCATGGATGCATGGTTGGAAGCATCCGAGAAGATGACACAACCGGGCATTTTAGATGCTAGAGTGGATAATGTAGCATCGTTTGCTACAAAGCAAGACGAGAAGACTAGAGCAGCTTCCTGTTTATGTAAGGATGCTAGTTCCTGTTCCAGAGATAAGTGGAGCTGAGCGTTTCCGGCAATGTTACGAGTACCTCCGGCACCAGCTCCATACTTGTCTAGAGTTTGCCTAAGAAGATGTAAAACAAGCAGCGTGTAAATAACATGTGATGTCGAGTTAATTCGATCATTCACAACTAGTATATCTTCTTCCCAAACCAATCAATGAATGACCTCGTGAAGGTTTTTCACCAACACATTTTGTGTGACATCAGACACCTCATCACCTCATCCAACTCACTTCATGGATTCAATAACCTGAGGATGCTTTGACATTCCCAAGTAGTCGTTTGAGCACCATACAGTAACCTCTTTACCAGTGCCAGTATGAGCACGAGGGTATTTCTGAGCGAGCCGATTGATGTTATTAAAATAACGGTACGACTTGTCCTGGTGCTTCTTGTTCAATTCCTGTTCATAGAAGGCATCATAATCAAATGCTTCACCCTTTGGTGGAGCATAAGTAGCAGCATCGACCTTTACATTCATTGCTGGATTATGACGTGGAAGAGGCGGAGACGTTGTAGCTGTATTATCGGCATATGAGAAGTTGGTTTTGGCAGTAGGGAGGCCGTGAGGAGGCAGAGAGGCTGAATTGACACTGGATACACCTTCAGGTACGGCAGCAGCGTGAGAGCGCGATGGGGAGGTTGTGAAGAAGCGTTTACTGTTATGAGTATTGTTGTGATGAGTGATGCTTTGATGAGATGGTCGGTTTCCGTGATGGGAGACGGGGCAGCGAGGGACGGAAGCAGTGGCCATATTGTTGAGGTTAGCTTGCACGGCAATAGCTCGCGCCATTACAGGGCATGACTGGGCAGTCTTGAACAATGAGTTTGGTGACGTAGTAAATGACCTCAACGTAGAAACTGAAGCCTGTTTGAGAAAAGGGCATGTCTTGGTAGCTGCCTGTAGTAGTGCTTCCATCCTTGCTACTTGTTGTTTATGCTGTGTACTGGGTGGTGATGCGTATTCTTTGTGATTCGAGTTTTTTCTGGTGTTTGAAAAATGAATGACTCGTCTCAACGACCTACTGCACCACCAGATGTGGACGAAACGTGAGTGGCAAGAATAGCCTAAAGACGTGACTCTACGTGAGAATATGTCCGCAGAAGAATTCTTGTTTTGAATCTCGTTGTTTGTTACGGCCAATTTATTTGCCAAGCACATGAATCATATTGGATCGATGCGAAACCCCATACAAGGAAACAGTTTATTTAAAAATATCTCGCGTATTTTACGTTCAAAAACACATTTCACCTTCAGCTATTACACATTGTTGAGTTTTTGCAAACAATCCACAAATGCAGTAATCAACCTCGTGCTTCGAAGGTCGCCTGTTGCGCCCAATTCCAGCTTGTTCATCACGTAAGAAAATGATACATTGTTCTTACGGTCCCATAGTAGACAAGATCCTCCATATCTAAAGAGGAAAAAATAAGATGCCAACATATATGGTACTGACGTGTGCTTTTTAACGCACCCAAACCAACCCTCCCATGCACAGTTCGCATCCGGAAGATCTCTTTTAAACGGAGCTTTCAGACCGTGCGTCTGCGCCCAACCCCCTTTTGCAAATATGAAGGGCGCCATAGGTAGTGCTTGGTCCTGTTGTTGCAAAAATACCGTGATTTTGAGTCAGCCACGTCATCGTTCGTCTGTAAATTGAGACGCAGAAGCCTTACATCCATTAAAGGTAGTGGTTCCTCAGCTCGCTCCAAAGTAGACTTGTCGAGAATCTGGATTCCGTCTATCCAAGTTTTCTGTTGGTTTTTTTGGCATATCAAAGAATCATATAACAAAACACTTACCCAAAGTCCCATTATTAGCGATAACTGCACCAATTTTAGCCAACGATCTGGCATTCGTAATTCCATTTCCTGACGGCCATTCCATTTCTTGTCCGAGTCGAGAATTGTAGACACCCATTCTGTTTCCCTTATGAGCAACCATGACTTTTTGCAAGGCTATAATAAGCAGAAATCAGGCCTCAAACTTGAAGAGATTGGGCGTTTGGTTCAAAGAAATGGAAATTCAAACAGCGTTGTAATGTGTGTTTGTTTTGCCTTTTTGAAGTCACACCAAAAGACTTACTCTTCAACTTCTCAGCAATCGCAGGCGTCATTTGAAACCCCGGTGGCGCCCCCTTTTGGTCGATATCAATCAAGAACGACACCCTCGACGACAGCTCCTCAGGCAACCCAATATAGTACTCTACACCCAACGGCTTGCTAACATATTCTTGAATCAACTGTCCGATAGTCCTCTTCTGTGGATCAGACCTTCTCGTAATCTCATTGTTGTACAGGCCACGTGTACTTGCATGATATGCTTGCTTTCGTTCACCATTGTAATTGTGTGGGTTCGCAGCTAGTTTGACTGCTATTGCGTCCAGGTTGAGCAGTTCGTCGACTTCTAGTTTGTATTGGTCGTCTAACCATGCGACTCCTGCGCGATGGCCTAGCAGATCACCGATTGTGACGTCTTGCTTGTTTCCTTGTGAGAATTCAGGCCAGATCTATGAAGTTTGGTGACAAGTGAGAATGGTGAGAGAAAAAAACGGTTTACCATTTTTTCAACAATCAGGATCGACGTTCTCCTGGGGATCTTCACGATGCCTTACAACACACCAGAATAGCACTTACCGATGCAACCTTAGTATCGAAATCAAACCTTCCTTCTTCAATCTGCTTGCACATAACCAAACTCTCGACATTCTTGGATGTTGAAAACACGATCCTACAAACACGAGTCAAAACGAGTTTTCAGCACTTGGATGTTCTGAAGTGGTTCAATATCTCGTAATAGATGACAACGTACGTCAAACAATCCTTAAAAGGCGTCTTGTACGTCTTGTCTGAAAATCCTCCAGAAACATCAATGACGGGCTCTCCATTCACATAGCAACAGAGCTGAGCACCAACTTCTCGGCCTTCCTATAAATAAAAAATGAAATTATATTAGCATTGGTGTTTGCAAGTGCCGGATAGCACAATACAGTGTGTTATTCAGCATTTCTAATAAACATACTTCAAAGTTTTGAGTGAAGGCATGCATTAAGTCCTCATAGCCCTTAGATACATGACCCGTGATCTGCCAATCGGTAGGAGCATCTGCAGGAACCGTCATTTTGTCTGCTGCTCACAAAATCAACTTGCGACCAAAGTTGTGGTGTGTGTGTCACAAGTGAACGTGCTCACCATTCATATTTCACATTGGGCGGAGACAACTCCATACACGCGCGACTCAATTGATGCAAATATTCTGTAGTCACTGCGAGATGCGTTTTATTTATGATACAATTCATTACCAGTCTTTGATTGTTCTACTTGGTGGCCAAAGCAGCAGCAAGGGCCTTGCTCTTTTTCAGAGTAGCTTCGACGGACTTCTTGCCCATTATTCCACCACCCCATTGACGACGAGCATCTTCGTACTTTTCATTGTCTAGATAAGAGGTGATACCAGTGTTAGTTATATTTCGAAATGGCAACTGCTTTTTTTGCTGCACGGAGAGCGTAATGATAAAATCATCTAACAACGACAACAAAAACCAAACCAGTATCACATGATAACTCACAGTTGTTCTTGACGGCAGTAACCAAAGCAGCCAAATCACTCTTGTCTTCAGGCTTAGTATCAACAAAAGCCAAAGCAGTCGCAGTCTTCTTGTGCACAACGGTACCCAATCTGCTCTTTGACTTTACAATACAGTATGGCACACCCATCTTTCTGCAGAGCGCAGGCAACCAAATGACGATTTCAATAGGGTCAACGTCATCAGCGATAACGACTAGTTGAGCCTTCTTTTCTTCAACGAGAGCAGTGATGTGGTTGATTCCGTATTTGATGACTGTTGGTTTCTTTGATGCGGGTAGTTTCTCACCGGCTGCGACAGTGGTTGCTACAGCTTTGATACGGGCAGCCTTCTCCTTTTTGGTTTCTGGTCTGTACTTGTTCATGAGTTTGAACAGTTGAGTGGCTAGAGATGGGTGGATGGGTAAGTTTGAGTGGAGGCAAAAAAGACAGGAGGTATAACTATTTATGCCAACTTGGTGATGTACACCATCCAACGCACACAGCAATTAAGAATATACGTACCAGTGTTCTTGTCAAGAGTCTTGGTAAATTGGTTGATTGCTGGAGGGACCTTGAGACGCAACTTCATGATTGCCTTTTGGCGTTGCAATTGGACGTATTCAGGCCATCGTACGAAACGAGACAAGTCTCGCTTGGGTTGAATATCTTGGCCTACATACGATGAGATGTGTGAGTGAAACTGATAAAGAATGATGCAAAAACCCAGCAATGCGAAGGGACTATGGCTCACCAACACCAAAGTTCTTTGCAGTCTTTTCAAACAATGGGTTTTTGGGTTGTTTGGTAGATGCAGGCTTCTTGCCCGAGTAAGGAGCAGGAGCAGGTCGTTTTCCCTTTGCAGCTTTTGGCTAATGTCGAAAAGGTGGATGTATTTGTGTGAGAAAATGGCCCATGTCTTTTCGTCGTTGAAGAGTCTTAAAAGACCATGTTTCATTGAAGTATAGTCTTGCAAAAGATTTACAATATCTATATTCTCAACATATGCATATAGCACTTGAAAGTGCAACATATGTTAAGAAAGAGGTCGCTGATGACAGGACCCCTCTTCTATAGGCCAATTCACATCGAGTCTTGACAAATCCGGCAACAATGACGGTGGGTCCAGTATGATATTCTCTCTCTCTGTACTTACCATGTTGTTTCTTGTGATGGATGGATGCGATGGATGTTAAGTGTCGTCAAAAAGTCAGAGTAATACAGCGGGGGTCACCTCCACAATTCAGAGACGAAGCGTGATTTTAGCGAACATAATCTTGTTCTAGGCAGTTGTAGCCTACAAGGTCATTGCTTTAGGCTTGCAAGAGGTATTGTGACGCGTTTTTGATTTTCCTCTAGTGCTTCACTTCACTTCTGCCCTTACAGAAACTCTGAATCGTAGAAATGGCTCCGAATCATAGTAATAATGCTCAGCTAACCACGTTCACCTATGGAAGGTTCATGATCTTGGCATATTCTGTCTGGTTTCTGTGCGATTTGATTGGCCGAGAGCTCAAGAGACGCAAGAGTATACCAGGCCCAATGCCATTGCCATTATTAGGTAAGACTATTCCATATCGCGTACTCCTTCCCGTCCTTTGTCTGCATCATGATCTGCCAAATGAGCGACATCCAGTGGCCTGTTGTCAGAGATCACAAACCAACACATAGATCAGGCTTCAAAGTCACTGATGTATACTTTCAAAATTACTAATTCATACATCTTTACAATCATGTGCTTAGGAAATGTACCGGAATTGTTACTTTACTGGGGAGGCAATACGAGAAGGGCCCTTTACACCTGGCAGCTCAAGTATGGAGCACTATTCAGATGGTAAGCACTTGTGTCCAGAGCTTAGAAGAGCATAATTCACCTTTCCGGCCTTTAGGTATGGAGCTTCGCCAATACTAGGTGTGTGCCGTAGGTTGTTGAACTGCGATCGCCGAGACGTACCCTGTCCTTTGATCAACCCGTGTTGCTGATATCTGTATCTTGCCAAGGCTTTTCCTGGCCTTTGATCCACATAGGCGTTCATATTCTTAATCACGTACTTATCACTTATAGTCACGTCGTCACTCCCAATCGTCTTGGACATACTCTCGCGATCAAACATCAATCAACTGGCATGGGATAGAGCTCCTCGTCACGTCTATAATGAGTACATCCCACAAGGCCTCCCAAACTTACACGGAAACGAATGGAAATGGCGGAGAATCGCTATGGAACGTACTCTACCGCACGCACTAGGAAGGAATCTGACTGCAATGTGCTCGAAAATCGAAGCATGCATAGGACGGCTACCCCAGCAGCCTCGAGAATCCATCATGATGGATCCCATATTCATGGAATTGACTTGTGATATTATTGCTCACGAGTTATTTGGACGGGATTTGTCATTTGCTAGAATGAATGATCCGACCTTTAGCACCTCGCAGCATCTAGTGCAGGCTTTTGAGATGGTGTTGGAGGCTATGAAGGTTGAGATTCTGTCGGTCAAGTTTAGGAGGGCAAAACCCGAATGGATTACCATGAAGCAGAAGGTGAGAGAGTGGCAAGCAAAGACTACTTAGCCATGATACATCGGCTCTTTTTGTCGTCATCAATCAAGTATATTTTGATTACCTAAACCACACACTCGATCTATAGCTTCTTGGAATCTTCCTTTTGTCTTCTATGGATGCAGTCGAAGGCTCATTTGTACACGCTCTAGCTCAAGAACCAAAGTTTGCTCAAAATCGTCAATTGCTTGCTCAGGAGATATTCAACTTGATGTTGGCTGGGTTCGATACGGTAAATTTTTGTCAATATGATTTAAGTATCTTCAAGACTCTAACAATCCATTTCAACGAAAACAATTACGTATGCAGCTGGCACACAATGTATCATTTGTTGTCGGTTGTCTCGCAAGTCATCAACACATCCAAGAACGTGTATATGATGAGATTGTCGCTGTCGCGGGAGGAACTTCAGTAGATGTCCTTGATATGGAAACCGCCGAAATCAAGAGATTGCATTTATTGAATTGTGTCATCAAAGAATCGATGAGGCAATTCACAAGTGGTTGGGCAGTGACCATGATTCCGAAAGAAACCGAAATGGTCGCTGGTTGTAAGGTCGAAGCTGGTGGTTTGGTTATGCTCTTCATTGGTATGTGGTTTTGCTAGCAGACTAGTGTCGCAAGCAATATGCGCTGAGATATGTTTTTTTTTTTTGTCGCTTGTTGCAGGTGCAATCAACAGAGACCCAAACGTGTTTGTATCACCCGAAGAGTTCAATCCCGATAGATGGTGGGTCAATGAAGACCAATCAGAGGACGACGAAGGCGACAGTGATGATGATTCTGGTAGTGCCAGTACAGATAATAGTAATGCTAATACTGGAACTAGTGCGTCATCAGACTCAGACTCTGAAGTTGAATTCGTTGATGCATCAACACAACCTGGATCGTCATCGTCATCAGCCATTGATCCATCAACAAGTGAATCAACAACAATACGACAGAGGCCAGGCAGGACAAGGAGGCCTGACCCACGAGCTGAAATGGCGCAGAGATTACCTGAACTGGGATTCTCGATGGGAGGTCATGCGTGCCCTGCATCGTCGTTTGCAACGAAGTGTATGAAGTTGATTGTGAGTGCTTTGATTGTAGACTATCGAGTGTCGCTGAAGCCTGGATATGTGCTTAAAGAAGATCTGGATTCGTTGAAGGTGCAGCCTGCTGAGCGTTTGCCTATAGTGTTGAGTAAAAGGGCGCCAGTTGTCTAGAGTGCTTCCTTTATAACTTATTTGCCACCACATACACGACGACATAGTAGTTTCTCTGAAATTTCGGATTTGTATATAAAAGTCAGCACATATAGAGAGTTAATACTACGTTTTAATGGTGGTGCATGTTATCAGTTGCATATTTGGTTCCCCACTAATGTAGAAAAGAGTGATTGTAAGTGTCCACATATATAGGCCCTGCTAGTGATTTTTTTGTGCATTCTGCCTCATACCTTCTTATCAACCTCCTCAAGATGAGCAAGCATTTCAGGTTTCTCCCATGGATGTTCATGTAACTAATCGCATTATAACCGTGTGTATCAACATTTTGCACACATTTTTGATGTCCTGCAAATAACAAACATAAACTTACAAAGTGATGAGGTCCATCATGCTTCATTCGATACATGACCCAAAACCAAGCGATGCCACATGCGATGGCTGTGGATGCTCTTCCACGAACCTAGTTAAGTTGACTATGGTTAAAAACAGAGACAAGGAGTATTTTAAAGAGAGAGTGGTTTGTTACCTTTGGGATTTGGAATCCTCCAAATGGCCTTCCTGAACCGTCCAGCATCCCTTTCTTTTATTGGTATTAGAAGGATGGTGAACGTCAACGGTTTTGTTGGTGTTGAAGTGTTAAAGAAACGATGGATAGGACGTAGAAACGCGTACTGGAGCTTAACAGCTGCTGGCAGTATTCCAGATTTAGTACCGATATATACAGATTCACCGAATCAGTACGTAAAAGGGCAGAACTTACTGGTTAGAAAACGCGTTGGTATTTCTTCAAGAAGTTCTGATAGAAGATTAGACAGGAGGAACTCATTGCTCATTGCTCACTTACACGCGTACTATAACTAGAACCAAGGTTTACTTCTTGGAGCTTCTTTCTTTCGGTGCTTCGAGTTGCATCACTTCTTCAAACACTGCAAAATCCAAGGCGTCTTAGGCATCTCGGAGACGAAGATATTACATAGCTTGGATGTATATTGAAGTTATCAGGAAAGGTAAATCTCGTACAATATTTCCTCACTGCTCTTGTCTTAAGTCTGCAAAGCTTGATTTTCCACCAACATTTAATCCAAGTCTCGCTCTAAGCTAAGTAAAACATAATCTTCAAGGTAGTGCTGATCCTGTATGGCCCAAGAGTATCTTCGGATCTGGTCAATTCGCATTCATTTATGTGAGTGGGTTGTGATCTTGTCTTCGTATTGGGGAACCAATCACATCCTGCATACTTGCAGCAGTCACCAATTACTACAGAATTGCACTACATATCTCTCAATATGAGCTCAAGCATTCATTCTTCCAAAGCTTCTTTGAGCAAATTGGTCAAAGATGCACCACAATCGCCAACATCTGATGGTCATGAAGACGAGGAGGAGCAAGTAGAAGCCGATGCTGATGCACCACCACTTCCAGACCTTCTATTCGCATTTGGACTGCCCGTTGAGCTAGGAATCCTTATAATGTCAATGCTCGACCTACCGTCTCTTTATACGCTCAGCCTCGTATCAAAGGACTCGAATCACTGGTCTGTCGGGTTACAAATCCCATATAAAGGAGAACTCGAATGGGATGAATTCTACCATAAGATACTTAACTCGCTAGAGGCGATGTGTGCACAGAGACGTAAAGTCCAGCATCGACAAAGACCATTCGAAATGATCAAGAACTTGAACTTGGTATCACTGATGTCCAAGATTTCAGCATCTACCGACAAAATCAGCACTCACTATGGATGTAGCGTGGAATCAAGACTCCGCTTGATAGTGAGCAAACTCGGAAAAAATGCTCGCTCTCGCCCATTATCAATTCCTACATGTATAGACTCTGATATATGGACCTACCTAGCTACCACGAATGTAAAGTTTCTGAAAATTCAATCATCTAGAACTTACATCAGCTCACGGAAATGGTCTACAGTTTTCCGAAAGCATCCGCTTCTGGAAGCTGCTCTATCCATCGGACTTGAATTGCAAACGGGATACGATCGTACGCTAGAAGATGAACGTATAGAACAGTGGCTCCTACAACTCGGTATCGCACAAAAGGACAAGTCTGTAAAGTCTTTTCGCATAGGAAGCGTACGCCATAAAGCACTTCTTGTGCCTATGGAAACTTGGGAAGGATTGCCATGGGGATCATCGACGAGCTTAAAGCAGCTCGAAATTTTCAACTGCGATTTCAGAAGAAACCCTTGTGGGGGTTTGGATTGATCGATTTAAACCGTTGGCAAGGATTCGAGTCGTCCGTTACACTTGCGACTGTGAAAATCCACTCTCATTCAAGCTCAAAGGAGCAAGATTGAGCAATCTAGCCATAGATTTAGATAGCTTTGATCGAACCGACGTAAAACGTATTGTATATAGGAGTGCTGCTTCCTTGGAGAAGCTACACCTCTGCTCTGACGATGAAGTCAGTAAGGGGTTCATTCTGAAGCCAAAAATTGAGCTACACAAGTCACGTCGATTATCAACAAAGCTTCCTCTACCAAACCTTGAACTCCCGGAAGATTATCTACGGATAGAGTGTATGATTGTAATGAACAATGTCATCAAAATGTCGACCGTCAACCAAAACGAAGATCTAGAGCACGCCCACCTCATAAACAAATGTGATACACAAGTGACTAGTAAGAGTGTTTGCTCTGAGAGTTCGTAACAGTTGGCACAACAGTGTAGTTGGTGTGGATGTATTTTTGAAATGTTGGAAGTTGTGGCGTCTTTTTATAGCGAGTTTTTTGTTTACATCGAATTGGGGCGACGCAGTGCGAAGTAGTCAGCATTTCAACCAATGAGCATCGAGGAGGGAGAAAAGTTGAAACAGGATTGATATGATCTGATGTACGATGTCGCGTTCTCGCTGCTTACTACCTCACAGTAATCATAGTATTGGTATCTACCAAGTTCGAGTGCCGCAGTTCACGTTTACTTTAGTTCTAGTGGACTATGGCAATCGTTCCTTGAGTCAGAGCCGAGGAATTACAATTAAATATGCTGTTTAAGTGCTGATATGTCCATCCGACATTCCTGTGAACTGATAAAGGCTCTTGATCATGTCCGAGGATTTGCACCAATGCAACAAGAACCTGAGTTGAGCTCCCATATAGAGTTGGGAGCGGGATTTCATTGAAAATGTCGTTCTCCATTCGTGGAACCTCTAATTCAAACGAGAAACGGTTTGTCTATTTGCTTAAATTTTCCTTGCTTTTTCATGTCTTCATTAATGAACCCACAACAACACACCTTACAGAAAAGCAGTCAAGCCGCTCAGACATTTCAGAGACAGATCGAACCAGGCTACTTCTGACTTCCGAGATTTGGATCTGGGTATTTTCTTCTTAGGTAAGTACATATTCGTGTTGTTTATGCACAACGTGAATTTTCAGTCTAATTTATTGACCATCCGACATCATAGTAGGAAAACGCTGTCGACATGAGCTCAAGTATCAATAATGTCAACGCTTCCTCTGGCATATGGACCCGAGACGCTCCACAGCCGCCAAGTTATGAAAACGTAAACGATGCGACACCGTTACCATTACCCATTCCATTCGCGTTCGGATTACCCGTAGAGCTAGTAATAGTAATTATATCAATGCTGGACTTGCATTCCCTGCATAAAGTCAGTCTTGTCTCCAAAGATTTGAATCATCTGGCCTGTATGAGACTCTATGAACGAGTGCCCTATAAAGAAATCGAAACGACACAAGACGTCCACGTTTTCATCAAGTGGATTAGTGAGATCTTTACTGAAAAGCCCCACCTGCTTTATCGCCAACGTCCATTCGACGTTATTAAACAGCTGGACTTGGTGACCCTGAAGCAGTCTGTGTATCCCAACAGGGAGAGTGTCTCATCCGAAGTACGGGCCTATAAGCAGTATATACGAAGAGTCATTACCATATTCTGTAAACGGGCCTTGGTTTCGTCTCCCAGATTTGTGGAAGCCTCGTTCCCACAATGCATTCACCCTGGCTTGTGGGTTGGGATGCCTAGCAGCAATCTCAAGAGTCTCAAACTCCAGTTGTGTGGAACAACCTTGACTCCCGGTGGATGGTCTCTGTTCTTCAGACAGCATCGGCTGCTGGAGAGTTTGACTGTTGAAAGGGATGCTGCCGATGAAGATACTACTATGACTGACACGGCCATCAACCGCTGGCTCTTGAATCTCGGCATGGGCTTGAGGACAAAATCTCTGAGATCGTTTGGTATAAGTGGTGTAAATGCTAGTCTTCCAATCCCGTCAGAATTTTGGACTTACCTCGTAAATGGCTCGTCAGACACACTACGTAAACTTGAGATACAAGAGTGTAGAATTGCTGAAGCTCAAGCTTCTAGTTTCGTCAGTCTGTTCAAAAGCTTGGAAAATTTTAAGGTCGTAGATTGTAGATGTGATTGTGAGGAGGGGGAGAGACACACGTTAAAATTCGCTGACGAGACCGGAATAAAGAGTCTTCATGTAGGACTGGAACGCTTCGATCGACACGATGTAAAACGTATTGTAGAGAAGAGCGCTCACTGTCTGGAAACCTTGCATGTCGGGATGACTGACCTGAACGACGACTCCTACCTCTTGGACTTGAAGTTTGACCTAGTTAAGCTACGGAACTTGACATTATCATACTCGCTCTTTGATTTCTCAGAGTTCCATGAATCGACGATGGCTGGCCTCACTGCATGGATTGAGCAACATGGTCGTCAGCTCGATTTTCTAAGACTTGTCGGTCTAGGAGAGACACTTCCCATACACCAACTAACAAGCCATACGATATTTATAAATCATTGTGAAAACATCACGGCCTTGCATTTAGATCTATTCCCATGGACCAACCGATCTGTATTTGAACTCTTGACGGGTCTGAAGAAGCTGCAACGTCTAGAACTGGACTTGATCCACAATTCCGAGCTTCGTCATGCTTTTTCTGGAGATTGTCTATTGGAAGCTGCTGCCGCCATGTACAATGCACGTAGGAGTCCATGCACTATAAAATTCGACGATTATATGATGCATAACAGGAACCCTCAGATCACTTTTGGACGAGGTGGCAGCATCTTACAAGGACTAGATGTCACCCGAGGGAACCTGGATCTAGAAGTCAAGAAGCGCTTTAATGTCTTGGCAAAGGTTTTAACATTGAAGTGTGATTCTCCCGTTAAGGTGGTGGATGATGTGGAGTCTTCCTGGCCAGTGTATAGGGTTCCGGAACCATCAGACCTAGTGGAACTAGATGTAAATCACGTTGGAAGATAGGGATGAGGATACAGTCAGTAGTCAAGACTAATCTGTCCCGTCGCTTCACAATGGGTCTCTTTAACTAGTAGTAATAGACTGAACGTACATGTAAACAAAAAATAGCTCAGATAGAGATGAGTCGCGTTAGACCTTCCTTCATCAGTTCGAAGTCAGCTCGAGGCGTCGCCTGAAGAAGTTCAGTCTTCTGCATTAAGCTAATATCAATACTAACCGACCGTAGGAAGGCAAAAAGGCGTCTCCGTAGGAAGAGACACAGCTGTAACGAACAGATACCTTGAAGTTCCCATAACGACATCTGTCGTCCTCTTAAATCGCTGTTGCCTCACCAAGAAAAAACTTGCTCCTCTTGTACTCCTGTCTAGACCATCTCAAGGCAAACGAGTACTGGCTATTATGGAATTTTATGAAGTATCGTGGAAGGAAGACGGTATACGGCTGCCTCTCGATGTGCTGTATGTGATTTTCGACTACATCATTCACTTTGGAAAAAACGACCAAATGACATGTCTGCTTCGACTCGCACGAGTCTGTAAACGCTTCAACCGACTCGCCACCAGTATCATATATAGTATTGAATTGGATTTGATGAGTAGTTGGCGTCGCAGCTCACGAGTTGCCTCCTTCATGCAAAGTATTGGTTACTTTAGGGAAAGCTTGACCGGTTATCGGCAGGTGGCTCTGGAACATGTCAAAGGACTGTCTCTCTCTTGGGAAAATCTAGAATGGCTCGGTGGTCTTGAGAATTTCCTCTCGTTGGAATCGTTGCATTTTGAACTTAAGGGGATATGTCCCTTATTGCCAAAATGGAACATGCCATCTACTCTGTCGAGGCTGGGTCTGGATTTCTCGTATAGTGACGACACAGCTTATACATGGGACGTGGTTGCCCAACGTATACCAACCATCAAGTCCTTGTATATCAAAAACGCTTCAGCCAAAACTTTGGTCAGGTTGTCAAAACAATTGATATCCATGTTGAGTTTGTCAGAGTTCTCTGTACAAAGGTCGGAATATTACTATCATGATGAACTGTCACTAGAACCTCGTATTTTGACCAGTTTAGCTAAGTGCAGTAGCAAAACTCTCATGAAACTAGTCATAACAGATTATGCACTGGATAAAATACTACCTAGTGTTTTGGCCAAGTTTGAATGTCTCACCGACATTGACTTCCAATACAATGAAGAATTGGGTACTCCAACGCAGGGCTACCTCAGACCAGATCAGCTAAAGGCTTTACGGAACGGTATTCAATCATTTGTATACCAGTCACCAGGGCCTCCACTCAACATTACCGACTTTGTAGTATCAAACTCGGCGTCTCTTGAAAAACTTGTCATAGTAGGAACATCAGCAGTAGTAGGGCCCGTGCTCGACCAATGTCTGAAATTGAAGGATTTGGGGGTATCGGTAGAGACAGCACTCCGTATGGATCTAAACACCATCTTGAGAAATCAAGGCCCACAATTCCACTCGTTGAATATAGTAGGAGATCAATGGAGAACTAGTCCGCTCTCCGACATCATCCAATATTGTAATCGTCTCAGATGTCTCCATATTCCTGACGAAAGGTCTCTCCCCAGGGAGATGCTATCCGACATTGTCCTCAACATGCCGAAACTACGATCTTTGTACATTGGCTCGGGCGACCTGAATAACAGAAGGGAATATAATGGTGATGTATTAATCAGGGACTTAGATGCACGGTATGAGTTAGTACCCAGACCGGCGTCACTTGAGATTCCGAACTTCAGACTTAGGGTCTCTCCCGAAAATATGATCCGCCTTGGTGGTGACCCAGAATGCGCCAACAGACGCAGTCTGAAATATCTCACACTAAAAAGAACGGATGCTGTGAAAGGGGCCACTTTCACTGAATTGACATTACGGTGTAGAGAGAGTTGGGGGAACATTGAAGAATGGGCGGGCCCTCTCTATTCAATGTGAAAGAAAGTGGAAACACGCAGATTGTTAGACTCTTTGTCACTCTGTAGTGTTTCAGCAAATGTGCATCATATTGAGATAAGAACAAAAGAGATTTTTTAATTGATACTTTACTTTGCCTTTCATGTTCAAATACTCAAAAACGGCAAGTTTCAAAAGTTTCGAGGAGATCACAGACTGATTCGAACGTGAGCGAATGGGACTATAAAATACTCAGAACTGCCGACTCACTGCAAATACGACCTGATTGTGCTCAAACGCGCTCTGCGCTTTCGATTGCGTCCATTTTAAGAAGAAATAGTATTTGAACAATCTTAATAGTTGCCCTACCGCCGAGCTCGACGTGTTTCTCTTGATTTAATCTGCCCGAAATGTGTTATACTTCTCTTATTGAAATGGAAGGGAATTTCAAATATGTCCGTTTATCGTGTTGGCAGTTGTCTTGCAGCTACACCACTCATTCACCCACCCAATTTGCGAATCGCTCAAGGTCTGAAACAAATTGGGTTTCTCGAGAGCTGATCTTCTGCTCAGTCATTCACTGAGCGCTGCTTCACTTGCTCTCGTAGTAAACTGGATCCTTCAAAAAATCAATCTTGGCATCCTTTCCAAGTCTACAAGATGTTGTTCAAGGCAGCTCTGGTGTCGATCATACGATTCTTGGTGAATACAGCCATGCCTGTTGACAGGTCAATCAAATTCGACGAAGTAAGTTTCGTATAGTTTCAGTCTCTTTCCCCAGTTTTCGCTTGTTTATTCTTGCTTGTTTTTAAGCTCATCATCAATCTCAGCTTTTGGGGTTAGCCGATACTTTACTCACTTTATAGGAACTTAATACTTGAAAGCCAATACTTAACTCACTCTTTTAGGAATATGTAACTGTGTGGACACCGTTTCCGCTCCGGGCCATGATCGAAGACCATGAGTCGTCTCCAGGACGTATAAAATGCAAAACTCGCATCCTGGTTTTCAAACCTCCAGGATACGATGTAAACCGCAAGAAGCCGTACCCTTTGCTTCTCGATATACACGGAGGAGGCTACATCCTGGGCAAGCCCGAAATGGATGCTGAACCTTGTGCTCTCTTTGCCAAGGAGGCCAACTGTGTGGTTATATCTATTGATTATCTCAAGGCACCACAGGTATTGTAAACTCGAACTTGGAGACAAGCATACGTCAACGCCAAGCTCAGAGAAGTGACGTTATATTGGTTATAGAATCCCTTCCCTGCTGCACTCGAACAAATATTCGCACTCTTCAAAGGCTTGATTGCGTCGACTGGCGGAGTGAAAGAGTATAATATTGATATTTCCAAGATTGCTATTTGTGGTTACTCGGCCGGCGGAGCACTTGCAGCAGGTATAGTGGTATCAATCGAAGCCTCAACTTCAAATCCCAAGCAAATTCTCACTTTCCTACTCCTTCACATGCCATCGTAGCATTCTGTTACTTGCTACATGATAGGAAAGGATCTTATGACTCGAACGCACGTGTGGTACTGCACATGGATATATACCCTCCAGTAGATCTTCACGATAACTATGCTGCTCGAATCGCCTCCTACCCCAACGGTGACAGAAATAGAATGACGACCAAGAAACATTCAACTAAACCATACCCATTAAAATCAACTAGACTCTGGGATAGCAAAGAAGAGCCTCCCTCCATTTGCCGCACGCTTCTTCGATGGCTGTTTCGTCCCATCCAAAGGACGTGCACTGTCTGGCGTCGAATGGTCGCAGCATCCTTACATCTCACCGATACACGGAAGTGACGCACAAATGAGTTTTGTGCGAAAGGCGGTTGTCTTGACTGGTGAATACGATGCTCTGGGTGACAAGGGTGATGAATATGCTGAAAAACTCAAGCAAGCTCTTGGTCCAGACAATGTTACGCATAAACGATTTGATAAGGCTGCTCATGGTTGGGATATGAAAGGTCACTCTTATAATGAAAAAGCAACAAAGGAAGCTCGTGAGATTATGGTCGCAGCTCTCAAGGATGCTTTCTCGTGAGAGTTGAGTGTAGATGAGTGCTGGATGTGTTTAAAGGTTAGCCGGCAGCTAGTGCTTAATTTCAAATGTTTTCCTCTTGAACATATACGTCAGTCTTTGAACCTTTAGAATGGTGTTTTTCGTGATGATTTCGTATCGATCGCTGGTCAAAATGCATTAATTTCTGACTGAATTGACGTTTTTGATTATAAGCGAATCGTAACATAGCTCAAGGGCTCTTACATCAACGTGCTCAAGTTGAAAATCTGTGCTGTTCTTGCAGTTCTTGAAAAAACACACTTGTACACGTCTAAGTTGCAAGCCGATAAGTCAATTAAGCGACTTTAAAATATTTTACCTGATTTGACGCGTCTAGGAGGCATATTCAATCAGCATTCATCTCGATCATCACCTTTAAACTTTTGACACAAAACTGAACACACCCAGACCATTCCAACGGCGCACATCTCCCTCCCAAAAATGCTACAACCACTACCAGTGACATCACTAGACTTGGTCCTCTTCCTCTACTACATCCGCGAATTCCTCATATCAGGCCAAATCGAATCATTCTACACGTTGACTTTATCCTTCTACACGACACGAATCGTCGCCATTGGATACCTAAAGTACACGAATGATACAAGTAAAGGAAATGCTGCCAATTCGACGCGTTTCTTTCTGGGAAAGGTGAGGGTTTTGGCTGGGATCAACTAAATGCAGTTTGGAAGTTTTGTACTTGTGATAGTGATAGTGAGCTTACGTTCAACATGTTTTGCTAGACAATCCAAGACTCAACATGGCATATGATTACAAGCGCAGTCTACTCTACTGCAACGACTTTTACGGGGATTTGTGGATTGGTGATGCTATTAGTGGTGTTTGGACTGCCTCTATTCGAGTACGTTTGTGAAATCTATCTCCATCGTCATCCGTAATCTGAACTCATAGACGTATCTTTTTTTGTTGTGTTAGTCAAGTTGAAGCTACGTGGTTGGCAAGCTGTTTCGTCGGTTCACTTGTGATACTTCCTGCATCCAACATTCTGGGGATTAATGAAGCTGCTTGGACGAGATTTCTTACATTAAAGTATGCATTGTTGCCACTTGGTCTTTGTTACGAAAAAAATAGATGAGACCAAGGCAATCCTAGATGTTCAAATCTATGAGGCAGCAAAGTTAACACCACTCCTGTCTGACATTGTAGACCTGAAACACCAGAAGAAAAAGAATTATTGCACACACTGTTCGCATGTCTTGGTGGAATGTGGGTTGGAGGTTTGGCTACTCCATTAGACTGGAATCAAGCATGGCAGGTTCGTTACCAAAGAATTAATTACGCGGAACTCAAGAAGATTGAATGCACTCAAGTCAGCCACACCCACACCTCTTCCTTTACGTTAGATATGGCCCGCACCAACATTTATCGGCAGTTTTGTCGGATACAGCATCGCAACATTGTCAACACTATCAACACTCAAAGTTTAAACAACGTGTCCACTCTACATATTTAACATATTCTAGATCTACCAATGCAAAGATTGTATACAGCAAAACACACTTAAATACACTAACAAACATATTTTCAAGTATTCTTTTTACTCATCATCTTCACCGGGGTCTCGGAGTGCAGTACGGCGTTTCTACAATAAGAGTGATTTGGTTTGCGCCATCTCAAGGAAGAAAAAAAAATGATTTAGATTCAGAAGGATACCTTGTTGGGTTGTTGATCCTCTTCTTCACCTTCCCCTTCTTCGGAATCCATATTGAGCAATGCGTTGTCGATCTTAAAGTCTCGAGCGGTAGAGCGCTATTTTGAAAAATCAGAAACCTGTATTACATCTTTTTGCATTTCAACAACATACCTTGACATATTGCTGAACTTTGGGATCCTTCTTGCCCAAGTTGATCAAAGCAATGTTGTATCTCTCTTCCATTTCAACAAGTAGCGGTATTATGTTCTGTGCAAAGGCAATGAGAGTAAAAGTCAGTAGCTGCAACCAAAAACTGGAAAATAGGAGCTATTGGCTCAGTACCTTGGGTGCTTTAGCAGAAGCAGGCTTTAATCATCCGAAAGAACAAAAATCGTGTCAGTAAACAAAGCTCATGGCAAAGAAAAAATCATGGAACCACGCATAATAGGCATTACCCTCTTGTTCTTTCCCTTCTTTGCCCCATGATCTCCATCGGCTTGCTTTTCTCGCTCTGCAGTTTCTCGAAGCAGGGCACTAGTGGAAGACGAAAAAGGGTCAGATGGAAACAATAGACTAAGGTGGTACCTACACAATAAATTCTCGAAAAGACATATTTCTCACTTTTCAGCAATAGACTTGCTCAAATTTGCCATAGCTTTGACGACATCAAGATATGCATCGTTAACCTCGGTGTGATGTTTAAGTTTCTAGAAAGACATCAACAATATGTGAATACGAGTTTTTTTGTTTGTGGCAGCAACATATGAGGGAAGCTCATACCCAGTTCGTGAGGTAATAGGCAGCCTTGAAGAGTTTCGTCACACATCTCGTGAGGGAATCAACGACAAGTTCTGGCCCTACATTTTTAGTTATTGGTGGTGAGACGAGACCCCCAGGCAAAAAAATATGTAGTACAGAGCAATTGGACGCAAGCCAAGATTCACATACATATACGGTTGTTGAATACGAATATGATTTTAGACCACAAACTCAAAAGTTTGCATATAGGATCCTAGTTTGGAAGCAATTTGCGACATTAGATAAACAGTATTGTCTCAAAGTCGTGTCAACTGACGCAACAGATGACAATTTCTTACTTGCTCTTCATTTCGAGTTTGAGTCGGTTGCAGATCTATAAGATAAGATGATGCTGAGAAATTGCAAAATCACAAACCAAAAATAACCCAACGCTGACTAATTTATACCTCCATCGGCAGAAAATGCTTGCAATTGCCTAATACACCACATAGCATCTTCCAACCATCCTGATATAGCACTAATCACAAGACTAGCTGATGTCGTGCTCCTAGTATAAACTTTACTCAGTTTCAAGTGCTTTCAAAAAACGGGGGCAAAATCCAACAAGAAGCAGTAGATGATGGTATTACTTGTGTCTTGCAAAAAGAGCAAACTGATTGTCAACATCTAATTCTTCTTCTTCGCCAAGCGGATCTGCAGCCAAGGCAATATCAAAATACAATTTTCCAAGCTAGTGAGAAAATTGGTCAATTCTTTGACTTTTGAGAAATGCGCAACGTATTCATCACAAGTATAATCTCCAGTTCAGAGTTGTACATACCAAAGATTCATCACCAGACGCCACGTTTCTCAACACCATTTGCATAATGGCCTTGACATACAATGCATCTGTCACTTCACCACTCTGGGCAAGTCTTTCCAACCATGCTTCATCAACTTTGAGATCTGGAACCTCTTCGAGAACAACTAGTGCTGATGTGGCTTCTCGATATTCGCTCTTTTGGATAAATGATTCAACCAGTTTCTATGAAAAAGAACAAGAATTTGGTTAGAAATCAAAGAAAATTCCATCTTTACCGTGAGGCTTTTTGTTTCGTACCTGCAAAGCTTGATCCGACGTCTGCGAGGCATCCGCATTTCCATTTCGACTACGATAACGAAGAGCATATTCGCCAAACTCATTGAATCGAGACTTGTACTGGTCTCGAACGACAAAGACGAGTGCCTTAAGCACGTCCATTCCATATGCGGCTACGGTCTTGGCCTAGGTTTCAGAACAAAACAGATCCAAGATGTTGTTCAATGTTCAGTGGGGTTGAGTAGATTCAATCACGTATGAGAGACTACCTTCTTTTTGGCATCCTCAACATTATTCAATTCATCTTGACTACATATCTTGAATAAAGTCTTGCCAAGATCTTTGAGCACAATGAAAGTGTCTTCACGATATCGAGGTTGAATGCCACGATCAGTGAGCTAAGAAACAATGTGTAAGCAAAAAAGATGTTGTGTCCAACCCCTCGACCTTAACCCAAAACACTACAATAAACAAACCTGATGAAGATGATACAGAGCACTGCTAAACAAGTATCTCAAATAATCTTTTCGACCTCGCAAGTTCTTTTGAGCATCATTTGGACCCCCAACACCACCAGCTTCATTGTTATTGTATAATCGTACAATCATGTACACGATGGTGTCAAATGACAATGAAGTATCAAGGCAGGCTCTCAACTTCGTGTCTGTCATTTTAAACGTATTGCTGAGGTATGAATTCGAATGCCGAGGCAAAAAGAACCGACTGAAGACAACACGCTCATGAAGCATACCTTTCTTCGCTAAATTTTCCTTGAGAAATTTCCACATTTCAACGTATCGTGTCTGCAGCTTGTGGATATTGTCATCCACCCGTCCTGATCGGTAGCAGTATTCCATGAATGCCTAAATATTGTTTCACGTGCAGTTAGCTTCAAGCAAAATATAGAATTATCTGGTCAGGCATCATTGGTCTACTTCATAAAGACCAAGCAACAATTCCCCCAGCTGCAGATTCTTTTGACCCTCTTGCCTAAAATGATGAGGAAGAACGTCAAGCACAATCAAAACAAAGAACCGGGTGGACTGACACACACTCTCAAGAACCTCGAAGTCGAAGACTTACACTTCCTGGTCAAATGACGCCTCCTTATCCAACCCGAAATCAAAAGCATCAAGTTCAGTCAATCTATTTAGAATGACCTTCATCTCGGTACGGCCACGTCCAGGAATAGCAGCAGCAGATGCTACACCAGCTCGACCTAATCCATCACTTGATTAAGGCCTTACTCTCAAACGAGAAAAACGCCGATGCCAGAAAATGTGCATACTTCGTTTACCTTGAGTCTGTAAGTCAGCAACGATAGCAGCATTACACAAACAAGATGCAAGTTGCGGTAATGGCTCTTTGATGAAACAGTCTTCATCAGAAGCATCCAAACACTTTTGAATGATGATTGGCACACGATGTGTTGCGTCTTCAGCTTGAAGACTTTTCAACTACGTCAGCAAAAAAAACGACTAAGACATTCACAACATGAAACACATTATCTTCTACGTTCCGACTTCTACCAACCTGAGGATGAATATGCACATAAACAGCCGCAGCAAATTCTTGATTCTTGTACTTGACGAGTAGGGAAGAGAGTCTGCTAAAGAGTTCTCGTTTGAGTTCGATTGGGTATATGAGGTATCGTCGAATCATCACTATTGTATACATTAAGTGTTGGACCCAACTCATTCGAACAAACTTCAAAACAGACAAAAACGATATGATACTAACAAGTTATCTCCAACATGAGCGCTCGACCAGGTTTGCCACTCGATGATCCAGTATCCCAATCGGCTTCACCAGATCGTGACAAGCAAACCTCCAACAAGAAGACTAATCCACGCAGTGCGAATTTACGTTGATTCATCTCTCTGTAAGAGGCAAGATCCTTCTTAGAAGGCGACATGAAAGCAAAAAACAACTCGAGTATACGAAACAAAGATTGTTCATGACATACACAGAGAACATGCCCTTACGCAATAGCAACATCATCTGTTGTTGAAACGGACCATCATTTTCAACAAGGGGTCTGTAAGCATAGAAAGCTTGCGATGCGAATGCGGCACTCATGACTTGAAAACAGTCTGCAATCTCTCTGATCTGGTTTGTAAAACGAAACACAGTTAATCAAAAAAAACCGTGATTGGCAAGGCAGAAAATACTTCTCAAAGATTCCGTGTGACAACGGGCTCTTACGTACTCTTGGTATACGACCGACAGTCGTAGGTTGAGAAGTTTCAACAAACTTGACAATCTTTTCAAGAAGAGCAAGTCCAATACGGGTTGTCGCACCACTTGTAATGATTCTAGTCTCGAGATTCTCCATAATCATTGATCGGAAATCAGTGTGATTCTAAATATTCAGAACAAAAGAACGTTATGAAGGGAATTCTAAAAGACATTTTGTTCCTTCAAAGGAAGATAAAAAAAATAAAGAAATTGGATTACCTTGTAGATTTCAAGCAAGATCTGACATCCTTGTTCAGCAGCACGTTCAGTAACAGTCAGCTCTTCTTCGCCCTTCCATTTCTTTGATGTACTGGAGTCGACAACTATACAACAAGGAAAGACGATTGGAATTGGCAGATTGCCAGGAAGTGTGTGTTTATAGTTGGTTTTGGTCTGTCAAAAGAAATCGACGACACAGTTGTCTTACTTTGTCGACCAACAACAATTCCTGAAGAATCCACAAACGCCAAAGCAAGTTGAATCAATCCTTTGGTGACTGCTTGCCATCCTTGCTGATACTCGCGAGATAATGCAAGCATCGCACCTTGTATATCTATAGACGTGTAGTTCACGTAATCTTGAAGTCGAAGCGAACGATGGGAATTAGTGGCATTCACACGCTGTGTAATGGGAAAACTGTAATATGCTTGTCACCGACACAAAAAACCCGCAAACACGAGGCCAAGATGTTCACCTTTCACCCACGGTGACGATTCCACACGCATCTCATCTCGAAGTATAGTCATGACCTTGCCTTTGAGCATATCACAGACCTATACCAGGTGAGGAAAATATTAAATCATCCATGTTGAACAGGACGAGGAACATCAAGGTTTGGAAAGCTGCTTTTTTACCTGCTCCTCGATTCGATATATGGGTGATACAGTCAAGAGTAAGGCGATATTGAAGTAACTCAAGACAGTGTTGGCCTTGGCCTTGCTCATCATGTTGTAAAATGTGGTTGCCATTTGTTGATCCTACAAATAGTGATTTGTGTAGTGAACATCCAAGGCGAAAAGAGCTCGCATCAGAAGAAATTATAATGTGACTACCTGTCGTAATGAAAAGTTCAACTGCTTTAGCACCAAACCAACAACTTTGGAATATTCTGGTAGCTTTTCTGTAGGAATCAACAGATGTCCTTGTGCACTATTCACAGAAATCAAATTAACGAAACCGGCATCACGAGAATGATCCATGTAGTGTATCGCTTATTCGTTTTTTCTCGCACATTTGAGATGTTCGAGCCAAACACAAACTCACTTTTCACGAATTTCATTCCCACAATTTGTAAAGAAGGCTGCAATAGCATATGCTACTTCTTGCCGTTGACCCTACAAAGGAGAGAAATAAGCGTGTTGAATCGTGCCTGGTGCCTGAATAACGCAAATGTGTGATCATAACGAATTGAATGTTATTTTTTTCGCATGTCTAGTATTCATCTCTTGGCTTCTTCTTTTGAAAATACTTACCTTCTTAGCAAACTGCAACATGAGTCTAACAACCTCAGGTAACTGCTCAGCAGGAGCAACATTCAAAGTTTTGCTCATTTGTACAACAACCCTCGCAATCTGCGGTTCAGTCAATCCTTCAACATCGACAAAAGCATGACACAGAGGTACCGCGATTGCAGCATTCCATGATGGAGCTAACATTCGATTGATGGTGGTCTCTTTATAAACTAGACCAGGGTAATCCTTCTTCTTCGAGTCAATGACTGTGACGAATCGACCAAGTAGTTGTAGCATTTTGGGAAGGAGAGATATGAGACCTGCGTACACGTATGGGGATGTTGGTCTGGTGGATGACATGGTGGCGACAGTAGCACCAATAGCAGTGTTCATCTCTATGCGTTTCTCGATATGTTCCACGGTGCTGGCAAGTAAGTCACCGGGACACTGGTCTAACTATTGCGAGTGGTGTAAGTGTGTGAGATGGTAGGATGGATGTGATCGGGTCATCTGGATTTATAAAATAACCTTCTTTTACCTCTTTCTCGATGAATGCGACCACTTCAGGATATACTCGTAGATCTGAGCTTGGAGGTTGAGTCGCATGCTGTAAGAGCCGAAAGCATTCTTTGAGCACAGCAGCTCGTCGATCAAATGCCATTTCGTCCTTTCCAACTAGTAAAAGAATGAGACGTGTCACGAGGTGTTGCGTGTCAGTTCGAGTTTTACAGTGGCACTTGAATCAAAGGCAGCGACCAACTACGATGCGTTCAAGGCGAAACAAAGTGATACGGTGCGTGCCAGCAACAAAAAAAGCGCGACAAATCATACCGAAGGCCACTTACAAGAGATGGCATTTAACCTGTTGAGGACAGGTATGATCTTTGTGCTCCTTGATTCCAAATACTTTTTAATTAAATTTGACAACTATGGGAGCCGAAAAAATAATGTATTAGCTTCACTTGCGTACTGAATGCATGGATGATCCACAGCAGTGACTTGCAGTGACGATTGGAGTCTTGACGACCATGTCCTTGAATGGACCTTCAGGGCCATCACCAGCCAGAGAAAGAAACGTTGTTTCCCAAGCTGGGAGTGATTGAGATTGGCTGCCCATGTTGCAGTTTCATCAACCCAATTGAGCTCTGGTAAATCTTTGATGCTTGGGAGTTCTGGAAGTGATGACGCCTAGAAAGAGAGAGTAGTCGTTTAGACAAATAGATCCCAAGTGTAATCTATCATAAAATGAAAGAATTGGTTTAGGAGGCTAATTTCTTGGGATGCCTGTTTTCAAAAACGTCAGAAACATTGCTTCGCAGTTCAGCTCCGCAATCAAGAAGAAGCTAAAGCAAACTTACAAGGGTAATGAAAGTAGATCTCTCACCTTTGACTATCAACTGTTCTTTCCTTTGTGGAATGACGCTTGACCTGTCGCTTGCGTTTGAGGAAATCGAGCTGCAGGCGGCAATCGTGATTTGAAGGCTGGCATGCCCTATTTACGCGTTATTTGACAGCACTACCGCGGCAGATCACTCACATTTTTTGTGAAATACCAGTGAGATACTGAATGTCATCCTCAAAGGTCCGAAACATTGAAGAGAAACATAGATGACTTTCAAGCGAATGAAGAACAGACACGAACTATGACGATCTACACGCGACTGGAACATCTAAAATATAAAGTATTCGACGAGACTATTGGATAGTTGCTAGGTTCAACGTTGCCAATGAGCCTCAAATATATTACATCTTTTGAAAGCCAGATAGCAGACAGACATATAGACTAGACAAGCATGACAACGACACCGCCAATCAATATAGAGACTGCCAGTGCTATATCATCATCGTCAGCGTCTCCCACCTCGCCTGCTTCCCGCAAATCTACGTCTCCCAAATCGCCTAGACTTCTCAGGAATGCCATTAGCGCCAGCTTCTCTCCTACAAAGAGCCCTGCTCCTCAATCGGTTTCCGACCACGCTCTGAAGGCTTTTAACGCTCTAAATCTCAGTCTGGTGTGTTGATGTGTTCTTGTATTGTAGTGACATCAGATTTTGTTTTGTTATCTTTTGATCGTATATCTAACCGTACGCGTTCGCATCTCCGTCGCCAATTAGAACAATTATACTCCTATCGAACAAATACCCGGTATCGTTGCTCTATGTCGACGAACGTTCGAAACAAACACAACCTTAAACATTGAATGGAGAGTCGCCCAGTTGAGCGCTCTCGTCCTCATGCTGAAAGAGAGCGAAGAACTCGTTCAAGCTGCTTGCTACCTGGATAATAGAAAGAATGTATTCACTTCGACTCTCTTTGAATGGGGTCCTACTCTCAAAGGTATGCTCGTATTGCGATTTAAACAGAACCTGTCCTGACAACCTATCGACTCATACATGTCCTTACAACCTATCAACTCTTACAGAGGCAGAACATTGTTTGAGACACGTACGCAAATGGACTCAGCCAAAGACCAAAAATGTTCCTCTGCCCGTTCAACCCGCAACTTGTAAAGTTCAACCTATGCCTAAAGGAGTTGTACTGGTCAAGGCGCCCTGGAATTATCCTTTCTCATTGACATTTGGTCCAATGTACGTTGATTCTACGGTCGTAACCTCGATTTTTTTAGTCGTTCTGTGTCTTTATCGAAAACTGATCGACCGCCATCAACTCAATAGGGCATCCGCAATCGCGGCTGGAAACTGTGTCGTCCTCAAACCTTCAGAGTTGGCTCCTCATGCTACTGCACTCATGAAACACTTGGTTGCAAAGTATCTTGATCAGAATTGTATTCGATTGGTTGATGGTGATGCAGCAATTGCTACTGCTTTACTTCGAGAGAAATTTGATCATATCTGTTTCACTGGATCAGGTATGGTGTATTGGTCTCATCGCTTTTCTTGCTAAGCGTACAGTTTGTGTAAATCTCAAGGTCATTCGTTTTCTCGTATGACTACAGAAACGGTCGGTAAAATCGTAGCACGAGCTGCCGCGGAATATCTGACTCCCACAACTCTCGAATTGGGTGGTAAGTTCTTTTCGTATTCGCTTTGACTTCCATTCTCATAGTTTTGCTGCTGGCCGCAAGTTTGAGATTGAGACACCCTCGTCTGACTTTCAAATTGTCACCCACATCTAGGGAAATCTCCAGCTGTAATAGATAAAACAGCGAATATACAAACAGCCGCAAGGAGAATCGCATTCGGAAAGTGGGCAAACGTAGGCCAAACTTGTATCAGCCCCGATTTTGTGCTGATTGAGTCGTCCGTTAAGGATCGCTTCCTGGAAGAGCTTGTAAAGGTCATAACTCAGTTCTATGGCACCGATACAGCCACGAATCCTGATTATGAACGTATACAGAATCTGCGACACTTTCAGCGTTTACGGGCCATGATGAATGATGGCAGTATATATTATGGTGGCAAGACAAATGAAGAGGATTTATACATAGAGCCAACTTTGATTGTGGACGTAGCACCTGATTCAAAGATCTTGACTGAAGAAATCTTTGGACCGCTGTTGTATATCGTTGAGATTCCTTCTATGACTGACGCTATCAAGTAAGTTTGGTTGAATTTCGTTGGACTGGAACGCCAAGTATATTTGGTATTTGGGATTTTTTGTCCCTTCAGTAAAGCATCCCCATCCGGCAAACCAGCATCTGACTCGCCCAACCTAGGTACATTCGACAAAGACCACGCCCACTTGCGCTGTATCTGTTCACCGATGACCCCAACGTGAAAACAGACTTTACAAACTTGACATGGTCTGGTGCATTATCAATAAACGACACACTACTCCATTTTGCCAACAATGATCTTCCCTTTGGGGGAATTGGAAACTCGGGGTACGGAAGTCTGCATGGAGAGTACGGGTTTGACACGTTTAGTTTCTATAAGCCTGTAATGGATCGCAATTCGGCAATGTTTTTGGATATCAGCATTCGATATCCTCCTTACAGGTCAGTGATATTTGATGATAATTATTGGTTTGTTTTTTGCTTGCTGCTGGCTTGCGGTTAAAAGTGGTTATTTGCGCTTTGGAATGATCTTTTCACCTGCTTACTCCCTTTTCTGATCTTTCAATAGCTCTGAGAAGATGGCCTGGGCACGTTTCTTGAATGAGCACATGTAGATTGCATCTTTACCGCTGATTCCATATTGTTCAAGTTAGAAGTTTGTTATATTATTACCCAAAAGACAACAATAAAAAACATCAATCTACCAAAAAATGACTGCTCCTTGGTAGGCCAGGATGATTGTTCTGAACTTCCTTTTGCTGCTACTATATTCCTACAGACCAGCTTTTTCTTTGTGTTAGCCTTCAACATGACATTTCGCATTAGTTCATCAACGTATCTATCTGAGCTGAGTAATCTTGTATGTTGCAGTCTTCAATATGAGCCATAGCTCCTCGAATTGAGAAACAGCTAGTAAAATCCAATAGGTAACATCAGTAGGTTTGGGAGCCAACATATTTGAATAAGCATGAACAGCCGACTCAACTGTCTCTATAAATTCCATCCAACACTGAGAATTCCGAACTCCAAGATTCTCCCTCTTTTCACAAAGTCGACTTTTTCGAAAAACAACTAGACGCCATGCCAAAAAAACGGAGCCAAAGGTGCCATGGTTGATTGCATGACCCACCACACACTCACACAATACCAACGCAATTTTCAACTCAACAGCGTCATATAACGACTGCCAATGAGTAACTCCGAATCTTTCTGGCAGAATTGAATCAGGCAGGTTTAAAGGAAACAGGCAATGCAGCTTTACATCGTTCAACATCTAGTAACGGAGTGTTTAACGAGCCAGCTACTTGTCATCGTTTGGGATGCGACGATGGTGTCGTGACGTCCGGTGTAGTATCAATGTGTCAGCGTAAGTTGCCAGAGCAGTCGTGGGATTATATCAGATGTTCGATTCTTGCGACGATTAGTAAGTTTGTTGAGGTTCTCGATTCAGGACCAATTTTCTCCGGCAAAGTCTCCAACCCCTTCCTAATAACACATTTCGTACAGCATTCCTTGGGCCATCATTCAAGTTCAACATTGTTGTAACGTCTCCCACAACAGAAACATCGACAAACACCCCCAAACAGAGCAAAAAAGAAAGATGTACTCCATGATGTATTGTTGTCTTACTACTTCTGTGCTCCTACAATTCCTTTCACCAACTCCTTCTTGTTCACCTTCAACATGACGTTTCGTGGTAATTCATTCACAAATTTGAGTTGAGCTGGAATCTTGTATGTTGCGATCTTTGGTTTCAGCCAATCCCGGAATTCTTTCAACTCGAATGGTTTGGTTCCCTACAGAAACACATAATGATGATGAGAATACCGTGTGGACAGACCAAAAGAGATAGCAGCAACGAGGCAAAAAACGGATGTGGACGATTTATGGATGGAGGGCTCAATCAGATACCCGAGACCGCAACCAGTCTTGCACTCTCTTACCTGTTTCAACACAACAACAGCAACAACTTGTTCACCCCATTCAGCATTGGGTACACCAACAACAGCACATTCTTGAACATCAGGATGATTGAGTATTTCATGCTCGATTTCTAGTGCTGATACTTTGTATCCACCGGTCTAAAGAAAATAGAAAAACAAGGCGGTAAGAGCACACGGCAAAAAAGAGCGGAAGCAAGACCATGTGGCAAAACTATGTGGCGATTCACAACCACTACAACTACACATTCATCACAAACGTAGCATACAAACCTTGATAATATCTGAACTAGCACGTCCCATAATCTTGTAAACACCATCATTCGTCATCTGCGCATAGTCACCAGTAATAAAGTATTTCTGACCATCAATTTCTTTGAATGATGATGCGGTAGCTTCAGGGCGTCCCCAATATTCTTTGAAGACAATGGGACCACGAACATATAACATTCCTGGCTGATTGGCTGTGGTTGTGACGTCTTTGTCCTCGTCTGATATGATTTTAATTGAGACGTATGGGAGTGGGAGACCTACGCATCCCTGTTTATGAAGTAGAGAGGAGATATTATGAGGATATTGAAGTTGCTCGGGAAGAAGACGTTTGATTTGCAAAGCTAATAACTTTTTGTTTTCTTTGCATACCGGCCTTCGAACACCTTCCAATGGATTTGAGATACCCATTCCGATTTCAGTCATTCCAAATCTAAATGAATCACTAGTTCAGAATTCGGATTGAACGGATCTTATAATTCTTGCCGAAAGATGAAAAAAGCCTTCAAATGGCCGGCGCATGACAATTGTCCAACAAAACCGCCCACCATTTACCTCTCAAGCAACTTATGTCCCGAAATAACCTCCCACTCCTGAAACTGCTGTTCAGGCAACGCAGCTGATCCCGAAACCATGAGTCGGAATTGTTTGCAAGCAGCAGTACATTCCTTCTTCTCAGAATCTGAGAATTTGTGATATGCTTGTGTCAACTTTGCGTATATTGTTGGGACGGCCATAAAGAGTGTAAGGTTTTGTTGTGATTTCCATCTTTGCCTATTGAAAGACAAGAAGGATGTGAGTAAGGCTTTATTAAGGGAACCCTATTATATGGCACTTTGAGCACGATTTTTCGTTCGTACCAGATTGCTTTAGCATCAAACTTTGGTTCCATTTCCACTGTTGCGCCAGACCATAAGCTACATGTTAGCACCTGCAGTATGAAAACCGTTGCAGTTGTTACTTGTTTGAGTTGCATACTGCACAGGACGGAAGACGTGAAGCCCGATACAACACCCAGTAGTTCCTGTTTTGCCCAAGCACTCACATTGATAATTCCATGTATATGATGAAGGGGTAGCACATGCAGTATTCGATCATTCTTGGTCCACTTCCATGCTTGTACGAGAGACAAGACTTGGTGTTTGACATTGTTGTGTGTTGTCAGACATCCCTCTAAGAAAATGAGAAACAGACATTGGGTTTAAGAGATCCATGTCTTTACCGCTGCGTGACAATGTTACATACTTGGCTTTCCCGTTGTACCTATAAATATTAAGGCGTCTATTTAGCTATCACAACAAAAAAAAAGTGTAAAACCTGACAATACCTACCACTAGTATAAACCAACAACGCCCCCCTCTCATCATCAAATTTACTCGTCCTATACACAGCAGTCACCTCACTCAACGGCTTGACAGCATAATCTTCAAGCTCAATCCATCGTAATTGTGGCAGTTTCTCTTTTATAGAGGTGAATTTGGCAGCGAATGATTTGTGAATGACGATGATGGCAGCTTGAGAATCTGTGATTACGTATTCGAGTTCTGGTGGTGGATGAGCGTCACAGAGGGGAACAGCTATTCCACCAGCTGCCCAAGTAGCCCATTGCACGACAGCGTATTCATATGAGCGTGGGATGAGGAATGCGACTCGAGCTCCGGCGATGTCACTACATGGAAGGTGATTAGTTTAACGAATGAGTTGAGATCACAAGATATGTCTTTTAAAAGCGAAAAATTAGACTTGATTGGGACGAGCTTGGATTCTTGAGCTCACAGTAAAGACTGATTCAAACCATGAGAAGAAAAAGGAGTGACCAAGCATCATGATTGATCCACAACAGACTTACACAACGCCCAACTGCCTCCGCAACTCAACAGCATCATGCAACAGCTGCCCATACGTAAACTCCAAATTTCCAGCCGAATTGACAATCGCGACTTTGGACAAATCAGCCAATGCAGCTCTAAATAATTCCAGATCGGGTAGCGTAGTCTTTGATGCCCCAGCTACTTGTCCTGGTTTGGTATCCGAATACGGTGTCTTGACTTCCGTGGTGCTAGCATTTGTCCCGGTTGATGTTGACGAAAAGAGAGATTGCAAACCATAAGCGAGAAAGTCGGCTGCAGTCAGTATCGATGTCACGAACAGTGGCATGGTGGCTCCTTATTCAATATGAGAGCGACCGATAATGAAATGTCTTGGGTTGTGTAAACGTGCGAATTCACTCTTGGCCGTTTTAAAGCTTCACGAAACGCGTGTAATTGACGCGCAAATCTGTAAGTGACAGTATAATATTAACTACTACAACTACTGTTGATTACTATCACTACATGACACTAGCAGGCACAGGTGCATGCTTCAAGAAATAATCTGATGCCGACCTCCTCACATAGGCCTTCCCACCAGTCAATTCTCGTGTCCTTGGATTGGCTTTAACTGCTCCAGCTGCTCCGTTCGCTGTCGTTGGCGTATCTGTCTTGTTGCGTGGTGAATGACTACCAGTAGAACCTGGTGCTTCAATGTCTCTCATCAAAAGTGGCCGTAAAGGCCATATACGGCCACTGGATTCAGCGATTTGGCGGAGATCGAAATAGGTTTTTGCGTATATCGATCCTTTTACGTTCACGTTGAAGGATATGCTTGTCATGTAGTATCGCTCTAGATCGTTTCTAAGAAGACCATTCGTGAAGTGAGTGGATGGGCTTTTTTGGATGTACATTGATCCACCAGTAGGGAAAAAGAGCCTTTCCTGCTAACAGGCGCTGAAAGCTGCGACTTGCACTTACAAGTCACGAACATCAACATCCGGGAATATCTGACAGAAATCTACATTCCAAACTGCATGATCATCCCATACTTTACTAGCTAGTATCAGACCTCCAAGTACAATCCGAGCCCAATTGTTACGGTATAGTGTGACTCCTGTTACTTCGAGTAGTCTTTCAACGTATACCTGTTGTAGCAATAGCAATAGAGTATTAGTTCCTTTAATGCTCACAAAGGAGAAAATGGCATCAATTGAATACGTACCACTGTTATGATAGCGCATTCAACAGTCAACTCAGCAGCATGGAAGATACATTCCAGGAACTTGTAGACGTCTTCTTCACTTGGTTTTCGGGTGTAGAATTGGATGTGTCGCTAAACAAATGAATTGCGAGTGAGGAGATGTGCCTTTGTTGCAGTTCGTCTAAGTGACAGTAAAGCGTATTAAACTCACGGATAGTGGATGCCGTTCCTCAGAAAGTATATCCTCTGTTATAATCTCATCATGTTTTTGATTTATCAGGTTTACGATTAGTATTGATGCACTAAGAGAGGTAAAGTGTAAGTGTGTTAGAAAACATACAATACCGAGTATTCTCGTCTGGTTTTTTGGCATCAGCAACATACCTTCTAAGCGTCTCATGCAAATCAGCAGAAACCAACGTAGCATCCACAAACAAGCTTGTACACGAATTGAATTTGGTAATCTTTGCTAGCGATGCTGTGCCTGCTCTCGGCACATTGCCTCGCGGAGGGCTCTTTGGTATAGCAGAAACAGGCGTCTCTGGTATGGCAGATCCACGTCGTGGTATCGGTGGCGGAACGACAATTTTGGTAGTAAGGGGTGCTCTTGGTAGATTCAGATCGAAAAAGGCGACATTGGAGATATCTCCTATTGCTGAATCAAGTCCTCGGGCTGAGTTTGCGTGTTGTGGTTGTTGGAGTGGTGGTTTTGGATTTGTATTGTTGGTGGTGGTATTGTGTAGACTAACAGCATCATTCCATTCTTTACTCACTGGCGGTGGCGGTATAACAACTGATAATCCTTGGTGTGTCGGTTGTGTGTCGATACAAAGTTGATCGCGATCCCACGAACGTGGTCTAACAGGACCATCCATTCCGAACCCAGCACCATCGGTATGGTCATTACTGCCAATAATAGTACACTCATCTCTCGTGTTTCGTGATTTTCGACTTGGAGGTGGTAAATTGGGCATGATTTTGATTGTTGATGAGCTGGTTGGTATGCCGGGTGCGTTAAGACCGGTACCGCCAGGTATTTCAAGATTCTGCATTCCCGATGTTGCGACACTGTGTCTTCGTCCTCCAAAAAATAGTAAGGAATTTCGGCGTGATGTTGGTGGGTTGCTTGTGTCTCCTGATATGACTGTTGAATTGGATGTACTGCTATTATTATTGTTGGTATTGTCGGTTGTCTTATTCGATGGTAATATCTTAATCGTAAATGAATTCCTCCTCGTCTGGTTTACGTTACTCGTAGTGCCACTGGCTCCAGTAGAGGACGCCCTCGTGCGTTTCGATATGTAAGTAGCTGACACATTCGAATGTTCTGCCTGTTGATGTTGTTCTTGACTGCGTCCACGTTCACTTGAATGGTCACGACTCTTTGCAAAACCACCTGATGATTCAACATCGTGATTGTGCTGTGCGTGTCTTGATGATGACCTTGATATTTTGTAAGTCTCGTCAGACTCTGGCTGTTCCTCGGTTGAAAGGTACGACCCCATCTCTTTTTCCCTAATGTGCAGTTTTTGACATTAACAATTTGGGACGAATCTTTCGTATCGGTCGGTGTGAAAGTGGCTGATAAAGTCAATTAAATTTACCTATTTCTGTCTCGATATTTCGTTCAAACACGGTCTACGCGTGTGACCTTGCAGAAATCGTAGAAGCTGGCTTGTGATTGAGATTGAGAACTCTTGACATGAGGGTTGGGGTTTGATGGCAAAAGATCGTCATTTGGACCGGAACAGGAGAATCCTTTAATTAAAAAATGTATACGGAGCAGTAATTGCTATATGAAAGCTCTATAGTCAATAAAACAACATGCGCGTCCAAAAACTAATCAATGTTTTTGGAAAGAATGCTCAAACAACGCGTAAGCAATAAAGCACAATGATGTCGGATCTCATTTCTCACCATACAGAACGTGCGTTAGTATTGCGCTCTATTACCCAGCATGCAAGCAAAAATAATCATTGCGATTATCAAACACACCATCGAACAAAGGGTATGCATAGCATCACCATTACAACCACCAACTCGGATACAACTTATGGAAAGAATTTATCCGAAATTTGAGGAAGATCTGTTTTTCATATCGTTTTAGTGTTTCCAGACTGTCTGATACTAGGTTTGTCCGACGTTCTTTAAATGCAGTGATGCGTTTTTCGAATGTGAGGGTTTCCGGGGAGGTTGACTACTTGGTATGTGTCTACTAGTTCTTGGTGCAATAGAGGAACCATGTTAAGAGCTGGGTAAAACGATCCAATTCCATATAGTACGTTTTCCTTTTGTTGCTATTTCTGTTATCTATGCCCGTCCTTTAGTACTATAAAACTCGCAAATCCCATATAAGTAGCAACGTAATTGGCCAAAGTAGGCTGCACAAACTCCAATATAGCAACATTCAATGCGGCCATAACATAAACACTATCAGATTCTATACTCCTCGGTACCAATATTTCAGTACTGAATCGTGATGCACCAGCCCCATATTGTATCAGTCCATGTGCGGCTTGAGTGACTTCGTGATCTTTAGGCAGTTTGTGAGACGTGATGATGCGGTTGTTTGAATGAGGTTGTTGTAGTTTGTGTTGGATGATGTCCTGTAAAACCAAAATGTGTTAAGACCAAACAAAATATCGCCACGCCATTGGAAACATACCTTTCGATCACCATCCTCATACAACTTGACCAAATTTGATTTATACAACCTCCTCGTCTCCATATCACAAACAGTCTGACTGAATCCCACAATCACGTAATTGATATTCGAACTCCATACAGCGACAACCATTTTCTCTCCCCTACTCAATGTGCGTTTCACTAGCTTATGCACAGAATCGATGTCTCGTATCTTGTCTGCATTTGTCTTGATTAATTTAAATGAGGCTTCTGGAGGGTTGAGTTTGGCTTGTTTCGTTATTGGCATGATGGCCCGTGCGAGTTTAGGTGACAGGGTATCTGCGGCTTTGTAGTTTATTGATGTTCGTAATGCTGGATGCTAAATGGGTGTTAAAAAAACATCTAGATGGCAAAAAGGCTGGGCGTGTGTGATTGTTACTCGAGTCACTGATACAAGAGCTGATCAATCGTAACAGCTCCAGACAAGGTTTTCAGCATAGTTCACTTTACTATCAATGATGACGAAGGCAAGAAGTGAGCGAGAAAAAAGCTGATAATCCTACATCAGCATGGTTTGCTTGAAACCACTCGGAGATCGGGCACATCCTCATTCCAGCCTTTAGAATCTAATCCACACTTCAATTCTTTAGCACAGAAACAATTCTTTGCAGCAAGATTGAGGTAGTAAATATGCTTATTCAGTTAATAAATAAACAAACATGTTTTCAAGACTGAAAAAAACTCATAAAATTAAAACCATCATGCAATAGGTAAGCAGTCAGCAACAATCATTTCAGATCTCATCCCCCACTATGTATAAATCGCGTTAGTATTGCGCTCTATAACCCAGCACGCAAACGCGAAAAAAAGCTAAATGAACTGATAGAAGCATACCTCCCACAAAAGATCCTGACACTTGCCACCAAGCGTCCTCGCAACTCCCTTCTTCAAACCCTTCCTAACCATAACACTGACAGTCATGCGCTCCTCATCAGGCCATATATCAATATACACAACAACAGCCCCCATAAACGGCATCCATTTCGCACCACCATTGTTATCACCACCTCTAATACTACGGACCCGAGTTTCAGGGTATGGAGAAGAATGCACTCGGAAACTGAAGAATACGTGGTTTTTATATCGTTTAGGCGTGTCGAGATTGTCTGAAACGAGATATGTGCGACGTTCTTTGAACGCTGCGATGCATTTTTCGAATGTGAGGGTGTCGGGAAGGTTGACTACTTGGTATGTGTCTACTAGTCCATTACCACTATAGAGGAATCGTGTTAATGAAAGCTAACAGATTCCATTGGGTCAAAGCGGGAGTTCTTTTTCCCCTCTCTCTTACCTATACCCTTCCTTAGCAACATTAATCACACTGGAAAATCCCATATAAGTAGCAAAGTCATTAACCATAGCAGGCCTCACAAACTCCAATATGGCAACAGTCAATGCAGCCATTACACTATCAGATTCTATACTCTTGGGCACGAGGATATCAATACTAAAGCGAGACGCACCAGCACCATTTTGTATCAATCCAAGTGCGGCTTGAGTGACTTCGTGGTCTTTAGGCAGTTTGTCGAGACGGGATGATGCGGTTGTGTTGATGAGGTTGTAGTCGAGGAGTTTGTGTTGGATAATGTCCTGTAAAACCAAAATGTGTGAAGACCAAACAACAAATCGCCACGCCTTTGGAAACATACCTTTCGATCACCATCCTCATACAACTTGACCAAATGTGATTTATACAACCTCCTCGTCTCCATATCACAAACAGTCTGACTGAATCCCACAATCACATAATTGATATTCGAACTCCATACAGCGACAACCATTTTCTCTCCCCTGCTCAATGTGCGTTTCACTAGCTTATGCACAGAATCAATATCTCGTATCTTGTCTGCATTTGTCTTGATTAATTCAAATGAGGCTTCTGGAGAGTTGAGTTCGGCTTGTTTCGTTATTGGCATGATGGCCCGTGCGAGTTTAGGTGATAGGGTATCTGCGGCTTTGTAGTTTATGGATGTTCGTAATGCTGGATGCTAAATCGGTGGTACAAATGCGCATTTAGAACAGTGGTAAAAAAGAAATCCCAGAAGTCAATGCATTGTCACGAAGAAAGGGCACACAAAGCAGAACACTCACCAATTCCATCAACCTAATCAACGCAGCCTTCAACCTCCCTCCCTCAACCCACGCCGGCTTCCCGTCAACCTTCACAAACACCTTCTCCAATAACGCAACATTACTCTCAAAATTGACTCGCTGTCTCACATATCCAGCCAATCCAGGAATCCAATAACAAGTCCTTGGAATTAAAGCTCCTGCATACCGTCTCGCAGCATCAGGTAAATCATACGTGGATTGTGCCTTCCATGTTAGATGTGCTGGTGACATTGCTGATCTTGTTTCCATGTCTTTTGATACACCACTTGGTGTTGAAGGAGCGATTATGACTCCATCTACATCGCTGGTGGTGGTCTCACCAACAAGTGTTGTGCCAGGCACACTGCCAACTGGAGATGGCGGTATAGGTAGAGGTAAACCTTTACGTGCTCTCCTGCCTCTAACAGAATCCTTTTCACTCGCAGCTAGCTTGGCTTCTGCAGCTACACTAACAGGTGACGTGCCATCTTTCAATAAGTGATCAGCATCAGCTAAAAAGTTTTTACGTTCTCGTAAATAAAACTTGAGTCTCAAGATCGTCAATGAATCAAATCCAGCATCTACGAATGGGAAGTCTAGCCCATTCAAGTCTGGCCGATTCGTTAATGTTGTTGCTGTTTCGGATATTTCGAGCGCGAGGGTATTGTCTAGTGGTATCGGTAGTGCTGAAATACATGGGTTTGCTGTTGCTGGTAGAGATAGTTCGAAAAAGAAGTCTAGAGATTCTGGGTTTGAGATTGGTGTTGATTCTGAGAAATGTTCACCAGCTAATATTTTTGTGACTAGTATTTCTGCTCGTTGTCCAGGCTGGGTGTATGGGATTTCTTGTACTGGCATTATGACGGCAGGGACGTGTCTAACGAAGGAATTACATTCAGCAAAAAACAAGCATTGGAACCGAAAGTTTTACTTGTAACTTACGCAATCGTCAACTGATCCCTAATACAAATCTTGATACGACTGGCCAAAGTCGCACTAAATTGCTGATTAGGTCTCATTCGTATAAACATGACGACTTTCTGTTGTTGGTAGATATTGAAAAGATTGTCAATATAAGAACAGGACAGAAAGAGGGGAAGAAGAAAATGACACTTGCCTCGACAAGACCAGGTTGTGGCTTATACCCAACAGCGATGGAATCGGCAACTTCTTCAGTGAAGTCATTCATGATACTATATAGTTCTGAAGGTCCAAATCTAAGACCATTTTGATTGAGTGATCCATCACTGAGGAAGCAAAGAGTGTCAGCATTCGAATTTAGCCATTATCTGTAACGCGTGATTCCTCTTTTTCGCTTTGAGTGACATACCTTGGTCCAATCATAATCAGGCCCTCAACCACAGAATCCAATATAGCCTCGTCACCGAAAACCCAAACAGAACGACCATGGATTTGTCTAAAGTACTCATGGTATAATTGGCCATCTGGATCATTCCAGAGTTTGGTTGGCATACATGGTGTCGGTTCTAACACAATAAAGATGTAAGCGTCATTCACGATGCAAAACAAAAAAACGCGAACGAACAGGATAAAATGTACTCAACTGGTACAAACCAACTCCCCAGGCATATCAACAACACTATTTCCATACTCATCCCAAACTTCAATAGCAACACCCAACGCTCTGCATTGCACTTGTCCCTTGACAACTGGCAAATCCGTATTATGAGCTCCGAATAGTGAGCATGTTTCCGATGATCCTACTATGGATGAGACCATTGCCGTTGATGAAATCGAGTTGTAAATATATGTAAATTCGTCTGCCTGTAGTGGTGATCCTGACGAGTATATGGCGTCGAGGGAGGAAAGGTTGTATGATGAGGATGGTGATATGTTGGCTTCACGGATGGAGCGTAGGTATTGTGCTGTAATTCCCAGCTTTGTAATTCTGCAAGAGGAGTGTGAGCGGGGGCCAAAAAACGAAGAGCAACACCCGTATTATAGTTCCAATTCACTGTCCCAAGACCATTCAATGTATATCATACCTGTAAGCTTCAACCAACTTGAACAGCACACCAGCATCCGGCCTCAAAGGCGACCCTTCGAACAAAATAACAGTGGCACCCTCAGCCAAAGCAGCAACCTGCCAATACCAAGCCATTTTACTCGTAGAAGCATAGTACAACATGACATCCGACTTCGACACAGAGCCATGTATACAATGTTCTTTGCGATGTTGCAGTAGCATTCCACCAGCAGAATGCACCACACATCGTATCTTGCCAGATACACCACTTGAAAAGCTTATGATTACAGGGTGCGAGAATGGTAGGTATTCGAATCTAAAGTCTTCTTTGATTGATGGCGTTGAGGTTACGATTTTTAGGAAGGAGGCCAGTGCAATCCTGAAAACGACAAAAAACATCAAGGTTTAGTCAAGTCAAAAGTTGTTTTTGGCTCAACAGTCAAACCGCTCATCACAATATCATACTCACGATTTATCAATAGTAACAGTATTCTCCGGCCTCACAATATCACACGGCACAATAATAACCTGCTGCAAACTCGGCAGCCCAGCAACAATCTCAACCAGCCTCTCACTCTGCACATACGTAACCCCATTCTCAACCACAAACTCGACACAAAACAACATCTTTGGCTGTACTTGACTCAACCTATCCAGAGTTCCTTTACTGCCTAACTCAGGAGACACACTACACCATACTGCGCCAACGGTAGCGCAGGCCAGCATGCATATGACTGCATGGTGCGAGTTGGGGAGATATGCAGCGATACGGTCTCCAACTTGGATGTTTGCACGTCGAAGTGCGAGGGATACGTTTCGTACAGATGTGTATAGTTGGGCGTGGGTGATTGTGACACGGTTGAGACGTTCGCCTGTTGATATGAGGGCTGGTCGGTCGTCACGGTTGCGGAGGAGGTTTTCGGCATAGTTTAGTGTTGCACCCTGGTCAGATGAGAAAAAAACGTCACCTACGGTTTGCACAAGACATTTTGGTCAAAGCGACAGAGCTTTACCTGAAACCACTCTGGGATCTGATCCATCGTCTTTCCAGGCTCCAGGATCTATTTCAAACTATATTAGCACCTCTATTCTCTCATAATCGACACAGATCCAAACACGTTCAAGCCTTACAGTTGTAGGAGGTGTAAGATACCTAATCTCAACGAAATCCCAAACATCCTTCCAGAACAGCTCAACGTTGTCGATACTCCATTTCCTTAGATCAGCATACGATTCTAACCACCAGCAAACAATCAGTTTCAAGACAGTACAATGGACCAAATAAGAGTAAAGCTTACTCAGAGTTGTTTTGTGTCTAGTCTCGACAAATGCTCTAAATCGTTGCATGTTTGTAGGAGGCTTGTTGTCATTTGGAGTCCAGAGAACTCTATAATCCCCCTTGTTGCCTTGAGTAGCAGTGGCAATGTTCAATAGCAGATTCTTCTTTTGCAAACTGCTCTGGTTGCTATCGCCACTGCCTAGGGAAACAACAGATGAGCCGTTCAGTTCCGTGTACGGCACCGTCATCGTTCTTGGATGTGTCGTTTCTACTAGCAGTTCCACCCTCTCTCTTCCTGATTAAAACTTGGCAAGTTGAATGGCTGTGGTAGTGTGTTTTGAAAATTTTGGGTGACAAAAAAGGGTGCAGAGAAATGATAACGTCTAGCCACGACGTGTTTCTATGTATGCGATTACGTGCACTTTATTTAATAATTATATGATCTTCTACACCAAACATCGTTCTCGCTATCCCAACTTTTCCAACAACTCCCTATGAACCCTAGCCAACTGCTTTCCCCTCTGACAACTCTTGGCAACATACTGAGCCAATATCTCTGCATTCAGCAATGGATTCGTTATTACATTCATGCGAAGATGTATGGGTGTGTCTCGATATATCTGTAGGGCTTGTAGTGTTGGGGGTATCGTTGACGAAGCTTCTACTGGTAACTGTGGTGATAGGTGGTGCACGTTGGCTTCTGGCACTATTTTGGAGTAGTATCTATGTAGTTGATGACAGTATTAGCTCAACTGATGAGATACAAGGGTACTGCACGTTTTTTTAGCAGTTCAAGCACGCTTCCCTTTACATCACTTCAGCCGTGCATCAGCTCAAAAGAGTAAAATCCGATCTTAAATAAATCCAATCCAACATCTAAACTCCTCCTCCTCAAACAACACTTACGGATGAAACTGCCTAACCCCCCAAATCTTCCTCTCAAAGCGTCCCAGCACAGTACTCAAATCAACATTCTTAAACTGCAGCATACGGTTTGCCTTTGGATGTGCAGGCAGGTTTCCCGTGGGGTCTAGCAAGGTCACATTAACCCAGATTCCTGATGTTGATGACCGTATTCCTGGTTCGGCGACCAAGTAGGATTGGAAGATGTGTCTGATATACGCTGAGAGGAAGGGATGGCGCACGCTTGATGGCCAGTTTAGGAGGGTCCGGAGCCGGAGGCCTAGTGGATTTGTTCGTTGTCCCATCGTTTGTGTGTGATGTTTGGATAAAGCCGAAAGAAAACTGCGAGGAGAGGCCCTAAGGATTTGAAGGGCGCATTACATATTACATAATGAATAACATCGATATTTCAATATTTCACGTAAATTTACGCGTCTATTTGTAAGCTATTATTCTGATTGCTACATTTTAAGACTAGTATGGCAGCCAAAAAATACTCCACCAAAGTATGAATGAATTATCGCGACTTTTCATTGACACGTCCCATTCCACTCTCAAATACTTGGGAGATCCTCTACAACTGCGACTGGGTAGCCCTTCCAGACTCCTTCCATCCCGCATACCCACCACTGAGAACCAACACCTTTTGGGCTCCCTAGATAGTAGCAAATTAGACATTCCGTCTTGATTAGCATGCTTGCCTACAATTCATAATTCAGCTATAGCTTACCCAAGCTAGTGCGCCAGCACCCCCCTCCCCTTTTGCAACAAATTTGACCTGTTGCATCTTTGCTCTCTCATAAGCAGCAGCGCATCGTGGTCCCCTCCCGGTCGGTGTGCACCGATTACAATGGAATATCAGCGTAGGCACGAAAGCTTGAGCATAGAATGTTGTTGTTGGTGATTGTAGCAGTCCTTCAGACGGGACGTTTATAGCTCCTGGTGTAAAGAAGGGGTAGCGGTTTGGTGAGAGACGAGCATGACATTGCTTGAAAGAGCTTCATGATAATGACGTTGAGCTCGTAGTGTTTGAGCGAAAGCAGTGCAAATTACATTTGCAGAACGCACCTGGAATGTGACCAGCAGCGAAATCAGATGTGCTTCTGACGTCTATTATTTGATATTCTTGCCTATTGTATAGAAATCAATAGTTTGGTTAGCCAATGGTTTAGAATAGAGCCTGTTCATCAAACTCTCCACCAATGTCACTGTCCAAATGTTGTGACGTTTTCAAGCTTTTAACCGTTTAAAAGAGGCATAAGATAACGAACTAGACGCGAGTCCCAATCACGAAACTGATGATGAGGTCTCCTTGCGTACACCATCCTTCAACGCCGACACAATTCCTCAAAGTATCTCAACCACAAAACGACTTGTATAGTAACTCACCCAACCTTCTCATTCTTCATAATAGCATCGAGCGCCTCCAGATCTATATACACCACATTCGCCGTGTCTATCTCACTCATCCTCCTACAACCTCGTCCAGCTGAGCTTCAAAAGCAACCAGAATGTTTGGTATAACACGATGCACACGTCTACGCATCACACTATCTAAACGCCACGCATCAACATCGCCAAAACCACTTATAATATCCTCATCCTCATCCAAAACCTCCCTCAAACATCCAACAATAAACGAAACGGTCTCTGCATCAACCCTCATCTACAAGCACCCAAACTCGAAAACGTTGAAACGTGGATACTACTTCGGGGGACTGTGGCTCGTGTTTTGGTCTGTGTTTGGTGTATTGCAAGGTGTGGATTATGAAAAGAGACGGAAAGAGATGGTTGGATTTGCGATATCGCAGGGGTTGAGTGTGGAGCATTTGAGAGGCGAAAAGGTATGTGTATTGGAATTGGTATTTAATGCAGTTGGATGGCAAGTGATGTTCCTGTCTTTTGGAGGTGTGATGTCTTGCTGGGAAGCTGTATATTGGGGTTGCACGGATCACACTTTTTTGTTGTTACTACTGTCTTTGCAAACTTTTTTATCTCCAACTTTTAGGTAATGCCAGTCTGATATGAATGCATTGATCTGGTCGTTGTTGTGTCGTTGTGTTTTCAGCCTGCTGTGCTTGATGTAGATGGAAATTTGTACAGGGTTTTTTGCTAACTCCTATTTACACCCCACTAGGTCATACCATTCATACTCTCAGGCACAATGATGGCCGTAGGTCTCATGCCTCTCCTCGTTATCCATCGTGTGAACTCAAGGTATCGTACACCTAGCGAAAAAAGGCTCTACCTTTACAGCACTATGTCTAACACTCCCACCCACTCAACCAGAACAATAGAAACTATCTCAACCCTCCCAAACGCGCACATCCGCATAACAACATGCAACATAATCTTCCGCTCCACACTAACGAAACCCATCTCGCACTGCTCGACATCCGAACGTGCCAAAACAGGATATGGAGAAAACAAGGCACAGATATACATACCGCCCAAAACGAATTTCTTCTTGCTGCCATCGAAACTGTTTAAGAGCGGGTATTTGAAGTTCACGATACAGGGACGGGTGTGGAATACGAGTTTGAAGGTGGATCGAATGGGGACGTTTCCAAGGCTGGATTGGTTTGATGATGCGTTTTATAAAGCTGGTGTGAAATAGATATTAGACAACACAGAACGTTGTTTGCATGTAAACACAATTTCCCATATATGTATAACGCCCCAATAATATATCATACACGGCAAAAACTCTCTACAAAACATATACTACATCCCTCATCTCTTCCTACACTCCGTCTACACCATCTCTCCTGCAAACACCCTGATTCTTTTTACAAATTTAGCGTTGCCTTATATCATACACTTTATAAGTTATTGATTCTGCCCTGCAGAAGGTGATGAAGACGGGCCTAACTGTGACTCTCCACTCCCACCAACACTATTCACAACGAGCGATGTATAGCTTTGTGTTTGCTGTGTCGTTCTCACATTCCAAAGTCCCAGTGTGCCTCCACCACTGTTACTACTACTATTCACATTCATCCCACCATCATCATCATTACTACTACTAGTGGTACTTGGCCTATTATCGTCATACGGAAACCCTTGTTGCTGCTGCTGGCCGTCATACTCGTTAGTCGTCGCAGCAGTAGCCAGCACATTGCTGAGCCCACTGGCACGGTACTGTGGTGATGAGGGAGGTGCAGGTCGTATTGAATATCCTGGCTGTTGTTGTTGCTGTGACGGCGGTTGGCCCCATTCAGGAGTTGAAGCTCTCCTCACGTTGTTATTTGACGAGCTACTCGGCGATGGACCTTGCACCAGGTTATACACCAGTGAGCTTGATTGCGGTGATCCACCAACATTTGTCGGACTATCAACACGACCAAATGTAGCTCCTAGAGGAGGTTGCGATGCGCTTCTATTCCTGAATACCGACTGATCAAGTCCCGGTGATCCATACTGCTGCTGCGGCTGCTGTGGCTGCATAGTATACATAGCAACAGGTAGACTCGGCCCGGGCATCATTCCAAACGGCTGTGACGATGTAAATATAGATGCTGGTGGTGCTAGTGACGGGAATATGGACCCAGAGCTGCTACTACTTGACGATATACTACTTGTAGAGAGCTGCTGCTGCTGCTGTTGCATTTGTAACTGTGGTTGCGGTAGTGTTATGTACGGTTGTGTCGGTGTTGGAACTACACCACCACTACTTATATTCCTAATAATCGGTGCAACCCAACTTGCAGACGACGGTAGCATATCCACCTGCTGAGGCATCAACTGTGTGATATTCCGTTGGTCAGGTTCTACGGCCGTATCAGGACTGGTAATCGACATGCGATGACTCGACAATGGCGAATCACCACCGCCACTACTCATCATCATACTCTGCGATGACGACTGTGTAAACATGTGATCTGCAAACGGTTGGGCAGAAACCCGTCGTGTACTTGGAGCACTGTTCGTACTACTATACGAGTCACCACCTCCACCATCTTCACCATTGTTATTGTTTCCAGCAGTCGGATCCCTTGGATCTCGATACGGCAGCGGCGGGTCTGTTGAAGCTCGAGTGCGGCCACCGAATGGTGGGTCAGATACTGATCGTGGTTTGCGAAGTGGTGAGCCAATTCCTGATGTTGTGTAGTCGGCATCTAGAGTCCAGTATGCTCCTTTACCACCTTCGTTTGGTGGACGCGGGACTCGTACAAAGGCTCGATTCAGACTTAGATTGTGCCGTATTGAATTCTGATTGAAAATTCCGTTAGTAAAACACAACAAAAACGCCTACAGTATAGTAGTCGATGGCATTTGCAATTTACCTTCCAACCAGCACCAGCCGTCCTAAAATACGGATAATAATGCATGACCCATTCATATATATCATTCAACGTCATTTGTCCACCAGTAGCAGTCTGCAACGCATACGTTATTATCGTAGCATACGACTGCTGTGGTTTCCCCTGCTGATCAGTCCCAAACGAGAAATTCGTTGTATCGAATTTCGATGCGGGCGCACCTCTGCTGCTCCGTCGTGACGAGGAATTGGAATGCACTCGTGCAGTTGTCGGTGATGATGATGACATTATGGGTGATCCGGTTGCGTTTTGCTGCTGTTGTTGGTCTGGAGGTACGGATGTTTGGAGACGTGGTGGGAGGTATTGCTGTTGTGGTTGTGGTTGTTGTGGTTGCTGCTGCTGTTGAAATTGTTGTTGTTGCTGTATTTGTTGTTGTTGCTGCTGCTGAAACTGCTGTTGCTGTTGTATCATTTGTTGCTGCTGCTGCTGCATCTGCTGTTGCTGTTGTATCATTTGTTGCTGTTGTTGTTGCTGCATCTGCATCTGCTGTTGCTGTTGTTGAGATATGGACTGCTGCGGCGGTTGCGGTTGCGGCTGTGGCGACGGACTATACTGTGTAAACGACGACTGGGAAGAGGGTAGCGGCAACTGTGTAGGATAAGGCGAACTATTCCTCAACAAATCAGATCCATACGATTGCTGTTGTTGCTGTTGCACTGATAATCCAGACATGGCTTGCTGCACACTTGCCCCATTATTCTGCTGCTGCTGTTGTTGAGACTGTGGTAGAGCAGCACCAAACGGGAAACTACTACCACTACCAAACCCAGACGGAAATGACGAAGCCATAACAACAGAGCTCAAAGCCGGTAGTGGAGACGGCAGAGTGCGTAATGTCAGCATCCCACCGTCTTGACTCGTGCTATACAACCCAGGCGACGTCGACGAGGTCGTACTGCGACTACTGCTATACGGCTGGAAATACGACGGGCTGTTCCCACTATACGATGGCGACATCAGCGACCCTCCTCTCGCATTCGCGAGCGTGACTGACGATGACGTCTCACTCGAACTCATGCTAATTGAATCCCCCTCCATATTGCTAGTATTACTATCCCAGCGAGGATTAAACTGCTGCGTGGCACCACCAGCATTCCGAAACCGTGCTGCGTCGTTGCTTGCGCGATCCATCATGTCCATGTCTGACAGCAGGCTTGGGACGGGATGTCCCAATTGTTGGCTTGGTGAAGGGATGGTGGACGTTGTGCTGTCAGATGATGGCGTCGGCCGTGTGTTGTATCCAATAAGCGACATGTTGGCGATTGTGTCGGTTGTAGAGTCTCCTGATTGCTGGCGCTGTTGCTGCTGTTGGGCATCTTGTTGCAATGTATTTCCTGCATTGTATGCCATTAAGGGAAAAGTAGCGGTCAAACCGAGGCGGGGCTAGCTGTCAGATAATAGAAGATGGCAAGTTCGAATATCTTCCTTTTTTGCAGTTGACTATTACAGTGGAGGAGGAGTGTTCGCCTGTATACATGTCAAAAAACATAACATGATAGTGTGTTGGTGAGACTGAGCCGTTGAATTGTCCGTATGTAAGTAGCGATGCATTCCGAATTGGTACATTACCATGTAGTGTACACGACCTGCGCTCTTCGTGGCTCCTCTGGTCCCTTTGGTTGAGGCGAAATGTTTTGTTTGCTCTGAATGAGGTTGTTTTGCAGAACACCGCCATCACCAAATAGAGGGATAAAAAACAACAAAGGGAACATTCGGTCTAAAGTCTAAAAAAACCTAACAGCGCATTCGTTTCGTCTCTAATGCAAAATGTATTTTGACTTTGTACAACAAATAAGATACGCGTTTGTTATAAATAGCACACTTAGATAATAAACTACACGACATTAATAAAGGGTCTCAACCGAGTCCAATGCTCCTCACATTCCCTCCTGTGCAGCAGCTTGACCTTGACTATAATACTGCCCATCACTACTCGAAGCCGAAGATGGTGAAGCCATATACATTGCCACACGTGGCACCTTGAACTCTCCCACAACATCCTCATGTTCAATCATACTAGCAGACGAAGGCCCCTTCTTCAACAACTTGTGTCCAACCTTCTTTGGCATCTTATTCTTGACCAGTTCTTCATCGGAAGTCCAATAAGCTCCTCGTCTGGGTTGTACAGAGGCAAAGAACTTGGAGTGGGATAGTGCGTGTCGGACTGAGCTCTACATAAACCAAGGCGTTTAAGAGAACGCGACTCATCCTTGCATGACAAGTTTGCACATGTATTTATTTGGCACATACCTTATACCCTTTATTCTCCTTGACAGCGAAATAAGCATACGTGGCTTCCAAGTATTCGTAGATTTCAGTAAGCGACATTGTCTTGTCGGATTTGGAGTCGAGTGCTTGCTTGACGAGGATTTCGAATGTGTGTGGTGGCTTCTTGGAACCATCCTGTAGTTGTGCTTGGGCAAGGCGTGGGGTAGATATGATAGATTTGATGGTAGCTGGTGATATAGGTTGGTGTTGATGTGGTGTTGGTATGATGTGAGTAGGAGCATTTGATGCCTGGCGAGGGAATGACCAATGGTGATTGTTGATGGCCAGGTTTTTTTGCTGCTGTGAAAAACCAGCTTGCCTCTCATCGACATCCATATCATCATTCCTCCATTGCTGCGTAGCACTACGACTACCACTCTTGATATGATATCCAGCCACTGGACTCACATCCCTCCTAACCATAATAGGATACGGTACAGCAGCACCAGCATTCTTTCTATGCACTGGCCTTAAAGCTCCACGCCCATCACTCATATTCAATCGTCTCCTGGCAATCTGTGGAGTATACTCTTCTTCATCACTGCTGCCATATCGTGAGAACACTGGTGGCATCTGACTACTTCTAGGCTGTGTTTTTACAGGTGACGTAGAAGATCGAATTGAACGGTTTGTTATTGATGGTGATGTTGCGTCACTGACTGGTGATTTGGTTGGTTGTGATTGTTCTCGGTATTCATATTGTGGTGTTGAAGCACAACGAGTGAAATTGGGTTCGTATAGTACGGATGTGGGGACAAAGAATCGGCCAGGTTGTTGCTGGTGATGTTGGTCTTCGTATTCGCAAGCGTCACGGGTGCCATTAGGAGATGGGAATGCATGGACCCATTGGCTAGGTAGTGGTGGTAGCATATTTCGGTTGCTGCTGTTGGGGCTGTTATTATTGATTGGCGACTGTGGTGGCAAATGTTGAACACCATAAGGTCTCGAATACGAGGTCTGCGAAGCAAGTCTATGTTGCTGCTGTTGCATCATAGGGTATGCATATCGACCATCGCCAAGATATGTAGCACCAATTCGTGGTTCATACGGTGTTGTTTCGCTAGTCTCGAGTTCTAGAGGGTCAACCAGCATGGAAATCGGGGCACCGGATGTTGGAGTGCCTCTTTGAGAATGCACGGGTGATGACGGATCAGGAAACCGTTGAGATGGTGAAGACCATGGACCTGGAGATGATGATGAAAAGCCTCCTGGAGATGTAAAGGCGAAAAAGGCTGAAGGTGTGGTTGGCGAGCCGTTTAAGAGGGAGAAACTGGGTCTTCGTGAAGGATATATATCCTATGTATATAAGGAGAATATTTTTAATGATATGATTGTTGGCTTGTATATGAAATCGTTGGTTCAAGATTCAAAACTTCAAACGTGATTAATGAACCACAGTGTGATGGTAGACATACCATATGAGAAGCACTGACGGGTCCACGAGACGTCAATGTAATTCCATCACTGGATCGTCTATCCCTAGTATTGATTTCGAGTCTTGATGCATGATCTTGAAGCTGGAGTTGTTTGGTCTGAGATGTGGGTGGAGGAATTGGTTCGTTGGTCACTGGTTTAGCATCCTCCTTCTGTGAGTCCATGGCTGGTACACGCTTGATATCTTCTCTTGCTTCTTGTTGTTGAGCTCGCATGCTTCCTTTGACTCTCTGCTGTGTGTGGAGTGTAGATTGAATTCCAAACTTTTTCATTCTTCCTTATTTTTCCCACGCGTAATTTTCTTGCGTGTACAGGAACACATGAGGCTAGCCCAAAGAAAGATTTTCCTGTATGCGAACAATCTATATAAATCAGATTTGCAAACATGATTCTTTTACAAACTGATGAGTGTCATTTCTTGGAATCAGAGGAGTTCATTTTTCTTGCGATGTAGGAGGAATTCATCACGTTCTTTACATAGTTCGGTGACCCAGGCTTGTACAGTAGGTGTTTGAAACCTGTGCAGTGTGCTTTCAAAAAAGGATGATAGGTCCTTGTCGGTTCCTGTCAATCCAATTTGGGAGTAAATGAAGTGGTTAGAACCTTGCTAAATGAAGATTTGTGAAGAGACGACTTTGAAGGAACACGTTCTGAAGCAATACTTCAAAGTATGCTGCAACAGTTAAGGACGGTTCTTTGATCTTTTCCACCCTCCTAAATCCAGCCATTACAAAAAGACTCCTCCGACATCCAGCAACGTACTCTTCTCATATTCAAAAGCCTGTATCAGCATCTCCACCTTATCCAAATCCTTGACGAATCTGGCCTCATCCGACGAGCAATTCTCGTATTCCAGCCACAATTCATGAATGTGTTTTGCATGCTCCGTGTTTCCAAGCATATCTTGTATCCGCGTCATAGCATCAGCTTCCAAGCTATGCTTTTCCTGTTTAGATATCCCGTCAAATGGGGTAATGTCGCCGACAATCGACTCGGCAATGTCGTGCGTGCTGGCGATTTCCACACAACGGGATTTGTTGAGGGTAGGTGGTGCGAGTAAGGCGAGGAGGCTCATTCGATGCTAAGTAGGATATAAAACGTTAGATGTTATGATGTAATATATGATGCGGCACTAGTACCATATGATCAGAAATTGACTCTGGCAGTTCGATGCCAGAATTGATCCATCCCGTTCTCTTCTTCAACTTGATCAATAAATCATGAGTTAGATACATCGTACAAGCTTATATCCGAGCAGTCGTACCTTTAACTCTTCTATTAGATGCGCAAACTGAATTACATTTTTTGGATTCATATTTGACAACATTTGACTTTTGACTTTACTTAGATATATGTGCTATAATGCCGTATGTTGCAGTGCTTGGCTACGTGTATATAACGTTCTTGTACTATGATATATCGACGACAGATGGCATTTTCAATTGTTCGAGCTGTTTCCTGCCTTGCCGAATTTTGTATTCAATCATCTGGACATCTTTACGCGGAATAGTGTCGGCATTGACTCTAAATTGGGATCTGACGTGATTTTCAAAGTGTGGACGTGTTTCCTATGTGCAAGAGAGTGCTTGACGAAGTTGGTGTGATTGATTCATTGTTGAGATATTGAATCGCACTTACGGTTGGTTTAGTTTTACAGGCTCGTAGGCAGCTTCTATATAGTGCCAATACTTCTTTTTGTAGTCCCGTTAGCCTATAAACCGTCATTGTTTGTTGTTCACTGGCCGCCCGTGAATACGGATCTAGTGTTTTGTTGCATTCTTTTTTTTCGCACTTGTTGACACATAAGACACCAATCGCTTCAAAATGGTGCAAGAGGAGACCAACTTTAGGCACTTGCCTACTACAAAGAAATCCAACAAGCCATTCAAATCAAAGCATGCTACCAAGGGCCAGCTGAAAACAAAACTCAAAGGTCGTGTTTCTTCAAAGGACGAACTACTCAACTCGGCAGTGGGATCAAGAGTCTCGTCCTCTAAGGCTGATAGGCGGAATACTGCAAAGCTGATTCAAAAGAGGAAGAGAGATCTCGTCGTCAAGGGCCAGAGACTGTATCAGGGTGTAAATGGAGTGCCAAAAGTCGTGGTAGGTCGCAAAAAAAAAGTTGATCTCGAGCACGTATTCAAGTTTGACACAAGAGGACACTGATTGTCTACCAAATATATTCTTATAGGCCGTGATCCCGTTATGTCCTGATGTTGGATCAAAGACTGCTGTCGATGCTCTATTCGCTAGTATGGGTCAAGAGTCGCCGGAATCTGGTTGTGGTATTCTAAAGTATGTTTGGAGCCAAAAAAAGGATAATTCCTGCACTACACACCTCGTAGGTCCTATTAACACAACTATCTATTCAGGTTGGAACGCTTCAAACAAAACCTTCACCTCATATCCGTCCCCCGTGATTTATACGCAATCCTGGACGCATGTCTTGCCGCAGACGTAGTCCTCTTCCTCCTATCCGCAGAACAAGAAGTAGACGAATTCGGAACCTTGATCCTGTCTTGTATTAAAACGCAGGGTGTAGCACCTACACTCTCATGTGTCCAACACCTCGAATCCCTGCCTATAAAAGAACAATCCCAAGTCCGGAAATCATTAACGTCATACATGGACTTTCATTTCCCAGACCATGAACATAAGTTGTGTTCTATCGGTGCTGATGCTGATGTGCTGAATCTGGGGAGGTATTTGACGAATACGACACCAAAGGATTATGCGTGGAGAGAGAAATATAGTCGGATTGTTGCGGAGAGTGTAGAGTATGATGAGGGCAGTCAGTGTTTGAAGGTTACGGGACATGTGCGTGGAATGCCGTTGTCTGCTAATCGGTTGGTGCATGTGCCGGGTAGTGGATCTCATCAAATCAAACAAGTAAGATTTTAGACTCTGTTATTCTAGTTTTTGGCGCTAGTGGGAAACTTCAATCTAACAGAAATATGTCGCAAAGGTTACTGCATGTCCAACAAGCACACGTGCAATGAATGTCGACCAACTAGTAGTCCTCGACAAACCAAACGCATTACAAGAGTCTCTTGTAGCAGTCAACGAGCCTGATCCAATGCAGGCTGAACAGACTTGGCCTACTGATGAGGAGATACATGATGCTGACAGTAAGTTATTTGGCAACAAAACCGTTCAGTTTTTTGTGAATTACACATCCTTACTAAATTATATGTCTTTAGTGCGCTTGGCACGCAGATCATCGATAAGCTCCTTGCACGGATCTATCAAGAGCATAAACACCACATCATCCAAGAAACGAATTGTACGAGTACCGAAAGGTACTTCTGCATATCAAGCTGCTTGGATTGTTGATTCGGATGATGAAGTCGCCAGCAACGATAACTCTGATGACGACCATGATGACGAAGAAATGCAGCAAGGAGACTATGAAGAGGAAATGCCACCTCAAAGTGAATCTGCACTATGGATGGGCAAAGAATCACCTGCCAACGACCAAACAGACGAAGACTACGACGAAGAATACGAAGATCTAGATCTCGACGCTACAGAATCCGAAGCACCATCACAGCCTGACGATACCATGATTTACGATAACGAAAACAACGAAGAAGACCCATTACATAAAGCAGCACAAGAAGATCTCGAATTCCCAGACGAGGTAGACACGCCTCGAGATATGGATGCACGCATCCGATTCCAGAAATATCGAGGGCTGAAATCATTTAGGACGTCACCGTGGGATGCGTTTGAGAGTTTGCCTGTTGATTATGAGAGGATTTTCCAGTTTAAGGACTTCAAAAAGACCAAGAATAGGAGTTTGAAGATGGCGGTTGATTCTGTTGTTGGTGTTGGTGAGAGGGTTTGTGTTTGGATTGATGGGGTTGGGAAGGATGCGTATGGTGAGTTGTTGTTGATGGCTTTAGTGTCAATAAAGAATCCTGCTCTTACTGTTTTTCTGTGTCTCCTCATTCTACAAACTTACACATCTTTTCACCCAAACCAATCACAGCAACAATGAGCCCATCCCGCCCAATAACAATATTCTCCCTCCTCCGTCACGAGCATAAATTCTCTGTAATCCACTTCTCCCTCACTCGCACATCCGAAGACACATCAATTATAAAATCAAAGACTCCCATGGTCGTCTTTTCAGCATTCAGACGATTCGTCGCAAATCCAGTATACTCAACAGATACACGTGGTGGTACCAACAACGTACACAAGTTTGAACGGTATCTGCAAAGCGGGAGAACGAATGTTGGATCTATATATGGGCCTGTCACGTATGGGCCTGGACCGGTGCTGATGTTTAAGGCGGAGGATGTTATGCGGTGGACTGAAGGTATGTAATGTTTCAATCTGGCGATGCAAAAACACTTGCCAAGAAACTGACGATTTGCTCCTCACAACACCTTCTCTCCAAATAGACTCCCATCCAACCCTCATAGCAACAGGCTCCCTTCTAGACCCAGATCCAACCCGCATAATAGCCAAACGCATAATTCTCACAGGCCATCCGTTCAAAATCCATAAAAAATCAGCTGTAATCCGATTCATGTTCCACAATCCTCCCGATATTGAATGGTTTAAACCTATTCAGCTGTATACGAAACTGGGCAGAGTCGGTCATATAAAAGAGAGTCTGGGAACGAGAGGACATATGAAGTGTATTTTTGATGGGGTACTGAAACAGCAGGATACGGTTTGTATGAGTTTGTATAAGAGGGTGTTTCCCAGGTGGGAGGTTAAGATGTATCACGCGTAACGAATTGGTGAGCAAGAGGTGTATGCAGATGAGTAGAATATAATAGAATAGTACGTCTGCACCAGCATTTTTTTTTTTTTTTTGGTGGCGGTGGGCATAAGCGTATCACGCGGAAAGGAAAGCATAGGAATATAGATCGCGATAGATTCAGTGCAAGATCAACCCTGTGAACGTGTTCTCTACCTCACTACGCTTGCCTTCTTATCGAACATTCCACCTGCTTAGGGTGTCCTGGTAATTTTGCCTTCTTCGCCGCTCAAGAACTTCGCTTCCAAACATCGCAACGATCGCTCTAAGTAAAGAGGCTCGCAGAGGTAGGATACACACCATGCATTACTCTTTACATATAGATCTCAACGATCAACCGTCCATCTATCCCTCCGAAGCCTGGCTACAACCACTAACCCACCACACCGCTTTGTGCTTTACAGGAAACATGAAGTGGTTGCTAGCTGCATCAGCGCTACTGATATCAGCTGTACATGGACAGGTTAATGTAGTGCTGAATTCTAATAACTATCCAAGTAAGCCTCCTCGTATAACACAACCATGTTGCTGGAATCGGACTGCAGAAAAAATTATGGATATGGATAACAACGAGGCGACAACACTATGAAAAGCTGGAATTGTGGAATGATTTACCGGACATCTCACATACCCAAACTCGAGATATGGCGGTCCGGGATGTAGTTCCGGTCCTCCGAATCACTATCCCTGCACACATATGCTGACACACTATACATCACAGACGCCGGATCATCACCACCCGCAAACGCAGCCTTCACATCGCAATACGATCTCTCCAAAGTCCCCAACATTGCAGTCCGGACATCACCTGCAGGATGGACGTACTCTGCACTAGATATCATATCTTGTCCGTCACCTAAACAGTGGGGGGTTACGTTCGATGATGGGCCGAGTGGGCCGTATACGCCGGGACTGCTGGATCATTTGGATCAGAAGGGGGTCAAGGTTACGTTTTTTGTTATTGGGGGGAATGTGTTGGCGAATCCGGATCCGTTGCTGAGGGCGTATAAGGCTGGGCACCAGATTGGGATTCATACGGTGAGTTTGGGGTAGTAGTGGTGGTGGTGATGATGTAAAGCAAGTTGCTTTTTGGGCATGTGTCTTTTTTTTCGTTGACATGTGCAAACACTGATGATTTTTTATCCTTGTTTGTAGTGGTCTCACCCATACCTGACTGAACGAGTACGTATTCATTCTCGATCTATTCCCTTTCAGAAAAAATCAAATTCACAACTGGACTGACAATCACACACGTACTACACCAGTCCAATGAAGTAATCATCTCGGAAATCACATGGACTGCTAAAATCATTCATGATGTGATTGGTGTGACTCCCAAGTATATGAGGTACAATTCTACATCGTTTGAGTTTGGTTTTTTTTTTGTGTATTACCTATCCGCACAAAATCCTCATATTTGCATTTGCAAACAACTAGACCACCGTATGGAGACCTAGACGACAGAGTCCGAGGCGTCATAAACGCAATGGGTATCAAAATCGTCACATGGTGAGATTATACTTCCTGGCACTGGATGTTTTTCGGTTGTTCTTGCATTTTTAGAACTAGTTTAGCCTTTCAGCCTGATACATCTATTCAACTCATTTCTTACCCCTGGATCTCTTAGGAATCGCGATACAGACGATTGGGAGCACTTAGATACCGGTAAATATGATGTCCGAAAAGAAAAGCTGCTATCAGAAACTCATACCCTTTTTTTGGTAACATGCAGCAACGACCGTCGTCCCACAAGAAATAAACGGATGGATTGCAAACCCACCTACAGACAGCGGCATCATATCCCTCGAGCACGACTTTTGGCAAAACACTGCCCTAGCTGGATACACATCCGTTGATCTAATCCAGGGCGCTGGATTCACGATAACTCCTGTAGCGGTATGCTATGCTGATCCATACCCGTATGCTGAAGGTGCGGGCACGTTGCAAGGGGTTACGCCCGTTACGCCATCTGCTGCTCCGAGTGCGGCACCTAGCGCGGCACCTAGTGTTGCGGCTGTCGTGGGGTCTGGATCGACGGCGTACTCGCAGTCGGGTGCTGCGGGTGGGTGGCAGAGCGCCACGGGGCCTGTTGCGCCAAAGAAGGAGGATGGGGCGGTTAAGCTGGATGTGTATCATCGGAATAATCGGTTTTAGATGGGGGAGAGGGCCAGCTGGGACTGCCCTTTTTGGAATGGACAGTGGACTGTTAGAGGAGCGAATATCTCGTTGAGACTTTTAAAGAGAAGTAGAAAACATAACCAGACCCGTAGTTGTTTTGTGAAGCTGTTAACCTTATATTTCCTTTTCTGTTGTTGCATGATATTTATATTTATAAAGACTGCCTCTCTGTCTCCTCCATAATGGTATTGTTTATGCAAACGTGTTTTGTTGATACGGTTTTCCACTCTATTCTATGGGGTTTTTGACTTATCAAGACTCTTATCAACAACTCGTTTCAGTATCTTCTTTTCCTCAATACGTAGAATCAATGCGAATCGTTTGCGTGATAGGCTAGGTCCCTGTAAAAGTGGCAAAAATGTAAGGGCTGTCATCTACACAAGATGCTTGAGAATTTCAACCTTACCAACGACGCCAATTCAGCTATATCTTGTTCCAATGTAGTTGGATACTGTGTGAGTCGTCTAACAGCTAGTTCTTTGGATATGGCTTCAACTTGGCGAGATAGGGATGAGGTCACGGATGCTGTTGGTGATGGCATTTCTTCATCTTCTTCATCACTATCGTCTGTGTCTATTTCTTCTTCCTCATCCATTTCTTCACTTGCTTTTGCATTTACATTACCCTCTCCTTCTTCCCCTTCGTCCTCATCTTCATGCTCATGATCATGAGCACAATGTTCACCATGCACATGCTCCTCTCTAGTCTCTCTAACAATCCACCCTTTATTCCCTAACTGTCCCAAATACACCTCAACACCACTCCCACCACTCCTCAACTGCCTGTACAACCCCACAGGCGCAAACGCAATCCGTATCGCACCTTCCAACGCAGCACTTCTCCCACCACTATAATCAAAATACGGGACAAGCACACCATCAGTGATATCCACATCATCGTTGTCTGCTAGCGATTCACAGACTTGTTGCCACCATTCGACACGTTTGAGGTGTTTGGGTGGGAGGTGGGATGATAAGACGGTGATAATATTGTGCCATGGGATACACGTGATGTCATATGGGTTGTTTGGTTCGGTGAAGGCGTAGCGCGAGAGGAGGGTTGTGTTGTTGTGGGAGCCGTATGTGTTGAATACTTCGGTGTTTCGTGAGCAGCATTTTATTATCCTCATTTGGAGTGTGTCTCCTATATCGTCTTCTTCTTCGCTTTCGTATTTATTGTTTTCGGAGGAGACATCGTCCCATTCGTCGTCATCGTCTCCTATTACTGAAGATTCGTCTAATAGTTCTGGCGCTTCTCCATCTTCTACATCCAATGACTCTGCATCCACATCCATATCTTGAGCCTCCATAACATGCTCACACTCACAATTACTTCCACAGATCAGACATACATCCGCATCAGACTCTATATGTACGTGCTCTCCAGCAGTCTTATGATTGAATATATCTGCGAGCGGTACCATACTGTCGCCATGATATGCATCGACCTGAAATGCACGTGATGTTACAAGCGACATGGCTCTCAAGAAGAAGTCGTAGCTATACACGGTTGGTGGAAACAAGTCCTGGTTTGCTTCAAGTATTGGGACAATGTTGTCTGTCCAGTCTGCTTTTAACAAGATTTTATCTTTAGCTAGTTTACTTTCGAGATCAGTTGACGCTAGCTCCGTCAAGTCGGTATCAGACCAGAATAACGGTATATCCTCACGTTCTGGCATCGTCATCAAGTATTCGTGCCATGGTGAATTCACTCCTTGAGTGATTTCAAACATGACGGAGAGACTGAGGCCTAAAACACCTGCGATTTCGTGTTCTTCGAGTATGTGGGCAATGGCTGTTGATTTGCAGGATAGGACTGTTGTTTTTGGGATTTCACAGACTAGTTAAAGAAGAATAAGCAGTGAGTTAGTGAGAGTAAGCTCAATTCGATATCATAAACACGAGATCAGAGAGTCTCTGTGCGGCAGGCTCTTGTAAACACAGCTCAAAGGTTCCAACACGAATTCACAGAGCCGTATAACAAGAATCTGGATCACAAAGCTAACAAAAATGACCTTCGTTGGAAGCTCGATGAGTTACCAAAACCAGTCACAGAGTTGACTATGGTACTTTCATATATATGACTTTTTTTGCGTGCATTTACCAACATCACCAAGCTTCAGATCCTTTGCTGCCATGATACACAGCCCCAGACCATTCGATGAAGATGAGCTTGAAACACGTATCTTGTCCATGGAAATGTCGTTTGACTTGAACCAAGCGAGCAGAGCTTTCAGACGTTCAGGTGAGTGTGTTGATCCCATGTCTTGAGACGTTACACGTCTTCCGGAGAGTCAATCACGTTCCTATATGATAGATAATTATAAATCAGCCAAGATAGACTTCTGTGCTTCGTCTCCATAATATGTTCACTCAGCAGTCGTTTTTTCTCCCTCCAAACTTCTGCCAAAACAACAGCCAAAGCTGCAAGAATAACAAACTAACAAAGAGATATGGCAGCTCCTTCCGCAAAGATTTTCATTGGTGGTCTAGCCTGGTAAGATATCCGTCGTCTCCGTTCACTTTATCTTGATATATATGCTTGACTTTGCCTACTTCAAATTGTTTGGAAGTCAACTTGCCAAGAAGTAAGCTAACATGGTCCACTTTATCCAATTAAATAGGGCATCCACCAACGAATCATTACGCACAGCATTTGAAGCCTATGGGGAAGTCGTTGAATCGAGAGTGGTTACGGACAGAGGTGAACATTTGTGCTATTTGATCAAAACGGCATGCGACAAACAACAGACATGAGAGAGAGAATGAGAGTTGGCCATCGGATATTTGGGTGTTATATACCATTTGAAATGTGCTACTGCTCTGGATGGATGCGACTCATGACATTTGCCACTCCGAAATTTTGCTTTGCCAGTTTTTATGCTTTTTTGCTACTTGTCATCACTGGGGGCAGCAACCGGCACCTTTGTTATTTTGAATTTGGTGGTGGGATCCGATCGGGCATTATAATATCTCTTCATCAATCTGTTTTTGTGATACTTGTGAAATGGCAGCGACAAACTGGTAAACCGATGATAATATCTGACACGACAACCATGTCTCTTTTTTTCCTCTTCTCTTTTGATTACTCTTCTATTTGGACCGGCAATCTCCCATTCTATGATTATACTCGTAAACAGAAACTGGACGAAGCCGTGGTTTTGGATTTGTCACTTTTGCCGACGCAGCTTCTGTTGCCAAGTCTATTGATGGCATGAACGGACAAGATTTGGATGGACGTGCTGTTCGAGTTACTGAAGTAAGTAATATAAATCTTATACCCGAGTTTTTACTTCGCTACACGGCATTTTGTCAACTGTCAACAATCACATCTACAATTGTGATGCAATATGCCAAGAGCCCCAACTTTACCCTTAACAATTGATTGCTCAAGCAATCTTAAACTAACTGCAACACTTTTCGTCAACTAGGCAAACGACCGTCCAGCAGGTGATCGCCCACCTCGCTCTGGAGGTGACAGCTATGGTGGTCGTCGTGACGATAGAAGTGGCGGAGGGTATGGTGGCGGACGAGGAGGTGGAGGCTATGGTGGTGACCGTCGTGACGATAGAGGTGGCGGAGGCTATGGGGGAGGACGTGATTCTGGACGTGATTCTGGTTATGGTGGAGGTTCTCGTGGTGGTGACCGAGGCTCAAGTGGAGGTTACGGTGGGGGGCGCCCTCGCGATACTCCCTACAGCAGGCCGTCTGGTGACCGTGAACGATACTAGCTGCAGCAAATAGCTTAATTGGTGAAAGAAATATGAACCCCGTCAGCATCCCACTCGTTTGCTCAAAAGATTGCTTTAAAAAAGGTAGAACACAAAAAAAATTGTACAAGAAAATGGTTGTGAAAAGGATTGGTTAGTAGCAAAGTTACTCTGTTGTTGTTTGTAAGAAAGGGAAGGAAATGATTACAATGGCTCAAAACAACATCGAATGTTCGTTTACTTGTTTTATATTGTGTGTTAGCAGTGGAATCTTACACAACTAGCTTCGGAAATTATGTTACTTTCGTAGGATTTCGGATTGACAGATACAAACAATCATCAATCAGCAGATGTTGCTCTTTGCCTTGGGTGATCTAACGAATCGCCTATTCATAACCGAAAACGTGAGTGCTAGCAGCACATAACTTGATATCCATATCTCCAAACTACGGTGACTCACCACTATTCTGTACACTATGTAGTCCAAACTTTCGAATCGCTATCCCCTCTTTGCTATTCTTCCTACTAGCACCAGGTGTCTCTGATTGTTGCTGCAGGTGTTGACTATTCAAACTCGATCCTTGACTGAGAGTCGACCCACTCGGCTTGGTATCAGCATCAACAGGCTCGACTTCCTCGGGATGCTCCCTCAATGAACGCCGTCCTGATCCTCGTCCGAGTGATGAGTAAAGCGATGGACGGTTCGGCAAGCCGAGGAATTGTGACGTTGATTGTTGTTGCTGCGGCTGCGGTAGCTGCTGTTGAGATGACGGAGGAGGAGGAGCCAATGAAGAATTCGAACGTTCGGCTATACTACCAATCATACTGCCTTGTGAAGTCCCTCCAGACACATTGGGTTTCAACCCCTCCAAGTCAAGAGCAGACGTAGGCATTCCAGACGGTGCAGCACTCCCTCCAAATCCAACGAAAAATGAAGCACGTCGTGCTAAGTGTCTAACTGCATTTCCAACCGTTGCTGCAGCTCCTGCGTTACCTCCCATGTATTCGTCTTGGGCACCAACAGGAGGAGCAATCGATCCACGATGTCTCATCATCTCAGACTCACGACGACCCGATGTGGCCCACAGTTTCAGAATGTTTTTACGGGTTTCGTCGCCAGTGATTGATGATGTGCGGGATGAGTGACGGGATAGCCAGCGAAGGATGAAATTGCTGGCCTTGTGGGATGTGTTTTGTTCGAGGATTTTGCCAAGTGAGTCGACAATGTCGGGGAGGTTTTGTACTTGGGGTGGGAGGCGGACGACCATTTCGATTATGCAGCGTTGTGAGACTCTGATAATGGAAGGAGGTGGGTGAGAAATAAATACAGCGATCAAAAAAAGCATTGCAGGTCGTTTGTATCACTTACTTGAGGTGATTAATCATTCTCCAGAACACCAACAGTTCTGATAAAGTTGGAATTGAAGTCAGTCATGGCTCACTTTGCTGGCAATACTTGAACAAAACGGTTCAATAACTCACCTCCAACGAAAACAACAATCAATTCAGCAATGAAAATCAACAAGTTCTTTGTTGTGGTACTTGCAAGTACCGCGTTTCCTTCAAGCAAAGTCTGATCCCCACATCGATCATACCCTTGCAGGAAATCTGGCTCGAAAGTTGCGTCCAAGAAGGCAATGACATTACTGTCTGGTACAAAATTTCCGATGCTTGCTGCTAGAACATTGTCTACAGTTTCAGAGTGAACATGTTGGTTAATTAATTACGAACGACCCATCTGATACATCAAAACAAGTATCGAATCCGGATCTTACCAGAAATACTTTGCATAATCAAGTCAGACAGATGGTGAAGTCCAAGACCAACTGTATCGTTCGTATAGTTGATACTTGAATTAAACACTCGATTGGAGCATGGTGTTGGATCTGGATATGGAAGACAAATTGGGGAATTGAAATCTTGTTCCAACGTAGCAGAGTACTAGCGAAAAAAGCTTGATTTCAATCCGGCAACACACCCTGAGACTGTCGTCACGCTGTCAAAACTTACTTGAGAATACGGAAGACTCGGTGGATATCTCGTAGTATCACCGTGTATGAGATTACCATAAATTTGCTCCAGGTAGCCGTCATCACCCCACTCAGAAATAAGCGCGTCCCTTAACGCAGTTTGATTTTTCCAAGTCATCGCATCAAAATTCACCAGATCTTTGATGAGTGCTATACTTCTGATGCTGAATGTCGCCATGTCACCGAATTGATCGAGATTAGCAAATGCTTGGCCGATTTGATACATTCCAGCGATATTGAGGACGGCGAAGAGTGTAGCCAGTGTGCACGTCATTGAGACGTATGCTAGATACTGTAGTCGTAGGACATTGTCTTGACCTAATGATCTGTTGTTGGCTCTCACTTCAAGTTCGGTACGTGCTTTCAAGCTGAGGTTGTCACGACCGAAAAGTTCTTCGTCAATGTCGTCTTCTGCTTTCTGTGATAAGGGGTAAAAGTGTGAGACCACCAGAAAAGGGACGACCAGACTCTACTTTTGGATTTCATTGGCAAAAACATACCACAACCAGTTCAGTAGCACACGATTTGGGTATTTTCTTGAAGATCTCCAATGTATTCCTCATTTTTGTGCGGAAGGCTTGTACTCGTCGATCCATAACTACGACCGCGGTTACAATCGTAGCAATCAGAATACAAGTCAAAATGATACTAAATTGAGATGCGAGATTAGCCAAAAAGCGTTACTTTGGCAATTTAGTTTGTTTCGCTGCTTCTACCTGTAATTGGTCGCAGTGCTGACAATGGCATTTTGCTGGTTAAAGTACAAGTCGTTCATTGAAAAATCGTAGGGACCGCGTTGGGCTTGGTAGAAGTTGTCTGCGACGAAGCGGAAGTCTATAAACCGTGTGCACGGGTGAGATTTTTGGGGGGTTTCGTCTCATTTCAACAAATAACATTCACCTCTCTCTTACCATTATTGTATGAATAGTTTGCAAACGATGAAAAGTCAATAGACGCCAGATGCAATCCACAAGCAGCAAACTTCTTGGTCAGTTGGAAGAGATTATAGTCGACAGACCGCGGCGCCATGTAAGGGTAGAATGATACGATGACGGGTATGGTTGGTGTGGTGTAAATGGCCAGTGCATCAGCTACATACGCCATGGTTGAAAGGTATTATTTATTTATTTTTTGTTGAAAAAGCAAATATCAAAGTTCGACTTACGATTCGACATATCCGTAGCTGCGAATATCGACGATGCAACATCATCAAACTCTGTCATTTCACCATACAGTTTTGTCTGGATGGAACTAAACAGAGTTGGGTTGTTCGTGTCATACGCACTTTGAAGCTGTCTAATTCGCCGATAGAGTAATGCTGTAGCTTTTTCACGAAGGTGAAGCCCATCCAAATATGAAAGGCCCTGGCCAGACAATTCGTTTCCCGTTATGATGACATAGGAAGCGATTAAAATCCCGACCGAAGTAATTCCGACAAGTACGGCAGAGAGCCTATGACAAGGGGATGAAAAATCTTTTCTCACTCGTATCCCATTACACACTAGATGCTCGTACTTACTGGATAATTGCCATATCAGATGCATTCTTGCTCAACATTGCAGCACGCTAAAACCAAGCGAAATCGTTCGGAGTTAGAATACGCATAAGCGAAACTTCATGATGCACTTACGAAATGTTGATGAGCTTCATGCTGTTTCTGTTCAGCATTCATAGTTGAGCGTGATCCAACACTACTAGGTGCCCTTTCTCTGGCGACCATGGCTGGTTTGGGTGCTGTAACTAGTGATGGTCTTCCAACTAGGGAATTTCGAGCTGCTGTCAATGGATCTGCCGCTCCGGATACGGAACGTCTCGTCGGAATAGAAGCACCGCTCAAAATCTCTTCCGGATTCTGGTACAATGGCTGTGAAGCAGACGTGTGGCTGTTCTCGAGGTCGTCAGCTTTTGCAATCAATGTGGTCGCTTTGGCAGATTCGTTTGTAATGTCCAGACACTTTTATAGATGGAAAAGTTAGCAAAGATGTCAGATTCTGAAACACGAGAAAAAATAAGCAATGATGCAATGGGCGGATTACATACAAACTTGGCGTAAAACCTCAACAACATCTCACTCCTCGGAAACTTAGAAACCAACTTCACGTAGGCACCCGAAGCTTGCTCAGAGCACTGATATAATTGTGCAGCAGCACCTTCAATCTCCGATATTCTGAAATTAGAGGATTGCACTAGCTTCCACAGTGTTCGTTGCCAGTGAAGAGCAATTTGATGATTGACCTTGGCCGTCTTTTCAAGCTTTCTGAAATCAGCAAATGACGCAACGTCTAATCGAACTCCAGAGCCCAGATGGTTGAAGTCTCGAGCTTGATTGTTCATTTGGGCCATGAAATGCTGCTGGAATTGGGCGTCGAATGCGGGACTCATCTAAAACAGTGCATAAATAGGTGAGCAAAATGACAACCCCATATTAGAACAAAAGCACGCAAATTGATGTAAATCGTACGTGATGAGACTGCTTCAAATGCTTATTCGAATCACCCTTTGCATTCTGCAGATAAAACGAATACATTGCCCATTGCACATGCAGGAATGACTCTTTCGGAAACTCGGTAGTGCCCACACGAAATGCATCCTCCACCAAAGTAAACCGCACATTGCCAGCCTCGTGGCCACGAAGTCCGTATTTAGGTGTTGCCGTTCTAGCCAAGATTTCAACATGCGGCCAGAAAATAAAGATTGGCTGTTTTTTCACATTTCCGATTTCGAGGGATTGGATGAGACGTTCTTTTGTTGATGTCTTGATGTAGTTTAACGCGTATTCTAGATAGTTCCAAGAAAACAATCAGCAAACAAAGTAGCCAAACATGTCATTTAGAGGCATACGTGAAGCCATGTAAGAACCGATCCAAGCAGGGAAGAAAGCAACCAGCATGGTGATAAACACTGGTGCGCCCTGAACTTGTCCAGAGTAGAAGCTGACAAGAGCAGCGACCATTGAAATTATTCCAAGAACAGAAGCTCCTCCGTATCTACGTCGAAAATTGTCAAATGATATTTGAAAAATGTTCCCAAGCAGACCAAAGACGAAGCTGAAAAGCGAAGTTCGTAAAATCAGAATGCATTGTCGACATACGTGGCAAAACGCATATGATTAATATGCGCAATGTAGTATGGATAGTAGTATCCAGTTGTCCACACCATCGTCAATGATACAGCCAGAGCCGTTCCGACTTTGAATAACACTATGCAAGAAATAATACACTTAGTATCCCAAGAAACTCAACCTCAAAGAAGATCAAATTTACTGTTGTAATCAGGAGCGACCTTCCAAATAAACGTCAAGATGGTCTTTGAGAGAGCGTATGTGGCTTCACTGAATATAAAGAATCTGTGAGAAGCAATGTTCAATCACAGTAAAACTACAAGCAGCCGCTTACACGCGTCCATGACTTTTACTTCCAGGACCCTTCGTAGTTGGATTTGAATCCAAAAACAGTAAATTAACCACGAATGTCAATGGCAAAAAGAGACAAATCGTGATGGCGGAAATAACCATATACTGAATACGTAACGGATCACTGCACGATACGGATAACATCGACCCAGTGACAATTTCAGTAGAATCAGGGCTTGAGCACACGAATGAAGTTGCGAGTACATCCAAGATTGGCATGAAGAGCACTATATGTTGAGACATTTCGTGTAAGTATCCCAGATTCGATACTAATCCAGTAATCCAGGACGTCTTTTTTTGGATTCAAACGACAATTTGTTACCTGTTGGAACAAAAGCAGCCAGCACTCTGAGTGTCCGTATAGGCCAACTGAAATTATGCTGACCACGAATAAAGCCATATGCGACCCACAAGATGTTGATTGCCGTCAACCACACAGCGGCAGTAGCAATCCATAGGTAGTAGCTGAATACGCTTTCGCTCAGTAGCTCGTATTTAGGCTCCAGAGTGTGGCCAACGACGTCAGGAACTAGTTGCCAAAAAAAAGCGTTGGCAACTCTCAAGTATTGATCAAGCACCTTCTAGCCAATGCATACTGTAATAGACGGCATTGAGTCTTGAGCCAAGGAAGAATGCCACAATTTGCAGATCTAACTCAACAGAATCTTTGAGAAGTCCATTTTTTGGACAGGTAGATGTGAAACTCGATTATTCACCTTCAACCAGCACTGCGATATATCCAATGAGAACAGCAGGCTCGTTACCAAATACCTAACATTCAAAAGAGTAGAGTTCGATTAATTCTGGAATACTTAACAGAAACAAAACATTTCAACTCACGGCGAAAAACATGACATTAAACATTATCGCCTTTGCCTGCTTCATGAAACTCGTATGCGTGATGAACTCATCTCCTTCGTCAGATCCACCACTAGCTATTGTGCCAGTGCCCTCTTCTCCTCCTCGTGGTCTCCCTGCTGGACTTTGTTCTTCTTCGTCATGCAGAGGAATTATAATCGGTTCTCTCCCAAGTCGTTCGAGAGTAACCACAACATCATCCTCATCATCACTGTCGTATTTCTCGTATTCCATGGTCGAGACAAGATATCCAGATCAAACTCAGAGTATCCCCTGACACGTTAAATCTAAATTGCGTACTTTTTGGTATCAGTCGAGATCTGGCCTAGAAATAATCTTCCGGTTTTGGAGAAACAAAAAACATACGATCCAGGTAATCCTAAACCCCAGAAAATGGAGGATATTTTGTTCTATCGCGGACGGTTTGTATCCAAGTGCTGGAATTCCTATCACGATATCTGCAAAAAACTAAGCCTGGGTGAAAACCCTGTAGTCTATTTGTTGCTGCTGCACACTTCGGATTTTTTCAGAAGGTTTATTGAAGAAATTTTCGATGTTTGAGCGTTTATACGCGCTTCAGGTACACTGCTTTGACGAACAGATAAAACTGTTCAACGAGCACGCTGTTTCTACAGTATGGTGTCTTGATGTAGTTCAATACGTTTTCCAAAATGGTTGGAGAAAAGCAGATCAGCAAAAAAGGGCGGTTCGATCACCCGTATGAATACATACGTGAAGAAAAGCTACAAAGCAATCCACGCTGGCAAGAACCCTACCAGTATGGTAACAAGTATCGGAACTTTTCCCTCCAGAATTGTGCGTGCCTTACACGTGCTGCGACCTTACTTATTTGCTTCCAAGATTGTAGTCTGGATAGCGGTATCCAGTCGTCCACACCATCCAACTTATTTCGACCTTGAATGGCACTATTCGAGAGGAATGGTGAGCGCTCCCCAAAGACTAAAAAACACACATGGGAACAAGTTCTTAATTACGGTTGTAATCAAGAGCGACGTTCCTTCCGTATGAAGATTAGGTCTCGAATTGCTTTTTTGGGAAACAGAGGTCATCTTATGGAAACATGACGAGGATAACCTGAAACTTCCGTAGATACATCGTAGCTACGTATTTGCTGGTTCCTTCTTAGTTGAATTCAAATTTCAAAAACAGTAAATTGACCAAGAATCCAAGAATGTTAATGACAACAAAATATGGTGAAGGCAGAAAGGTCCTTGAATTGGATACAAAAGGGATCACTGCCTGGATATGGCCATAACGATGACGTTATTCGTGGACGCTGGCATACAAATAAAGTGGCTAAAGTCCAATAGTGGCATAGACAAGAACCATTGGCAATCTTGAGTATGTTTGTAAAAGCCATCTTCACTGTCGCCTCTCTTGCTTCGCACATCACAGAGTGTTGTGCGTATCCGTGAGCACAAAGGCAGCCAACACTCGAAGCGTTCGTGTAGGCCATCTAAAAGTATTTTGACAACGCATACACCCATATGTACCCAATGATGTTGATTGCTGTCAACCACAAAGCAGCAGGAGCAACCGAGAAACGACTTATTGGATTTGGATTCAGACGATGCCTCGTTTCGGGGTTCCAATGTTTGGCCAACGACGTTAAGAACCAAAAAAAAATTCAAGTCAGTAAATAAAAAATCAAACACCTCACACAGTCCCAAGCAGACCTAGAAATACCGCAAACAAAATGTAGTTAATTGTCAATCTAGTATCGAGTAATTACCCCCAGTACTGAAATTTCATCAAAGATGACTGCCAGCAAAATCCCAGAAGCTTTCATGAAAACCGTTGATCTATTTGGGAACTATACACATTCAACTTTTTTACACACAGGGTCTTCATCGGAATGATTGACGTTCGATTTCTTTACAGTACTTTTCAGGTACACCGATTTGACGAAGAGACTAAATTTCAAGGTTTTAAAGAATCAGTTTTCGAATTGACAAAAAAGCGGCAAAGTCGCCTAATATTGTTACCTCAATCTTTCGTTCCTTGACACGATCAACCTTCTTCTTCTTCTCTTCACGTAACGCAGCAAGCTTTTCACCCTCCTTGAAGAACTCCTGACGGTCTTTACCACGAAGAATTTCCTTCTGCTTGATTTGTGCCTAAAGCAATTTGAAATGATAAATAAAAATCCACCAATGTAGTCCACGGCTTCGTTTTGGCGTATACAAGTCAGCCCCTCTCACCTGAACTTCAAGCGAATAAGCACGATTCTTTTCATGTTTGATAATAGTCTCAGCTTGTAATCGTTGCTCTTCTTCCTTTTGTCGTTGCAACGATCGGTAGAATTCTTGACGCATGGCTTGAGCTTCAGCGGCAATAGCAGATTCACGAGCGAGGGATTGACGAGCACGTTCTTCACGGAGTTCACGTTCTTGAGACGAAGCTTTTTCAGCGGCTTCCTTCTTTTGGCGTCTCCATTCACGTTCGTAGGCTTCGTGGGCACGCTGGGCGCGGAGGGCGTCCTGTTGGGCTTGTTTGTCTGCAAACTAGATTGTAGAATATGGTGGATAAGCTGATGGGTTCTTTTTTGCAGCAGAAATAAAAGATATGCGAAAAATGCACGCATATCATATGACGAAATACAACAAGTTGCAACTTTACACCAACCTTACCTTCTCTTGCATAGCACGTAAACGCGCAACATCCTTCTCACGCTCAATCTTCTTGAGCTGTTTCTCCTTCTCAGCCTCCTCCTGTCGTCGATCCTTGTCCAAAAGATACACCATAACCTTCCTATCTTCATCCTCTTCCGCCAATCGTTGCTGTCTCTTGTGTTCAAGCGATTCAGTGTTGGCCTTAACGACTTGCTGCATCAGGAGTCGTTGAGCTTTAACTTTGGCCTCTTTTTCACGTTGTTCGGCTTCAGCGCGATCACGAAGTGCTTTTAGCATTGCTTGAGTTTCTTGGTCTTTGCGCTCTTCTTCGAGTACTAGTTGTTCTTGGCGTTCTTCGATTTGTTTGCGGATTATGGCTGCTCCTTTTCGTTGTTCTGTTGTGTGTTTATTGGGATAGATTAGAATGGTGCCAAAAAGCCTCGAAGAGAAGAACTATGAATTGACGTACCCTCTACACGCAACTTTTCACGTTCTTCGAGCTTCTTGAGCTCATTAATACGATCTGTTTCCATCATGACATCCAATCGAGATTGTTCGAGCTTCTTTTCTGCGTCAATCATTTTCTATAATAAAAAGCGATAAAATTTCAACCGTTTCATAAAAGAGATTGAGAGCCAAAAAGGCCCAAAGGAATCTCCGTATACCTTTTCTTCGATCTGAGCATCACGAATAGCCACACACTTGGCATACAGAATCAACTCATTCAATCTCTTGATGTCATCTTCTTGTTCATCTATTTGGGCTTGAGCCTTGGCCAACAAGTGTTGAGAACGTTCACGAGCTTCTTGTTCTAGCTCAGACAAGGCAGCGTTTTGTGCTCGTTCACGGTCGTGCTGTTCCATACGTTCCTAGAGCAAAACATCACGTCAAGATATGTCAATTTCACGTAGCAGATTCTACATATATTTTACCCTGCGCATCTTTGCAGCAGCAGCCTTTTCGTCGCGTTCCAATGACTCTTCAGCGTTGCGACGTCTGATTTCGGCTTCAGTGCGTAGAATGGCATCAGACTAGTAGATTGTGCATAAGACACGTTAAAATAATTGTATGTTGTGTGGTTGTTTACATCAACACGTACCCTGACTTGGGTCAATTCAGAGGATTTGACGACAAACCCAGCGATGTGCTTACCAGCACTGGAGGTTGGTTTGCTGCCCTTCACATGTGGCTTTAGGGTTCGAATATTGTCGCGAGTGATGACGGTTATTGTCTTCTGTTGACATATGTGTGAAGTGTTAGCTAGAGTCCATGCAAAGCACTACATGAGAGATTGAAAACACGTGGATATACCTCCTTGTTGTTTGAGGCAGGAGCAGCAGAAGATACGGCCGCCCGTATTGTGGATGTAGGAGCCTTCATGATTTACTCTGCTCTATTCGCGTGTTTTTTGGAAATGTTTGTCAGAGTTGAGCTTGATCAACGGAGAATAATTTACGGTTTTGATTGACATTCTTACTGGAGTAGTAACATGTTGGGATGGTTCCCTTGACGTGGCCGTACACGCGGTGTTTGCTGATGCTTGATGACTTGACATGTTGTCGCAATTGAATGTCGGATGTCGAAATTGTAGATATTTTCCAGTAGGAACGATGAACGTGTTTTGACGCGTCAAGTAGCAATGGCTGTAACATACAATTCAATATTTCTAGTAGATCCCGTTTGCTTTTCCTATTTTCTTTCGTCCATTTTCTCGAAATCCTCGCACATCTTCAATCTACCAATTTGTTGTAAGACCTCAGTGTAAGCGCTCGTCGTCGGGGCCAGGCAGTCAGGATGCAGGCTACTAATGGGATCCCGAATATTCCTCTGTCCTTCTTTGCTTCCATTCCCGTGCCAAACACCAACAATGTGTATCATCTGCCAACATTAATGACAAACACGACCACCATGCAGCAATATGTTCCCATCCAGTCCCCAGAGACGCCAGCAAGGGAAAAGACTCTGTGGTCCAAGGCTGCTCCTCTAGTCCCACACGAAATCATGAGGGTCGCTGATCGCAACTTCAACATAGCATCGTTGCAGACCCCAGTCACTCTAAAGAGACGAGATCCAAACGACAATAGAGACATTACCGATGCTGAGATTGAAGACGAAATCATTGTAAAGCCAAATGATAAGAATGACAAGGGTAAAAAGGTGTGTGCTGGAAGCTAGTGTTGAGTTGCAATATTTTATTTTCCACACCCAATACTTTACGATGTGCTCGCCATTACTCCTATCTAACATTATCTCACTATTTTACTCAGGCTAGTCCATCTCCAGGCCCACCAAAAGTGAAAGCCGATGGCACCGAAGTCGAAAAGTTTGATGCTTCAAGGGTTGCTCCCATGGGAAGAGCCGTCATCTCTCGTCAGAATCGCTTCCAACGCAGGACTCGTGAATATGACGCAAACGATGAACGACGATTTGCCGAGAGATTCAAGGAACGCGATGAGGCAATGCCTTGGATCTTGTCGGGTGCTAATGCTGATCCGGCTGCAGAATTGACGGGTACTGCTGACGGAGATCAGGATGCAGTGTATTGGTTGCTCTACGAAAGGGTAATGGGTTGATGCAGTGTTGTCTGTCTTGCTGTTTCTTGAATAACAAATCACTTTTCGTCGTATAGGCGGATGGATTTGAGGTGGTTCCAGCCGACAAGTTTTACAAGGTATGCGTACAGTCTATGTTAATATCGAATCCGTGTGTTGCAGCTTGTATTCATTCAATCTTCAGTTTGTCGCAAAACCAAAATACGAGACAAAGGATTACGAGACTGCTGAATTGGAATTCGCCAAAGGTCTTGGTAGTTCAGTATCAAAGAATCGAAATAACAATATTACCAAGTTAATGGTATGCATACCATGTGGCTTTAGAGACGTGCTATCACAGTCATGTGTCCATCTCATACTTCGCCATTTTTGTTTTGTCAGGCCAAGAAGTTTGAAGAAGATGACAAACTGACTCCAGAACAGTTGGCAGACATTGAACGTCTGAAAATGAATCGATTCACCGTTTTGAAGGATGCTGATCGTGTAGTCTACTCGTAAGTCCACCATCATGTGGAGTCTCTGCGACATCAAGTATTCAATGAACTTTGGAATTCGTTTTTTTGCTCTAGTGGACTCAAAGGCTTGAATGTCAAACAATCCAAACGAGAAGAAGATGAAGAAGACGACCATCTGGAATTCGACTCTTCTCCATTTGAAGATGACGGAAACGAAGATTTGGGTCAAGAGATTGATGAACAGGATCGGAAAGAGATGGATAAACGAACCAAAGCTGATCAGCGAAAGGCTACCAATGCTTGGAAGGAGTTGGTAGATGATGAAATAGAAGAAGAGGATTATGATGCGCCAAAGAGGTTTGGGGCTTCGAATACTTCCAAGGTTTGTGTGGAATCAACAAGCCGTCTTAAGTCTGTCTTTTTTTGGTAACGTTGGTTCGAACTTCAAAACTTTTGGAATTATTTTAGAGTCTGAAGAAGAGGCTGAAGCAGACATCAGCGCAAACAGGTCTGAGTTGGGATGCTTACGGATCAGAAGGGGTATGCTCCTCTCCAAGCCTGCGTTTTTTGGGCACCGTGTCTCTTTCAGCTCACATACCTTTACACTCATAGTCGGATGAAACAGAAGACGACGACGAAGAAGACGAATCTCCAAAATCCAACTCCCGTAAAGAAGAATTCAAACCAATACTAGGTCGCGGGCTAAAGTCGGCCCAAAAGAAATCCTCGAAATCACCATCGCCATCCTCATCACGCGAATCTTCACTCGACCTCAAAGTTGGTACAAAAATGACAATCAAGATGAAGGAAACCAGATCATCAATATCACCACCGCCTGGTAAACTAAAGAGAGGTCGTAAAGGGCAGGATAATGAAGATTCTGCTGCGAAGAGAGCTCGATCATCTACACCTATCGAACATCCACCAGCACCAACATGGCAAGAAGTATTGAAGCAGCAAACTATTAGTAAAAAGCAAGCGAGTGGTAGTGGACGTGCAACAAGTGCCGATCCATCTCTACTTCAACAATCTCAACAACAACAGCAACGACCAACAGGTGTACGACACGTCTCACCACCGCGCCCATTACCTTCCAACCATCCTCAAGTCATTGCAGCAGCTGCAGCGGCAGCCAATAACACAACATCAGCAAACACACCCATAACTTTAAAACGATCGTCTACGCCATCATCATCTGTGCCACCGAATGAACCACCATCGAAACGGGTAAAACATGTGGCATCTTCTTCGCTAAGTCCTCCACCGCCGCATGCTATGTCCAGTGGTGGTAGTAGTGTAGCGAGTCGACCACCTACACCTGCTTCGGCACTCAAACAGGGTGGTAGTAGTAGTGGGAGTGGTAATGGTGCTGTCAAGTCGTCGCCTGGAAGGCCTGCTGCTACTTCTGGTACGTATTTGAGTTTGAACTTTAGACAAAAAAAAAAAGGATCTGACCAGAAGTTGAATGCTTTTACAGTATCAACACTCGCTAAATCTCCCGCTTGCACCTTCTTAGGATCTCTTCCTCCGCCACCAGACGGCGCTCTCATTACTCAAGAACACGTCTTGGCAGCAGCACGAGAATTAGGCAACGACGTGACTGTCAGGGCACTAGTGAATGCACTACGACCGCTCATGCAACGAAACGAAGATCAGAATAAGGAAGTGCTTCGTGGGTTTGTCAAGACACTATTCAATCATGTTAAGGATGGAAAGATTGAATTGAAGCCACAGTATGTTTTGAATGGGAATACTGCTGGTGGTGGTGCAGGACTAAAGTAGTTGTTGGTATTTGTAAGATAGAAAATTAGGTTGTTTGCACACACGACTCGATACGAAATAGAACCCTTTTCAAAGGCACGCAAAAAAACCGACGAGATTGTTTTCTTTCCTTGATATGGTATCGTCTGCTCTCCAGCATTCGTAATATATACCAGGTAATGTGCCAGTATGCTATCTTTCTTGAACAGGACTTGGAACAAATAGGATAACAACAAAAAACCAGACATGGAATTGCCGCACAAGTTTTCTTTCTTCCATTGATACCAGGTATATATAATCACAACAAATCCTTAGGGTTTATATACTACATTCTTTTCCTCCTCTAGAGCATGTTATTGGGTGCGTGTAATGGTTTTGGGGAGAGTTTTGTTTACGTGCAGACGGAAGTATGTGGGGATTCGCTTCAATTCTCTCTCTTTTAAACTCTTTGTTGCAAGCGGGTGGGTGGGGCGTGTTGTTGTTTGCTACTAGCTACATTCTTCAAAGATCATCATCTTCTTCAGAATCAGACTTGTCATCGTCTTTTTTCTTTTCTTCATCCTTTTTACTACTGTCTGTTGATGCTTCTGCACCACCTTCAGCAGCTGCGATATCGGCATTGACTTTTTGCATTTCTTCGAATTTTTCCTTGAATTTGTTTGCATCTGTCAGTGCAAATATAAGAAAAAAGATGATTAGCTCCATGATAATGCCGTGTTACTAGCAAACCTGCACATGATATATATGAGGATACGATGAAACGTACTTTCACTATTAGCAAACCGAATAGCCAATAATTCCTGTTTTGGTTCAGCTTCCGAGAAATCTGCAGCACAGCTCCATACCCATGACCTGTCTGATCCCACGTTGGCTGATAGTTGCATTTCGGATGTGACTATGTACCCAAAAACAACGAATCAGCATCAACTGTATAACCACCTCATTGTAATCTAGGCCCGTACCATAATGATTGGCACAAATCTTATGAGTCTTGTCTCTTCTCATTAGTAATCGTACACGACCAGAATCCTTGTGTTTGAGGAATTTGACATCACCGGTTCCTCGTTCCTTCCATTCTGTTAGGCCCTTGTCGAAGCGGAATAGTTTGGCTCGCCTATTAAACACATACGTCAGCATATGTGTAGATATGGGAGTAGGAGTATGACGTTACATTTTGAATAAAGTTTCTTCATCCTCTTCAAAAGTCTTGATGTCATCCAACTGTTCCAGTTTCATGACAGGTTCGAAGTGGACGTCGGGCGATGGAGCGACTTCGCCATCTTCTCCTGCGGCACCTGCGTCGGCAGTATCCTACATTGATAATGAAATATGCTTGAATATTTGGGTATTGAATAGCTACTTGTACTATATGAATAGACTCTCTGCATTGCAAGCATGCACAGTAATGCTCAAATGTTGGGGCGAAGTAATGCAGACATGTCAATAAGATCCACATTACGAATCATGCAGATATTCCGCATTTTGCAATATTGAATATTTCCTCATTCGAATTCTCCATGTACTCTAGCTTCAACCGCATCAACACATCATCAACACATTCATACATACAGGGTCTTGAGATGCAGAATCCGCCATCATTGAGAAATAGGATTATTCGTAATAGGATGCAGATGGGAATCGACTATGAGTGTCTTGACAAAGTATATAGACCAATTGATTGATGGATGCGAAGGCTTGAAAATGAACGGTTGGTTCTTTTTGATGGGAAGGAAGTAGCAGACGAACGAGGGCCGATACACGCGTTTGAACGCTTTCGCACAGGTCTAAAGCGGTACATTACTGCTATTCTTAGCTACTATGTTTGGTTTGTCACGAACAAACTTGAAGAAATGAGACCACTGTGAGGGTTGGACATATGATCTGTGGAAGGAGTACTTCCTCCTTATTGTGGTTAAGCACTCAGATTGAATTTAGAACTTTTCTCCTCTTTGTATTTGAATGTTGGGCTTGTTTTCATACATCAAAGTCTTATACGATGTCTGGCAGATCAACCTTGAACCGAAGCTCCTCACGCTTCCAAGATTCAAATGAAGTGCCAGATCAGCAGATCAAGTCCACTTCATTCTTCGACGTTTGTAATTTGAAAACGTTCCTGTAATTCCCAATTTCGCATCTTCACGTGTTTCGCGAGGTTGATCAATTTAGCTCATAGATTTGACACGTAAATAGCATAGTACACTGGCAATACATTCGTATTTGCCTTAAAATCACAACAACCTGATCCTTCTTAGTTTAATACGTTTCTCGTCGTGCCAATAAATCCAAACCTTAACTTAAGTCTCTCCACCGCACCAAGCAAACCAGCAAACAAGACGAAACCAATCCAGAAACAATATACGACACATCCAAAATCATGTCTGGAATGCCTGGTAAGTCCGTGTTCTGCTTTCTTGCTGTGGTAATCTTTATCAAGATCGAGCACTGCCGCTAATACTATCTAAAACTTCAACTGACGACCTATAACTAACCTATTACGCTGATTCCATCTAGCTCAAACAACTCAGTACCCACCACAACAAGGTGCTGCAATGCCTGGCTTCGAACCTCAGGTATTGTAGAACGACATTTGACTAATCTTGGCATCATGACTCTTTACAGATCGTCGTTGTCAATCTGACTTGTTCAACATGAAGCTGTTTGCTTACTAGTATACTCATATCATAGGTTATTGGCGCCAATGGTGGAAAACCAGTCCCTGTAAGGAACTCTAAGCAACAGTCCCCAGAATGTAGCTTGGAAGTGGTTGTGTACAACTAAACCTCATATTTCAAATAATTTCTATCAGCGACAAGAACACTCGGGCTTGATGGCTTGTTTGGCTGGTAAGCTCCTCATTTACCGGTTTTGCATTGGTTGTGGTCAGATGTGTTTTATGGTGTGGGGTCCATTGTTGACGTGTCAGTTTCTATCAGCCTGATGTTTGAATGTCTTTTGATTCGTTATTTGATTTCATATGAGTCGCTGACATTCCATTATTCCATTTAGCCCTTTGCTTTTGTTGTGCTATTGATGGTCAGTGTGTTGTTATTTTGCGTATATAAGTTTGATGTTTTACTCACGATCTCTTCCTTTGCTTAGAATGTAAACCAAAAACCTTGGTGAAAGCGATGACTTCCTTCCAGGTCAGGATACTCACTTCTATTCCACGTACTTTTTCCTAGGTTGTGCTCTCTGTTGTTGTTGATCCAAAAGTCCCTCCCTGCCTCCTTCACTTAGCTTGAATCATAAAACAATCATTTGGTTGAAGAATTATTATGAAGAAAGGGAGCTGATGATATAAGCAAGGTTGTGATCAACTGGTATCAACTGCTATATACTGTTGTTATTTCTCAGGTTTATTGTTTATAAAAGAAAAAGATGTTGCGCTTCCATATAAAAAGATATCATTCCTCTTTAAAGATTTTGTGGGGGGTTTGGGAAGGTGTTTGATAATGGTCAATACTGTTGCTTCAAGGCACCACTTCGTCTAGTAAACGAGTAGTTGCGTCTAGCAAGTTGGAGTGACAAAACACCTTGGCTACTCTGAACTGTACCGCCACGATTCAATCTAGTCATCGGTAAGTGCTCTATTAACGCTTGGAAACTAACGTTTGGAGACCTTGATTGATGGAAGCATTATTAATCCTGCAAAAGGCAGGCGTTTTTCCCACTCACACGCTAATCTCCAAATAGACACATCACGGGCAATGAGGGTAGAACAAAAGTGCTTATTATTTCAGACTTGCACACGATGAAACCTCCTCTTCCCTTATCACAACTAATAATATTGAAAACCCCCCATAACAGATGCTACATTCATCCCTCAACGACTTTTTGTTTGTAACATAAACGAGAACTTGTCTGTAGATCCTTCCAAATCGACCAGATTAACAGCATAGAGCACAACCTGGAGTGAGAAAGAATGAGTGAACATCGCGTGTCCGGGTGAGCATCATTATTTTTACAAGGTGTACATACATTCTTCCAGAGCGCAACAGAAACACAAGGCTAAAGGAGGGTGTATAAGAGCGTCAGAAAACACATTTATAAACGCAGTTCAAAGCGATTCCAAAACCCAAAGTGGCTGAAAGTGACCACGACACATCATCACCAATTGGTGAACACAAGCCTTACCAGTTAAACAAGCCATAAGGCCAGAATTGTTGTTTTGCTATTTGCGAAAGGAGATCATTAGTAATTAAATCCGTGCCAAATTCACTTTCAAATGCTCTGGGCGCGACTCCTCCGGCGAACTCATGTGGCTGTATTCTGTACGTTGCCCCAACACAACAAAAATGGACGAGAGACGTTACCTGAGCTGGTTGTTGGACATATACGACCTATAAGGAGGACAATAAATGAGTCTACCGTTCATTCTCATTCGACAGAATAACATTCTCGTAAAGAAGTGGTTGCGGGTATCCGCCAAAACTCTTGTCACAAATGTCTTGAACGACAGACAAACCACATACCTGAGGTTGACCTGGACCTTGCTGGTATCCAGGACCAGGAGCGTATCCTTGCTGTGGAGCGTATTGCGGTTGTCCATACCCTTGTTGTTGGGGAGGATATTGTTGAGCTATTTTGAACAATAATAAGTTAGCTCGTTTTGTAGTTCAGTTTCAAGTAAGCAGGTGCGTACGAGGGTAGCCAGACATGGTTTCGTTTGGAGTTCTATTACGAGGTTTGTTATGATCTTGTTTGGAGTTGGTGTTTTTGAAAAGGCCGAGTATTTTTGGATTTGGATCAGCAATTTGCCAAGAACTTGAGACAAAAGCAAAGCACAGCAGCAAATGTGGCGCTCTAGCAAAGCGAGGGACTGTGTGCCGTCCTTCTTATTTTTAATAGTGGTCTTTTTGGTACTGAATGTCTTGCAAAAGACGCAACCGCACTCTATCTGAATTTTTGATCACCCACTTTGACGATAGTTTATACGGTCAAGTCTGCTATTCGTGATTAAAATAAATCATTTCAGAGTGATGGGAAGGTCTAAGGGCGTCAAGTTGCCTCTAATTTCTGAAAACTGTTCGACACCTGTACTATCAACACCAAACGTCTTAGTAGCGCAGACCTGCTAAAATGTGATAGAAGTTATATTTCGCGCTAAAAGTATGATAATGCACCAACAATCTAGCAATGATGAAAACCCTCCAGGCGACCTCACGATGCGTGCAGTATCGACCCGCCTACTGTTTTTGAGGCATATTCCACTCCATCCATCCAACACCATATCGTCCATCCTTCAACGTAACCATCACCATAGACCGTGGGAACCACGACAACTTCTTTTCAGGCGAGGTCAACAACAAGGCACCAGTAGCAGTTGGTGTAATGTACAGCTCCAACCCGTTTTCTACTTCAGGGAGTATGACTTTGCCACGCATGATTAGACCATTTTCCAAGATTTCTAGTATTACGAGTACAGGGGTCAGTATTTCGTATACTGACACTTGGCGTCACAACATTACCTTGTTCAGAAACACATTTAGACAATTCACAAGTAACTACTCCGTCCTTTTGGACATATCCGATTCCGTGGGGAGACCAGGTTGCAGCGATTGTAGCTGCTGGTGCTACGGCGTGGATATGTGTTCCGTCGTTTAGATGGATTGCAGACCACATCCAGCACATGCCCCACCAGTCTCTAAATATCATGCAAAAGTTACAACAAGGCTTGTCTTTGGATTTTACATAAGACCATTCAAATGAGTACCTTGAGCCCCATGAATGATCACGTTGTCCTGGACCGGCAAAGTAGAAGGTTTCAGCACCGATCTAGATCACAAAGAGAGGTAGGTCGAATCAAATTCGGGAATCAATGGCACTAGTTGCAATGCTTCGAATTTCGATTCGTTCGAATTTTTGCAACGAGTCGAAAAGCACCTCCTTAACTCTGTCCCAAACTCGACAAGAAACGCTTCATACCTGAATGGTTCCAGACACCGAGCATGGAATCTCATACCTCGTAGCAGGCCTCCATCTATAAGGAGCCCCATCGGTCGTCCACAGCAAATCGAATTTAACCCTAATCTTGGGGCCTTCAGCCCCTTGCAACGGTGCAGCATGATCAGCGAAACTCTCTCCAACACCATCAAGCGTGCATCGGTATTCCTTTAAAGCGTCCTCCACGATATGTGAAGCAGTAAACAATTTCGATTTGACTGTTTGGGTTTTATCGTCGGCAGATGGGAGAGGAGCGTGTTCGTCTTGCACGAGAATGGCTGGTTTTCCTCGTCGGACTATGGATGTTGTGTAGAGGAGCGAGTTTTGGTTTGGGAGACGACCGATACGGACGTAGACGCCGATTGAGGCGTCGAGGCTGGTGCTGTGGTATTAAAGGAGGGGAATGGTTAATATGACATGTTGTTTGGCGTGAATCTAGTGCGATCTTTGCGGAAATGGCCATTGTAGCTTTCAACCCGAGAATGTTTCGTGTTGTTTGATGTTTGGTGAGTAGTTCCACCATTCCCATTCACATACCAGTCCATATACCAAGATTCGTTCCACAGAATGTCATCCGTAGGTGAAGCGTGACAGAACTCATCGCTTGCATCAGGAACCAACGCGGCGGGCTCTACAGCTTTTACAGTCTAGAA